TGCAATTGCAGTAGCAATCTCTGTGTATGGAGTGGGGTCAGATCAGGCATTGGCAGCGACCATTGGGCCGTTGGTAGAGGTTCCTGTCCTTCTTGCACTCACCTGGGTGGCCCAATATTTGCGTGTTAGACTACAGTGGGGGGCTCCAGCGCAGTACAGGAATGCGAAAGTGTAGGTATACTTATGCGTGAAGATTTCAACCTATTTTTTGCCGAAGATTACACCTGACAGCACAGGCGATCGATGATAATTTGGGTCGTCATTTTTTGGACTTTTAATAAATAGAATTATTCTCTTACCTCTGCTGTGATGGTGTTGTATGACGATGTCAAATGAGCAGCTGCACATGTTTCTTTACAAGCGTGGGTTTCTCAATCATCAAGATGAACTCAGTCGTCGTTGTTTCTTACACAACAGCAGTGGGCTTGACAATGTTTGGATTCAAAAGGCGTGCTGCCAGATTTCCTTGCTTCTATTCATCCAATTCACCGTTATCGGGGTTGGTGTAGTAAACTTGATAACGTCGGCCTCATGCACTGAGTATTGAAGACCATGCCGATGGTGTAGAATGTGGATGCTGTCTATCGTTCTCTCGAGGACGCCTCTGAAATGGCCGGTTTGAGGCGAAGTCTAGGCCAAAGTCTGGGACTCGACGGGCCCATGGCACCTCCAAGCGGAGTATAAAACTCGCCTAGACTGTTCTCGCACCTGCTCACTATATCTGACTTCCATGGACGCCGGAGGCCTTTTAAAAGCACAGACCTACTTATACAGTAGCTATGTGTTTGATGCATCATTTTGTCATTATGCACAATCAAGAACGCCAATTGCCGATGGACACTGAGAGAAGCTGGCAAAAAAGACAACATCTACTTGTTGCAATGAAGATATCACAGTTGTGATCACCAGGCAGGCAGTGGGCGAGGCCTTGATGGGCAAGAAAGGTCCTGGGCAGGCAAGGTGAATGGGTGGATAGAGCATGAACATGCAATATTCCAATCTAATGGTGGATGTTGGGCGGCGGCAGCGGGCGCGTTGGTGGCATGGCCGTTCGAAACACTGTGAGGTTCTAAACTCCGCTGAGGGTGCCGTTGTGTCGGCTCAGACCGGCCGAATTTAAATTCTGATTCTCGCCTGAGCGCTAGCGTCGGAGTCTGATGGAAGGGCTTATATTAGTTATATATTAGGTAATAATCATCCCACACATGCGCAAACCTTGACTTCAATGAACGCCGGCGACCTGCGTCAGTGGGGTTACGAATACAGGCGCTAAAGCGCTAAGCTGTGTAGAAACACCTGTTTACAGCCTGCCGCATCAGCACGTGCCACTCCTCCACCTCTCAATACTAGTACAGGGCTCCTGCGTTCGCGTCTTACAACCAACCATACCTCTTACTCTCTGGATTCTAGATGAACATTCGAAGAGCAGAGGTGCGATTGATTACCTGCCTTGATTTCACGCAAGCTGAACATTACATTCAACGCTATTCCCTCGAACGTGTGGCGCTTAGCCGAAGGATCTCACTAAGATACAGCAATGCAACTTGCACAATCTCCCTGAGAACTACCACATGAGATATTGTGGGTCTCCTTTGGTTCAGTGAAAATGCCATTCCAATCGCCAGATTTGTAGGGGCCTACTCCTTTATAACTTGGCCAGAAGTCTCGTATCTTGCAGAGGACAGCAGTGGCCGCGTAGTAGGCTATGTACTCTCGTCGATGTGGGTGAATGTTGCGCACATGTATTTACGACTAATTCGATCACCCCCTACAGAGAGCCAGATGAACAATTCCCTTGGTTGCAAGTCGGTCATGTCAACTCTTTATCCGTACTCCGAACATATCGTAGGCTAGGTCTTGCGAAGCGATTAATGCTACTTTCGCGTTGGTTCACTTGCACCATCTGATTTAGTGCAAAACATTAATCTAAACTACCTCCAGAAAAGGCCATGATCGATTCATACAACATAGAATACATCCAGCTTCACGTACGCAAGTCTAATCGAGCTGCCTTCACTCTGTACCGCGATAAACTTGGCTTCCAAATTCACAGGAAAGAAGTTGGATACTGTGAGTTGTCAACTTGGGTCTTCCAGCTGCTATCATTGACTATACAATCAGATGGTGATGGTGAAGATGCATACTCAATGAGGATCGTCTTGAAACCACAGAGCTTGTGCGTGTCGTATTTTTGCATCATAAAACTTACTAACACAACGCAGCTCTCATCGACTTGGTCTCAGATTCCAAAAATTTGTACAAGCTCGACAACGGGCAGTCGCGAACTGGACTTTGAAATGCGCAAAACGAGTGGGTCAGATAAAATGAAGATACCAAACTTTACTTGTCAGTCACCCACGAAATTGTCTTGTACTTCTTTTTGAGCTACCCATCTGGAGGACACGATACCGCGTCTGTATATCCACTTATAATTTTGATAAGTATGACATCGAACTTCTGGACGGTTACTCATAGTTTGTACCATGTATTTCCGGTGATCTACAATTTTCATCCTCCAGCAAGCCCCATCACGGTGTTTGGATCAGCAGCTTCTTGATATCCGTAGACGCGCAAGATCCTCTCCGTAAATGTCCAAGGATGTTGAAGGAGATGTGTGGTTGAGAAACACGACCATATTTCCAAGATACTGCCCGTGGCAAACATTTGGAACTGGGACTAGCGATCTCATATATGACGTCGTCGGAATTCGCCCTTGCATAATTATAGTGAGTATCTTGCTCTACGTGAATCCGCATACGCAGATGGTGGCTACGGATAGAACCAAGATCAGGAGTCCAGATAGCATGCACGCTGGTATTTGCCATGTTGTCGTCCTAGAATTAGCCGCTCACGTCAGTAGACAATCTAGATAAAAACATATACAAGTGCTTACAAGGTCTCATCGAGAATACTGCTCAACATAGAGTCTGTCAACTCCTCCATTGCTATGGAATTGAATACAGCACTGTTTCGTGGCGAGTATCAAAAAAAACACAGGCCGGGACAACTTGGACCAAGAACATGATGGACCAGACGGAAGTATCATAATTGAAGTGTGGAATTGCTCGAAGATACCATCTTGACGAGTTGGCGCATCATAGAACAATATATGCTCGAGAGAACAGGCCACCCAACAGTTTGTTGGCCCTTGACATTGATTGCACGTTTGCAGATAAACTAGCGATGGCAGCGTTTACAGGGCTGAATTGATTTTGGCTGTATGAGACACGCCCATCCTATTTATAATTGTCACGATGCTGTATCATACACTGTGGTCCAATCGTCTCACCCAAGGGATCGAGGACACGTTTTGAGAGTGACATGGGTAACAATTCCCCATGAGGGGGTAAATTTATTATTGCATGCAGTACTTCTCCAAGGAATCCAAGACAAAGTTATTAAAATCTCCCTTCACAGCCGCATGAGAATTCAAAACCTCGACAATATAAATGATAAAACTTACCCGTGAGCCGTAGAAAAAATCTGGGTCGCTGAAGTTGTTGACTGTGGTATTAAGCAAAACAAGTTCGTATGCCACGACATTGTGATTGTCAGTCAATACATGTTCGTCAGATGCGAATAGCCATCTCGGATGACAAAAACGTTAAATCGGCACGTTTGAAAAATCTGTCGACATTTATACCTCCACCAAGTATAATGTCGCCAACTCTGATGCCAGTGGCTTTCGACCCCATCGTATTCTTCCAGCGTTGGATAGACATAATCTCATATCGGACCAGTGCTGACTGTTGCTGTCTCGGCATGAATACATCGCGATTTGAATCATTGCCTTGGTTTGACAAGAAACCTGGGTTGGTTACGTGACCACCGCTTTCAATCTGATTGATATTTACTATATAAGAACAAAGCACAAATGAAAAAGTCATAGCTCACTTCAACCGACGTCCTGGTGTCTCCCGATATTTGGAGCTATAATACAAGGGGTATGGTGTCTTCATTTCGGTAGCACAAACCGGTTTCCTGAGGTCCTCAGGGTGCCAAGTTCGAAGAAGCAAGCAGAGACTTGACTACTCGAAAATGCCTGATAATAATGATTCTTTTGATAGTCCGATCCTACCGACGTTTAGCTTCATGGATATTTACTCATATAATTTGAGGTACCTACCATTGTAATGTACTGCAGATTTGAAAGAAAGGGTGACTGGGATCTTCGCACAAGGGTAGTATTAAGATTCCCCGTACTAGGTAAAATGAAGAAGTAGTAGCGGCGAGCTCCCCGATGCCACCTGCAAGAATTTGCTTGCACGATGAGTATACTCGCAAAGAGAGTATCATCTGACCTAACAAGAATGAGCCATGAGTCCGGCTTGGCGATTTAAACTCAATCGCAAAGAAAGTGGGGTGTTTTACGCATCTGCCAAATTCCGAGAGAGAAGTCGTATACTATCTTTTTTCACTGCGCAGGGTGACGCCATTCCATCATGACAACATGATGACGCACTGAAATGGTGACAAAGCTATGATACACCACGAACTAGCATCCGAGGGTGAAGTTGTGGCAGAGCTCAAGCAAGCGCTCACCGAGCAGTAATCTCTCGGAAGGAAGTACGTAACCGCATGCAGTGCGGGCGGGATTAGGTCACAGTCGGAGCTTCAATTTTGCCCACTTCACATGGTGAGACTCGAGAGGTACTGGTTTTCGATCACATCAGGCACGGTTCCATGAATCCTGGGCCTAAGTGCCTACATAGCCCAGACATCCGACTGCGAGTGGAGGCTGTCGGATCATGCAATGATTAGATGGTGCATTTTATGATCGATGATCCAATTTAATTGATCACCGGAATCGAGCGCTGTCTGATGATGAGAATATTCCGTTCTCTTAGCGTTATCCTTGGCGGCTAGATTCTATCGGACGACAAGTCCTGACGCTGACGCGCAGATGAGTAATCTTTACGGGTGGGATTCAAATCCTATCTTGCCCAGAACGTTGACCATCCCACTAGCCGCCTAACCAAGACAGGAAGCCAGTGAGTGAATTTCTAAACTTCTGGTAATTGGTTGCCGAGTTACAATTTGCGGACAGCCTTCAAAAGCACCACTGGGCCCTGGCCAGACAAAAGTCTCGGAACTCCTGCAGTTTTCTGGAAAGTGCTACGAAGCTGTGTCATCCTTGCATAACCGTGACGTCCATAGCCTGTCCATCCTGAAGCAGTGGTCCGTCGCTTGTGCTTGAAAACAAGTCATACAAAGAGTCATAACATAGGTATGCAGGCTGTGCGTATGGTACCGGGGCAAGCTGACCATTCTCAATTGAATAAATAGCAGAGGTCTCCCCGACATCTTTTTCTCTCAACTTCAATACTGCAACAACTTGAATGTCTGGGCCATACGTCTACACACAACCGATATACGAACCTCCTCCATATTATACCCATCCGTACACTCCCCAGCGATCACCTTTCATTCCTCCCATTAGTCTATTCCCACCTTCTCCCTCATCACCTTACGCCGAACTTCCTGGAACGCACGCTTCTTTCTATCCTGATGGATACCGTCCCCGTCGTCCTCCATCTTGGCATGGAGGGATGGCTGCGCTCCCTCCCAGTCCCTCCTTTTTAGGGGTTCCACTGCCAACCCATAACCGGCGACATTCATTCGGCAATGGCAATCACTCTCCTTGGCAATTCCAGACGTCGTCGCAGCAATTCCAGATCCATCCGCTTCTTAACGGAGAAGCTTATGTATCGGAGTTCTACTTCGACATTGCTAATCCAGCTTTCGCGCCATTGCGCAGAGTTGGTCCAAACCACACGGCTATGGTGTCCGTTGAAGAACTAAGGGAACCTGCTACATTCCCAACCATCACCCGCATGCGTATCACGCATGATGCCATTCCTCGATGGCCTATTGACTTGGAGCTCGTTCATGGCGAGTACGATACCTCGGGTGCTCTGCCCATAACAGTTGGCGACGTTTTGTGGATGATCCATTCTTCCCTGCACCGCCAAATATCACACTCTGACTGGGCCCAGCTCAGTCAGAGTCAAGAAACTGCAATCGCACGAGCCTACACCCGCAGATACAGAAGCATCCCTTCATCTGCTCAGCTCGAAGCAAGTCAAGGAGTCAAACGGATTGACTATTTGATGGAAAGACATGTCTTCAGGGGACTTGTCAGAGCTCACGACGAAGATGGTTTGTTCCATTGGAAGTTGTTGACATGAATGTCGCCGCCCCTTGTAACCCGCTCCGGATCCCTTTGTACCAAATCTGTCATAAACATTCTTTGTTCTCTATTGCCTTGGTTCCCCATTGATTTATGTTGTAACGATCTCATATATATACCCAGCCTCAAGGTCTACCTTTTCCTAAAATCACCACTCATCTATGTTTGTCAGCTTGTGATCGAGACGCATATGTCCACTTATCGAGATTACGATCCGACTCAAGCTTTGTTTCACGATGCATTTGTAACGAATTCGAAAGAAGAACACAGATTGATCATTGTCATGAACCTTGCCTAGGTCTTGTGTTTGATATGCGGGGCGCCATAGGCCAATAACAAATTCAACATGCACAGTAGGCACATCACATGGGTCGATTTAATAGAGGGCTCGTATCGTGGCCGCAGAGTCCCCCCTTGTTCCTGTTTCCAATCCAAAATAACGCTGATAATGAAACGTAGGGAAGTTACCGCGAGAAGATTTAACGTTCAATGTCTTTTCGTTGATGTATATCATATCCCGTGCGGTGCGTTACTAGCAGGGAGGCGACATGGGTTTCATATCGGAACTATTCATCTGCGCACAGTGCTAGTGATATCAGGGTCATCACGCCGCTATCGACCAATGATCGATACCCCTTACCTGAGCAGTAACTGTCATCTCTACCACGAGTCTGCGGCCACGAGTCTCGCACAGGAATGCCATGTTTGTCAAAGCCACCGACATCCGTTGCTCGAATGTTAGTGCATCACTGCTTGTGGTGTCCTCCCGCCCCAATATTTAAAAAAAGTTAAATCGCGACTTATCACAGTGAAGAAAATATCTCCTCGGAGATCACAGCGGTCATTTGCAAGTCATGTTGTAACGACAAATGGATTCAAACATATTATGACATTAAGGAGAAAATTTAAACCTTCGGATTCTTGCGAGGACAGGAGCACTCACGGAAGCTTGTAATTACCGCGCTTGTCCTCGTTGAAGGGTCATGATAGGCTAGATGCAGAACTGGAGGGACAGAAAGAAGCTTAGAGCGTCTTCTAAGTTCTGCCAGCACTTTCCTTGACAGCTGCACCGCAAGTTAATAGAAAAGGGTAAGAACTAATCCAAGCCAAGCCAATAGCCTTGTCCACTTCAGAAAAGCTTTACGTCTGCGATGATTGTCAGCAATCGAATATATCGACACTATCTTACACGAGGACATGGGCATGCAAAGATATGGATAGTCTGTTCTGGAAGCAAATCGTTAAAAGCTAAAGTCCCTATTAGGCGAAGAGATATACCATGAAAATCTTGCGCCTGACACGTGAAAATCAGCAGTAGTGATGTTGAAAATCGTGCTTCGCAACATCTACCCCTTGGCTAAATCCATGCTCTGGAATATGTTAGAAATAGGGCCACCTAAATCTGCGATATCACAGATGAACTTATCGAGATAGCGGGTATGTCGTGCTGCCGGCCGAAAAGCGGCAAAACCCAGAAAGGGAAACCACCTTGAACAGTACACTCACCGAACTCCCAAATGTTGTTGCTGCGCCCGTATTCACGAATATGGTCTTGCGCCTTCCTCTTCGCAATGCAGCCCTTGAATCCTAGTTCTGAGACGGCGACCTGGCCCGCGCGATCGAAGGTGAAGAAGTCGTAAGCCACGACCCAGCCCTCGTCAAAGCCGGCTTCAAAACGCCAATGCTCGTAATAACTAGGAAAACGGGCCCAGTAGGATACATGTTGGCCTTAGCAAAATTAAGGACGATGTGGCGGCTGTAGAGTGGCTGGACTCACCCAAGGCTACATTTCTAGCGGTCACCTTTCTAGCATTTGTGTCGGCACTGAGTCCAACATAATCCTTTACTGGAATCATGCCCACGACTTCAGGAAAGATGCCATTTTCGACTGCGTCTCGAAAAGACCATCCTTGGTCTCCAGGCCACTCTTTTTTGTACGTCCAAAAGAAAGATCCAGCGCAGTACAGCTCGAACAGGTCAAGCTGAGCCCGAATGTAAGAGGCTCGTTCCTGATGTTCATCGGTTGTACCTTGCAAAGAGCCTGGATTCAAAGCTCCAGACCACTCGCCAACTATGAGTCCACTTCCTGATGCTGCGAGTTTCTCTGAAACGCGGGAGAACATTTGCGAAAAGGGAGCATTCCGATCAGCAAGGGACGCAGTATGCTGTGCTGCTGATGTTGATATGTCGCTCGACGTGAAACACCGGTACAGGTGATAGTCGATGCAAGTCAGCGCCAAGGAAGGTGGTAAGTGTGCGACGAAATCGGCATATTGATCAGTCATCCAACAGTCTGATATGTAGATTGGGAAACCAGAATCTATCTTTCTTATCTCTTGGATTGCCTCCCCGTACCAGTCGTAGAGTGTTTGGTGCGAGGAGGGGTGAGGTTCGTTGAGAAGCTGTATACCGACTATATTGTCGAATACGGGTCCATGTGCCCGCAGAGCGATAAGCTGCGTGACCAGTATCCGGAGAGTGCGAATGGCCAGCTGCATATTAAATCTGCTGTTGAAAAACGAAATTACCGGGGATGATGTTCCGGAGTGCGAATCTTTATTCTGTTTGCCAGGAGCTGCATGGAGGTCTGAAATTTGTAAGTGAGAAATAGGATATGTCCACTCAACGAACGACACACCAAACAGCACCCCAATTCCAAAGCTCTGGGCTGTGACCACCGCGGCAACGAGTCTACTCCATGCTCCTTCAAAAACATGTTGAAGACCATCGAAGTCGGTTCGAGTAAGGATAGATGGGTCCAGCGCACAGATATGATAGTATCCGATCTGTTTAAGGCGGCATGAGACGATGCTATTGTACTATTATAAGAAAACGCGCACTGGGATCCGCACAGTGTTGATTCCCCTTGCCGCGAGCCATTCGAAATCGCTGGAGGTGATCCAGGAATCCCAGTGATGTTCTAGAACGTGCTTCGCATGTTGACCCTTGGCAACGTCGAGATCACTTTGCCCGCTGCCGGCGGCGCCTTGAAATGGTGATCCTGATACCCACCGCTCTAAAACGAACCACGATCCTGAGCACGCTTAGCTCGCTTTTGAGTTGGGTAATTCATTTTAAGCTTACCAAGATTAACTCCGCGCTGTTTGCGATATCGGTAGAGGCGTTGCTGAGGGCTTTCTTGTGGTGCTTCTTGAAGACTAAGCGCTGATTCTGTCTTGGTGCCACGTCTCAGCTTAGAGATAAAGGTCCGCATGCTAGTGTGTGTGTGCGAGGTCCGGATCGGTATTTTGAATATTCGGGCTGGAAGATGCAGGTCACAACTCGCAGAATGACTAAATATTAAATATGCATGTTTGGCAAAAGCTTCTGATCCAAACATTATTTGACGAGATCTTGATCGATATCCGAGTCATTCAATTCATTGTCACTAGTGCAACACCATGTAATATATGTTGCGTCGCGCGTTTGTATGTTGTTGATGCCATATGTTCTGCGCAGGTATCTCCAGGAACTGCGTTGCCAGAGGTATGCACGTTTGTTCTGTCGATTTCTGCTCATCGACCGCCAATCTTGGACCCTGTGGGATATTCCAAGAAAACATCGGAACTCAACTTTAATCTTGTTTCAGTTTGCTCCTCTTGTCCTGCTGTCCCCTGATGGTGGCGGCGTGGCGCATGCTTGTGCATACTTTTCTGGCTCATGCAACCCGCCTCGCCACGTATCGGAAGGTGCAGCCAGTTTGAAGAGAATGGTGTAATGTAACTGGAAGTAATTCATCTCGCTAAGATGGCGACTTCATTTCCTTAGCGACTCGGATGAGACGGTCTGTGCCTCTTTTTCTTTCTCCTTACTCTTTTACTCAAAGCGCCACAAGCTTATTATCATGGTCTAGACCCGATTCTCGGTTGACGATTCAACCGAACACAAGTTCGCGTGCCCTCTGCATGTAGTTCATGGCGGGTTTGGTAAGACTTCTTGCGCGCCGCTTGGCTTTATTAGGGTGACCATGCGCTTCAGCCTTTCGGGTAACTCTGGCAAAGTACTACATCGGACATGTCGAATTTTGGTGAGCATAGCATATCAATCTAACTTTTGTGCTATCTACGAGAAGCTACAGCGATAAAGGTGCACCGCCGCGCCTTTTCCATAAAAGGAAAACACGCGGTTTACATGCGTTTTGAACCGAAAGCATCAAACCTCGTGGCTATTACAATTTCCAATCAAGATAGTATAGCACATTCAACCGCGTCGCCACCGTTGTTCCTACTCGTTCCGAACTTTACTCAAACTTCTCACAAGAAGGCACTCTTTCCTCTCCAGGCCATGTTATATTGTTATTTCCCTCTATTGGTTGTGCTTCATTACTCACGGACTTTCCGGACAGCACCCAAGACGTGATCATTGATCCACCGCATTCACCAACAGTGCCCTTTTGGACAACAGATCTTTTATTGCAATCTCCCCTCTCGGCATTAAATTCCATGTTTGTCATCCAATAACATGTCCACGGCTTTTCTAGGGGTCCTCTTACTTCATGAAAGTATTTTCGCTAAAATATGTCTGGAACTCACAGGCGATCCGATCCAGGCATAACGGCTATCCTCTGCGCTTATAAGAACCCGGCTACACTCTTCTCTTACCGAGTTCATTCCACCACACCTCTTGGTTCAGTACCTCGAGCAACGACAGTTGACTATTCCTTTGTCACTCCCTTCACGAACAAAAAGTCATAATGACCTCCTACTTCCGTTCAATCTTTGGTGGAAGCCCATCTCCCAGTCACGACCACTCTTCCAAGTTACGCTCACGTTCTAACCCTGCAAACTTCTTCTATGGCCCCCCAGCTGGTCCAAGTTCCTCTTCACGCCTAAAGACAAAACGAAGCAATAGCTTCAGTGCCGCACCAGCTCCCTCTCCACTACGATATACCACGTTTGATGATCCCAGAGACATGAGATACGGTACTCCGTCGAACGTCGAGAAGGTGCCGCTCTACAGGCGTGCCAGCTACAAGTCATCCGAACATCGTACGTCTTCTGTGTTCCGCGGTCAATGAGCGCATTTCAAATTAACACCCATCTCAAGTCGGGCAGTATCCTTTGTATAATTATGCGCCACCCGTCTCGTATGGCGCATCTTCCCGTACAAGTTCAAGTTCTTCTTCGGGTTTCCCGGGCATGCATCCAGGCACCCCATCTCCCTACGACAGACGGCCTTCTTTGCAACAGCGTCATACTTGGCAGAGCAGTATCTCATCTGCGAATGGATCGGCTCCTTCATGTAAGTCTCTTAAAATAGGTGTGGGATCAGCTTTCTAACGGCGCAAAAAAAAGATATTGCAATGGATCCACATGGGAGACGCGCACCTGCACTGCATATGCATCCACTCTTTGCCTCTACTCGCCTTCACTCCGCGCCCATAAATTACGACGTCATCTATGGCCCTTCGCCGCGAACCGTTTTAGACCGTACCACACATTCACCCGTCGACGCCCATACATTATCTCAACCAGCAACAGACCCTCCCACTCCGGCATCATCTCGTATTCTCCTTCGTTCAGATAAGTTCCCGTGGCCCGTGGTCGTCGGGTCTTGCAGAAATGGGCGCTCTCCTGATATCACCAATCTCGACCTTCTTCATGCACTACATGAGACGCTTCTCACGAGAGTCACGCCTCAAGAGTGGGAGGCTCTTGGTAATGGAAGCAGGGCTCAACGGAAAGTCACGCAGGCGTACGAACAGCGGTGTACCAGATTGGGAGGCGGATGGGAAGGCGGAGTCCGACGGGTGGATTGGCTGCATGGGAAAACTCGTTTGATCGGAGTAGAAGTGGAGAAGCATGGACCCGGCGCCGGCTCCGGAAGACTCGTTTTTGGCAAGGCTTGAAGCCGCCGTTTCCAACTTTTGAGATCGACAGCTACCGGGGCTAGTCCTCGTTGCCTCATACCTGCGAGACCTTTCCGCGGCCTATCCGCAGACGCCGCTACATCACTGTGGAATTCACGATTATATAGCATACTTAAGCATTAGGCATACGTATGAATTTATTACACGACTTTTTTATGATTTTGTATTCTGCTGTAACAGCTTGGGCATAGTGGTACATTGGGAATGGCATTACAAATGTGTCAGTCGGGCTACAAATGCGTGAATGAAAAAGGTTGAAATGGAATGTCGACGCTGCGGAGTTACGAGCAGCTCACTCCATCAAAGTCATATGTACCAGGAACAGCAACAGGACAACCAGCTTTGTCGTTATGTGAATTGCAATTGGCCTGGTCATTTGCGGACGCACAACAGCGAAGGCAAAAACGATTAGCAGAAGGCTCGACTCTAGCAAACAGCCGATGAGTTAATTAAGAACGATGAAAAAAACGGGAACGGACTGCTCGATGAAGCTTGCGCCGTATCCACCAAAAGTACACTTCGCGCCGTTGGGAAATCGGACATCCATCTGGCCTCCCGCGTCATCTTGTGCAAACTGGAACTTGCCGGGATCCAAGCAGCCGGTGATCTAGTGCCTGCATTAGTAGAGGTCGCAGACAGCTAAATAAAAACTTTACTGACCTGTATATAGGACCCATCGCTTGCCTCCGAGATGGTAGCACCAGTCACGAAGCCTGCGGGAAATGTGTTCTGGCAGCCAGATCCATTGGTACAATACGCCGTCGCGTCGCTTTCAGCATCTGATATATACTCTAAGGGAAAACAGCGTGGTCAAGTACGCGATGAAAATACTAAAGAGAGACGCACCTCCGTCTCTTGAGGGAAGTAAGAGTGCAAAATCTGTCACGCTGGTTATATGCACGGTAGTGGAGACAGACGAAGGACCTGTAGGCTGGGGCGTTGGCGCAGCGTTTACTCGAGGATGATGGCGGGTCGGGGTAGTACTATTAGACGTCACGCGAGATCGTCTTTGAAGGCGGGCGACCTGTTTCGTGCCTTTTTTAGGAGAGCGGTGAGGTTTCTTGCTCTGTGAGCTCGGTCGCGTGGCGAGAGTCTCGTTGTGCCGTTGATTCGGAGGTATCGTATCGACTGTGAGATCTTGGTATCTGTTTGTAGATCGTCCGGCGACTACCAGCATGGTGACATGCGCGAGTACAATAAAAAGATTGAATGATAAAAACATTTTGTGGGGGAAGTAGTGATGTACGAGGTGTTGGTTGAAACGCCGTGGCGTAAACGCGCTTACACCCGTACGAACCACGTCACGTGAAATGATTTTTTTCATGAAATCCTTGCCAAAGTCAGAACGGTTCCATTCTTGATATCGGTGTCAAGACGGGTGTCCTGGGAGAAGACAGGGGGGCGGGATTCGATAAAATGAAGTTCTTGTTCGATCGAAACTTCGAGTAACCTTATCTTGAGCACATGATACGATGCGGCAGTGCATAGCGTCCAATTAATTTGCTATTGGGCTGACGTCACATATATGGGTTAGCCTTGCAAAAAGTGCGCGGCTTCCACTCGTTCCATAAGACTCTTCAATTAATTCGAAGGTCATCGCCATAGAATTCGTTCGCCTCCTTACAGGAGGGCAACGTGTCATCGAAATGAACAGGTTAAAGTTAAGTATTCATTTGCGAACGGCCCCCTGGCTGTACGTTGAATGAATGCGCTAGCACTCACTTGTCAATGGTAACGGGAACTCTGATGTTTCCGTTCCACCCCAGTAACAGATCAAAAAGTCAAATGAGTATGAATACACTGGATTGCCGTGGAGATTGAGTACGTGGTAAATAAAAGTACAAGTGATATGAGTGCAATTTATCCAAACTATTGCGGTGCATGAATCAAAAAAAAAAAAGAAAGAAAGAAAAACATTGCGGACAGAGATAGAGCAAAGATAGCGATAAAAACAAATTAGGGGCTGTCGAATATAGATGCAAAGAAGAGAGCGGTGACGGCAAATTGCCAAGTAAAGTTAGAGCAGGCAGTGCAAGCTGAGTGATGAGATCCGACCAAAGTCCATTGGAACTGAGCTGGATATACCCAGGTGCAATGTGCCGAAAGATAAGGAATAGCCTATGCAACCCGCGCTCGGCGAGGATCAAACATTCTGGGCAAAGTGGATTTCCCAGCTGTCTGACCCATCTCGAGTTCTAGCGAGCCCTGCAAAGAAAACTTTGGGACCTAAAAAGTCAACGCGTTTCACGCCCTGCGCATGTTCGCGCGGGTCAGCGCGGGACCTGGCCCTGAAAGAATCAATAGCAGCATTGACCGCCCGAGAAGATCTTTGCATCTCATGCGAAGCAACACTCCGGTTGAGCGTTTCACGTATCATAGCAAGGACGTTGTTCACAGTGATACCCCGAGGGTTCACAACCTCTATCGTCCAAGCACAAAGCTCAGGGATGGTAATGATCATATGAGAGACTGGCGGTTGCACCGCAAGCTCCTGGAGCATGGTAGGTGAACACCCCGGTCGCAGTTGCACATGTGCAAGGTCTTGTGTGATGTTAAATCTCAAATTCGGACCATAACTCAAGAGTGAGTGCAAGACTATGAATGAAGAGTGGGATGTAGAAGAATGTTGGTCTATCAACGATAGATATGAGATCTGCGTAAAGTGTGAACGAAAAGGAGAATTTCATACATGACATAGGGGATTGATGTGAGGCTGCATTGGGGTGTGGGAGTGAAACTGGATGGAGAAGTGGTGCGTTTGGGATCGGGGACGGGGACGTGGATGACCCCGGGAGCGCAGACCAATGGTCTTGGAAGGCTTGGCCACTGGAGCCAGATTGTGCGCTGTGCACAGCCCACGACCTGTGATGGGATGAAGAGGCAGAGGAGCCAAGCCGATAGTTCATCGTGTTAGATTAGAGTCAGAGAGATTGTGCGAGTCAGAAAATATACAGGCAGACGTTATTAGCCCTGGGGATGCGCAGTACGCTGGGTGACTCGACTGTCATGTCATGCGGCTGCGTGTCTTTTATAGCCCGCCAGAGGACATCGGGAAGTTACTTGTTGACTTCTCGCGCCCACCGTGGGTCGAGAGTTAATTGGGTAGCGCTGTGCACGAGTGACATGGGCGGGACAGCGAACATCGTTGGATATGGTGAAGTCGAACAAGAACTTCAGAAACAGACGCCGAATTTTTGATGTGGCGCTGGGCGGGACTTCTTATTATGGATGGGGCGGGATTCTGGCGGGACCGCTCACCCATAAAAGGCAGGCGTCGGGACATGCGCGCTGATGGGAGTCTCACGGAACACGTTGAGAAGACACCTTGATGGATGTTGTAAGGCGATAACTGTTAATCTATTCATCCACTGATGACCCTGGACTCACAGGTCAAAGTCTCTGCGCTGCAACACTGTAAACAGTTGAACCGGATCTCGCAGCCCACGAAAAAGGCTACTCTAATATTATGCAAGGTCTAATTTAAAATACTATATACAGCAATGATAAGATATCCGTGTGAGCATGATCCGTCGGTACGTCAGGTGCTAGACTTCAGCGTAGGTTCCCTGATTTCAACACTTCTTGCATCGCCTCCCAGTCATCCAGCTCCATGGAAGCATGTTTCACCGGACGCCCGCGCTTTTTTCCTTCATTGCCATTCTGGGCGCCGCTGATCCTGGTATCGGTCACCTGCCCTGATGTCTGCGCAAGATGCTTAATTTCAGGGAACTCGGAGGTAGCTTGGGCGCGCAGCCAAGCCGCGCTCTCAGCGCGATGGATAAGGCAGCTAGGAGGCTCGTAGCAATTGTCATGCTGGTAGGACGCTTGGGAAGGTAGAAAGTCCGCGATCATGGGACGTCCATCTTTCCACAATGAACCGCTGTTTGTCTTATCTAAAATATCGGCAATACCCAAACTTTCTCCAGAGGGAATAGGATCAGGATGAGAAGGCGTGACACATGGCATATCGACCTCTTTTCTCAGCACCTTGTCGATATCAACGGCTGAGAAGAACGCGACCCCCTGAGGCAGGTCATCCATTCCTAATTTAAAGGCAAAAAGGCTCCGTGTCCATAGGTTGGCGATCTGCAGCGCGAGTGCAGCTCGATAGCGATCTTCTTCGGCAACCAAGTAACGTAACTCGTCGTGCACCGAGATAAGATAACGCGCCTTGATACCATATTGTCTGACCAGATGGTCCATTGCGACAATGAGAAGATGCAAGTAGTCGACACCAGAGGACTGCACGACCCAGTTTATGCGTGATGTCATGTAATCTGACCCAAATTTTGCCGGAAGAAGCTCCTTTGACAGAGCAGCCGTGATTCCGCATCCGAGAGCTGGAGTTTGTGGTTGATCAGAAAGCGCGATCTCTTCTAGCTTGTTGAACACGAAACTCTCCGTTCCACCAAACCAGAATTTCCTCCCAAATAAATCCGTGCGATGAGTGTTTTTGCCTTTAGTTGATGCGTACAAATTTTCTGCGAGGCGCTGAGCTTGATCGGGCAGCATACCGGCATTCGACTGTAGAAGGAGCAGGACTGCATGACGCATCCCAGCACCGTAGATTCGGGAATAGTTGAACACTTTTGCTTGGTCGCGAGAGATGCCGAGGATGCTCGCTGTCTTTGAATGAAGATCTGTCCCCGCGGCTTTGGTGCCTTCGAGGGTCATCCATCCAAGAGCCGTAGCACCATGTAATCCAAATTGTGCGTCGCCAATACAGCTCGAAATCCACAGCTCTTCTGAATCCACATCTGCGCCAACGATGGCGTACCCCTTCGGTGCGCGCACCATGGCTTTGAGCTCTGAACCAACGCGGTTTTTCTTCGCGTTGCTCGCCGTGAGCCACGTCCTCTCGATAGCGCGGCGCGTCACAGTGCCCATTGTAATTACCTGGGGAAGGATGATACCCCATTTCTGGGGTTCGTCGGAAGATTCAGGTGACTTAAACTGTAGATCTAACGCTCCCCGCTGCCAGACTACCATCTGATTTAAGATGCGATCGCGTGCACTGATCCAATAGCTGCACTGCGCGTTCATGTCCAGTGCATCCTTCGCTTCGTCTCCGGGGCTTGTAAGCGTCCCATCCTGTGCATATTTCATGAACGTTTTCCCAAGCGGACTGCCCACGTTCGCCTTCTCCCCGTCTTTATGTGGTAACTTGTAGAAGACAAAACCTCCTTTCAGACGCATGTCTTGTAGGGCGTCGTCCGCAGGATCATAGAAATCGAGCTGAGAAAAGCGGGTAGGAAAATCGGCGTCCCCAGAGACGCGGAAGGTCCAGCCGTGTTCCCGGGAGTAGAAGAGCGGCCAGCCTTGCCAGGACAAACAAAGGAGAATGGGAGCAATGCGATTCCGTACTGTGATATCCAGCGTGCCGGGAGGCATGTCTTTTTTTGGTTTTGCGAGATCCCAGTACCACTTCGGCCAAAATACCTTTGGTTTGGGTTCCTTAGGAGGGGACTTCTTACGTCGGGAGGAAGAAGCGGGAACAGATGGGCACGCTGCCGTGGAGTCAAGCTTCAAAAGGAAGGAATCAACGAAAGTCCGGTACATCGACCTGGAGACGCACCTGTTCATCCGGCACGACACCCCTAGATTTCCCGGCCACTTTGGGTGACCAATCTAGTTGAGAGAGCCAAGGATCATCCTTCCAAGAGTCGTTCCTCGCCCTATCCTTGGCTTGCTCCGCAAGCTCGACAAGGCGCTTTTTTACTTTCCCATCTAACTCCTTGTAGACTCTATCTGCATCCGCAAGATATGATTCCCAGGACTCGTTGACCGTCAAGAAACTGGAACCCATCGCGAGAACGCCGGCGAATGAAACGGGACTCGGGCAGCGATAAAGGAAAGCTGGAAGGACCTTGGAAAAGACGGCGTGAGTAACGAAAACATCTTGCGCGCAGTAGTTGAGATAGTCGTGAATATTGTCCTTTATTTCTTCTGGGGTCAACTTCATAAAGTCGTTCCTAATTTCTTTGTCCATATCGATATTGCAGTGCAGCTTGGCCACATCAGCCAGCGAATTGGCAGATGTCAGGTCTTCCCAGCGCTTACTTGAGAGATCAGCCTCTACGGCATCGGCATCGGCAGCTTCGAGCTGCGGAAGGCTCTCCTCGAGATCAGTCCGGAGACGGCGGAGCTCTTCTCGTTTGGTTTCATCATCCTCCTGGTCGTATTTGAACTCCGTATTACGCATGAGTTCCACGACGGCCTCGACCGCTTCGGCACGATGCACTTTCTGAGTCTCTTTGGACTTGCGGTGCTTCATCCAAGCAGGTCTTTGGTGCGAAGATATTCCCTTTACTGCAACATGCAGAGCCATCGTATCGAGGAAGCGGGATTGCGTTCCATGCAAGCTATACTCCTCTAAAATGCGCGCTCGGTCGTAGCAGACGTTATGACCAACGACTACGCGCGGGGAAAGCGTATCCCCCAAGGGGATGAGATGTTGTTGCTCAACTGATTCTCCCAGCAACCAAGGCGATATCCAACTGTACCAGGCATTCTTTGAGGCAGCACATGCCATGATAGCATAAGGATGATACGTGGGCATGGTTTCCACGTCAAATGTGAGCACTTCTTCCGCATTACCTTCGTGTTGCGGGAAGTTGACATGTTCGCTGTAGCTAGAACCATCGGCAAGGAAGTGATATTTCGTCCATCCCGATTGTATGTCCCAGTGATCGGGTTTTGGAGGAAGTTCGTTGGATGCAAAATCTTTCGCGATGTTTAGCCATGGTTGAGCGGACTGACTGCCGATTCTATGGAAATGCTCGTCGATATTTGAGCCTAGGAGGGGTGGGAGGGTGAAGCCGATATCAGGAAGAACAGAACCTTGTTTGGGGTCCAGTCCATGCATTTCCAGATGCTCCTGTGCGATACGAACGAATGCTTTCGATGGTGCTGGAAAAGAGATGTCGCGAAATATTTGTGAATGCAGTTCCCGAGAAAGGAGCTGAACTCCGAGTTCATTGCGCTTGACTGTCCGATAGAATTGGTTGCGAGATCATGGAATTGAGGCAATATAGCGCACCGTGCTTCACTGTTTTTCGGACTACGTCACGTTCTCTTTCTCTTCCTTGTTTTATGTCAGCTCCGCCGATGACAGGTCGCGGTTGTACATGGTTATGATGTGGCTTCTGCTTCTGAACGAGTGCAGCTGCTCGAGCAGAAGTCTGCAAGTGTCGAGCCGACCCACTGGGTTTTCGCACAAGATTGAGCATCCGTGGTTAGCATCAAGGTCAGACTTGCGCTACTAGATGATGGTAGAGTAAAAAGTTCGTACTGCTGGCCCTGATGAGTGCTTATTTTTCTTCCTATATATGGAACTTCTCTAGTCAGCACCTGCACGGTCTTTGCACTTCTGGTCCTCGCGAACGTTTGAACGATCACCGGCGCCGGTAATAGATACTGCAAGAGTTCAATATTCGAGAATCGCCATCAGAAATGCACCAGAATCAGACAGGTAAACATTATCAAGGTCATCATCGTTGGCGAGTTCATTGAGGTCATTGTCATTGTCGTCCAGCACTGCAACAGCCGCGAGCCCCATGAGGCTATGAGGTGTTGGGCTTGCCCTGTGAGATGTGCTTGAAGCTAGCCTGTGTTGGTCGCACGATGCGGTCACAGGTCATAACTGCATCGGCATGTCCTCGGCAGTGTTGCGGATCTTTTAAAAATGTCATGATGGGACGGAACGTTGAGCACTGAGCCCAAGATCATGATCCGTTCAAACAGAGCGCGCACATTAAATATTAAGCACCTTCGATCGTTCACGTTCTCGATCTCATCACTTTCAACGGGAATGCGGTGAGAACGTCACTTTTTGACTACGTGACGAATGTACACGGATGAGGCACAGGTTGTTAGCTCATTTACCTATCGATTTAAAGGGATGAATTTACACTTTTCCCCGGCCCTTCAGCCTTATCCTCATGACCGCTTCCGTCGTACCTCAGGATGATTTCCTTATGGCAGTATGGAGTATTCAGGTGCTGAATGTAAGTGTCTGTCTGAACCAAAGCAGCACTGATTCCAACTGAGAGACTACTCTTACTAGTATTCCGATGGTATGTCCTCTCGCACTATGAAACGGAAAATTTCTGACCAAGGCATTGCAGTCGTGGTGGCTACTCTTTTGGTGAGTTTCCCCTTGGATTTTCAGCCCACCCTCTTTCACTTAACCAGGTGAAAGGTTTATGATTCATTGTTAAGATTCCAACAAGATGTGATGCCACCGTTCTTGCTCGCAGTTATTGATCTCATCCCCCATTTTCACAGGCAGCTTTTCTCGCCCAAGCCAACATGAATGTTCCAAAACTTCTGTATATTGGAGCTCGCTATATGCCATTGTTGATGCCTATTCCTAATCTCATGTGTGAGCCTGCAGCGTATACTCATCCTCTATGATATTTTTGATCTCACTCGTGTCCTAGTTGACCTAGTCCCTCACATGAAGGATGTTGTGCGTAGGCGACCTTGACGATCATATACGTGTCTCTCACTGTTCTCATAGGACTGCCAGACTTTAGGTGATCTTGCAGCAGGTAGGGCTTCTTCATTTATAAGTGATCTAAACGTTATGCTGACAACTATTATATCTAGCCTTCAGCATGATGGTAGCATTCTGCGCAGAATGTTTGTGACCTCCATCACCAGTCTCGCTGGAGCTTTCACTAATTTCTCACCGTTTGTTAGGCATCTTCGTACTCCGAACCTGCGCTATGTGGGAGGTGAAGCGCCCTCTACGTTGGATTATGTTCATGATCGTATCTGTAGGCATCCTTTATTAAAATGCCTGCTAATTTTTACTCAGGGAACTCACAGGGTATGGCAGTTGCCGGGTTAATCATATTCAGTTTTGTCCCGAAGCAATACGTGGTTGTACCTGATATTTCGACATGCCAACCATTTCAAACTGCAAAAACACCAGGGTTATTGGCGGCGTTCCTAATGCTCCTGATGTTAGAATTTGGTATGAAGAACTTCTGTCATAGTTCCTCTGGAGTTCTGACTTCCATCGTCAGTCCTTGTTGTTTTTACCACTATAAGGGCTGCAAAGAATTACAGATCGACACCGATACCACTCCTTACACGTCTCCTCGCGCACCATATATTTTACTATGGCTGCGGATTGCGTGCGTGCATTCTACATCTATGACAGCACAATGAACTCTTTTCTTCTAGTCTTCAGCACTATCAATGTCCTGTGTTTGGCATTGTTCGAAGTCAGTTTGATCCGTTTGCTTCCCAAGCTTCACACGAACGAACTAACGTTCCACTTATATGCATAGTATGAAAATGCCGCAGTTTTCTTCAGGTGTGTGACGTTCTCCGAGTGTTCATAGTAATTGCTGACTTCATTGCAATTAACAGCCCCCAAATAATAATGCATGCAATCTTGGCAACACGTATGCATTACCAGCTCTGGGAGTCCGAGAATGTTCGAAAGAGTGATCAATCAGAGGAGCACCCTATGTCGTCGCTACGTTGGCAACCCCCAGAAGAGATTGCGACGTCTTAGTCAGGTTCATGCTACAGGTGACTTTTGCGGGACAAAGTACCTAGCACTAGTGTCGTGCGCATATACTACCTGGAGTATTATAGAGCTTCCTGCTGACCTCTCATTCGACCATCCGCGATTGATCGAAGATGTCACAAATTGCTGAATGACTGTTTTGGATTCGCTATCAGCTGCCAAGTCCGGAGCAGCGATGTCAATGTCCGTGTCCGAAATCGCTCCTCAATCAAACTGCTTGACTACAGTGCCTATCTCGTCGAAACTACATCTGGCACTGTCTTCTCGTCGTCTGCCAGCAAATCCCATTTATAATCAGCATCTGCTTGTGATCATACTCACCACCTTGTCACACTCATCGGGATTTCAGTTAATTTCGAGTACTGACAGTTGATGCCAATCGTCGATCGAATGTGGAAGGTGATAATACGGCACCACCACGTGCTGATGGGAAAGACACGCCATCACTGTAAGATTCTTCTCTCACACTGTAATGTTGCTTCTCACCGAATCAACTTTGTTTTTCCTTAATCATACTTCCAGTATCAATGCGACCACTCATAAACTCGCACTAGGTGGCCAAGTGACGAACTGGGTTTCAGGAGTCAAGCCCGGAAAGTCGGAACCATCATCCCGTGCATCCAGCATTTCGACTCGAGAGCATCCCTCGGCTACCTTTTCACACAACACTGCTTCCTCTGCAGCAACTTCGGCCCTGACTCCGATTCCTGCAGCTCAAACCAAAGACGTGCCTGACGATCCCCTTACCGGTGCCTTTGGAGACGAAATTGGTGATTCATTAGAGTATGAGGCTACTTGTGCGGGGGAGAGGCAAGACAAAGGAAAACCCAAGGTTAGTGGCAGTGATTTATTGGTGCCAGCGTTTAATTCTTGCTTAGCAGGTCGTCTCAATATTTGATGACAACTCCAACTTTGACGAGTCTAGGGCTCCGTTCATGCAGGCATCGAATCTGAAATCCTCCAAGCGCAAAGCTAACGAAATCTCAGATGAGATGTCAGAGGCTGAGCCTGTGGTGTCTGATTGGTCTATGGAAGTTGAAGGCATCGATGACTCGATCATGGGTGTTGATCAACCGTCTCAGCCTGAACCTATTGTGGCGAAGAAGAAGAAGGTTTCGCGTACAACAACTTCGGTAAGGATCATGACTCTATCACTGCTCATTCTGACACTTGTACAGATGTATGTCACCACTGCTGTTGCCGGTAGTCAGCCGCCTGCTCAAAAAAAGGCCAAGATCGAGCCTTCTGCTACACCTGTTTGCAGCATATTTGCCAAGCTCAAACGCCGACAGAATGTGCCAGACACTACGCCGGAGCACATGAAAGCACGTGACACCTATTGTACAGTTGACTTACCTGCAGCCGTGCGAACAGACCAGCGCTGGACGAAGAAATATATCCCTACCATATTGCTGTGGGCTGGAGGTTATAAAGACATCTGGGTGATCCCAGACGATGTTCTTCTCCATCACGCTCAGCTTATTTTCGACGCAGTATACAAAGATCTTAATTTTGTTCTCGTTCACAATGGTGTGGTACATTCGCTTGTAAGTCCCCTGTTATATCTAATCTTATTTATTAATACTATATCGGTCATTAGACTGCACAGCGCATCTCAGAATGGCGCAATAACTTTGGCTCAACAGCCATAGCCATTATTATGGACTTTATGACACGTAATTCTGACTGCGCTCCTGGCGATCTGGCAACGTCCCTTGTCCACGATTGGATATTCGTATATGAGAACCCTGATAGTCCATCTCCTCTCACAGCTTACCGCTCTCCCTTCATCTTACAGCTGCTTGGCAGGGCACACTTCAACGTCATCAAAGGGTATGTGAAGGTTCCCGCCTTCGACATGCATGAGCTTGTGACGAGTGGGATGCCACGGCTTCTCGCCCTCTCTACTATAGCGGTGAGTTCAAATTACAATGGCTTATTCACACTGATTTTTTTTAAAGATCGAGCATGCCCTTGTGTTGTTCAAAAACAAACATCTCAAGGTCCAGGATGTTTTGTCGCCCGCATCCCGCAGTAAAGCGGCCATCAAACTACCAAAGGTTCTCAACAAATTGACGGGGAAAGAGACCAATGATCCATTTTTATTTTCGGCGACTCTCTGGTCCAAACCAACCAAGGGGTTTATCAAGTCGATTTTGAATAAGCCTGCTGGGTATGTGGAGGCCACCATAGAAATGGCACGCAAAGTAAATGGTGCCACTGATACGCCGTCGAGCGACAATGAGGAGTGGTACGAGGATGAGCGAGCTATGATTGGTGAGCATGGACTGAATCATCCAGGCTTACTCTCACTGACAACTGGGCCCCTGCTGCAGGATATCATTACTGTGGCCATAGCCAATCAATTTGCGGTAGTCTTCATGATGCAACTTGAACACATCCGCGTCCGTTCGAAATCGCTCATCGAGTCAAATTTTCGAATCGCTTGACCATCGGCAGTGCCCGTCTCGTTGAGTAAGACTCGTGCTACTCACAAGGTTACCAAGTGTATATTGATGTAGCATTAACGTATAATCGTGTCTTGTGTCTACAGTAGGACTCTGGAATGAATGATTAATTTTAGTTGAATCACGTGCACATGGCAAAATACTAATCGGTGTCGCGTCCAAGTTGATATACAATCACTACCATATCATGGCACATCAATGAAGATATCGCGGACAACAATAATCTTTCTCACAATGACGGCGGTCCTGGAACATGCCAATTACCAACGCTCAAGTTGATATACAATCACTACTATGCCCCATGAACCCGTCGCGTCCTCCATTTGTATTTGTCACGACGGTGTAGCAAAAATGTACCAGAAACAACGAAAATCTAGTTTTCAACGTTCCTTGAAGTACATCTGCATACACACAGAAGAGAACCCGGTGTGTTTTGGCAAAGCTACTCAGGAGTTGCAGGTTCAGCAAGCCAGACTGGTAGCAGAACGGAAGCAAAATGAGGCACAGAGAACTGAAGAACTCTAATGCGAGGGCCGAGGCCCATCATGCCAAGGCAAGTGTGCTATCCGAAGGTATTCGAGAGTTGCCATGAGCAATGCCTCAGAATCAGACAGGTAATCATCATCAAGATCATCATTGTTGGCGAGCTCATTGAGGTCATCGTCATTTTCGTACAGCACAGCCGCGACTCTGAGCGGGGTTGGACTTGCCTTGCGAGATGTACTTCCTGTGTTGGTGGCACCATACTCGCATCCACGCATGTCGCATGTGACAGGTCAGGAGCTGCGTGGCGGATCTTTTAAAAATGACAAATGGGGTGAGCCGTAAACTGAGCATGCCTATTCATGTCGAGCTCAAGTTCTTTATGATGCTACTTCAAAGAATGGCGCTGTGGCGAAGAGGAACGATTACCTTTCTTCTTTTGAAAAAATCTGAATAGGAGACAGTACACTCAAATAGAAATCTATTCACCGCATCAAACCCCTGAAGCACCCCCGAGTCTGATCACTCACGTTCTCAATGCCATCACTTTCAACGGGAATTTGGTGAGAACGTCACTCTGACTACACGGCGAATGTGTACCTAGTATCACCTACACGGATGAAGTACAGGCTAGTACAGGTTGTTAGCCCATTTACCTGTCAATTTAAAAGGATGAATGGATACTTCTCCCGGCCCTTCAGCCTTATCCTCATGACTACTTCTGTCGTACCTCAGGATGATTTCATGCTGGCAGTATGGAGCATTCAGGTGATGACCGTAAGTGTCTATCTGAACCAGAGCAACACTGATTCCAACTGAGAGACTACTCTTAGTATACTGATGGCATGTCCTCTCGCACTATGAAACAGGGAATCTCTAACGAAGGCATCGCAGTCGCCGTTACTGCTCTTTTGGCGAGTTTCCCCTTGAATGTTCGGCCCTTTCACTTATCCAGGTGAAAGGCTTATGATTTATTGTCAAGATTCCAACAGGAGGTGATGACACCATTTACACTCGCAGTTATTGATCTCATCCCCCGTTTTCATAGGCAACATTTCTCGCCCAGGCCAACACGAATGTTGCAAAATTCCTGTACATCGGAGCCCGATATATACCATTGTTGTCTACTCTTAGTCTCGTCTGTGAGCCTGCGGCGCATAGTCATCCTCTGATGTTTTTAATCTCACTCGTGCCCCAGTTAAACAAGTCTTCCACATGGCGAATGTTGTGCGTTGGCGACCTTGACGATCATATACATGTCTCTCACTGTTTCTATAGGACTGCCAGCGTGTAGGTGACCTTGCAGCAGGCAGGGCTTCTTCAGTTATGACTGACCTCAATGCTGTGCTGACAACTATTATATCTAGCCCTCAGCATTGTGGAAGCATTCTGTGCAGAATGTTTGTGACCTCCGTAACCAGTTTCATTTGAACTTTCATTGGGCTCACCGTATGTTAGGCATCTTCGGACTCCGAACCTGCGCTATGTGGGAGGTGAAGTGGCCTCTACGCTGGGTTATGTTCATGATCATAGCTGTATGCGTCCTTTCTCAAATTGCATACTAAGTTTTACTCAGGGAGCTTGCGGCAACAGGGTATGGCAGTTGCTGGGCTAATCATATTCTGCTTTGTCCCGAAGCAGTATGTGTTTGTACCTGACGTTTCGGCATGTCAAGTATCTCAATTTGCAAAAATGCAACGGTTATTGGCGGCGTTACTAGCGCTCCTGATGTTAGAATTTGGTATGAAGAACTTCTGCCATAGTTTCCTTTGGAGTTCTGACTTTCATCATCAGTCCTTGTTATTATTGCCACTATAAAGGCTGCCAAGATTTACAGATCGACGCCAAGACCACTCCTTACACTTCTCCTCACACACCATATGTTCTACTATGGTTGCGGATTTCGTGCGTGTATTCTACATCTATGACAGCGCAATGAACTCTTTCCTTCTAGTCTTGAGCATTATCAATGTTCTGTGTGTGACGCTGTTCGAAGTCAGTTTGATCTGTTTGCCACCAGACTTGACACGAACTAACATTCCGCTTATATGCATAGTACGAATACGCCGCAATTTTTCTCAGGTGCGTGACGTTTTCCGAGTGTTCGTCGTAAATGCTGACTAGATTGCAATCAACAGCCCCCAAATAGTGATGCATGCAATCTTGGCAACACGTATGCACTACCAGCTATGGGAGTCCAAGAACATTCCAAAGAGTTATCGGTCAGACCAGTACCCTACGTCGCCGCTATTCTGGCAAGCCCCAGAAGAGATTGCGACGTCGTAGTCAGGTTCATGCTACAGGTGACTTTCGCGGGACAGCAATCTACAAGTACTTAGCACTAGTGTCGTCGTATGATCGAGTCTCCTGGTGGAATTGATCAGAATGACAGCTGCCAAGTCCGGAGCAGCGATGTTAACATACGTGTGCGTTCGAAATATTATCGCTCATGAGTCAAATTTTTTCAAACCGCTTGACCATCTGCAGTGCCCGTCTTGTTGAGTAAGACTCATGCTACTCACAAGGTTACCAAGTCTATATTGATGTAGCAAGAACGTACAAACGTATCTTGTGTCTACAGTAGGACTCTGAAATGAATGAATGAGTGAATATTGTCCTGGCATGATAAATCACGTGCACATTGCGTTCAATTTCAAAATACTAATCCGAGTCGGTGTCGGTCCTCGGACGTACAATCACTAGCTACCGCACCATGGCATATATCAATGAAAGTATCGTGGACAACGACGACGATCCTGGAGCATACACATCCCCATGTGAACCATTTGCTGGTAAATGGAACGGCTCGACTCTGTCTCGAATAGCTTGAGGTGGTGGGCAACACGACCCCATCTTGCAAGAAACTCCTGGGTCAGGACTGCGTACAGTCCGAAGAACTCCTCCTTCAATCTCCTGAAGCCTACCCCTTCCCCTTTGGAGAGTATGGTATGAAGACAAGAGGCTCGATGAAGTACGAGAAGACCTTATCTGGTGGTCCTTTACGGTCTCATAATGCCTGGGTACGTTGATTGCCAATCGGTACCACACGCGTTACAATCACCTTGGATCGTAGCACCAAAACCTGGCGGAGGCAAATTGTCTTTGCTTGGACAAGGTATACGACCAGAAGTCGCCAGGCTCAGTCGCAATATGGTTTGGAGAGCGGTATAAAGGATCCAGGCTCGACTCGGATGATGTGTACAAGCGTCTTGGTTTCGTCAGATTCTGTCTGAAACTAGAGCATGACAAATGCCTATGGGTGAGTCGGAAGTCCCCCAGTTGCGCCTGACATTCGGTGTTTACTTTTCCCAATATCACAGGTTCAAAGACCTAGTTGAGAGGTATTGGATATATCTCCAGACTCACCGATGGCCATAACACCCCAGAGCACCTGCACATGTGGAAAATCCCACAGGGCAACTTCTTAGAAGATGGGATGATGGCCGCGGCGCTGTGGAGCGGGATGATGATTACGAGCAGGATGATTCTGTAGTTGATGATGACGATGACGACAACGGTGATGATGACAATGATGATGATGACGACGAGAAGGAAATCTACCAAGAGGATGATAGTGATTTTGAAACAGACAACACCACCTTCGATTTCGCAGTAGATGACGACAGTCACAGGCACGACGAAGACCATACTAACTCTGGGTCCACAGAAAGCAGTGATGCAGATGGATCTGTTGCACAGGCAGAAACGCTCTTACCCTTTCACGAGAGTCCAAATATTTCTCAAACCTCCGGCTCAGATTCAGATGACGATATACCTCTGGATGAATTGCGCAGCAAGACTATAATAAAGCGCTGGAAGAACAAACGTCACGCGTCCTTGGACAACCATCGAAAAATTTGCTCTTCGAGCTCGGGCGAGGAAACTGACACTGCTGACCAGCCCCCGCCAAAACGCCTCAGACGCAGGTCCGAACATGAAGGTGCTAATAATATTCGAGTTTCTGAGTGTTTTGAATACTGACGACAGGACTCCACGTAGTTCGTTAACCTGCCGAGACCGATGAACCTGAGACCTGCCATCGTCACCAACTCTCTCAATCTCTCAGTACTTTGTCGTTGTCTCAGGAATACGCTGGAGGCCCAGACAATGATGAACTCCCGCACGCACCTCGCAAGTCTCTGCGACTTCAAAGGACGTCTGTGCGACGCAAGTCCGGAAACGGCAACTCGGATATGCACGATTATGATACTCATATGAATCCACCCTCGCGCCTGGGAAGACGTCATCGTGCACTTATTCAGTCAGATGTTGAGGAGTGACGATTTCAGTGATAGGCTCGGTGCCTATGCATTTTCACAACAAGTACTTCTGTGGTGAGCCTAAATTAATCTGGAAGCAATTTGAAAACCATGGACCGTACCCTACCGTACCTTTCATCCTGATCTAATCGGTGATCATCATCATGCAAATGCTCCTGATCGCTATCGGTTTCAAAATACAGCTTCGATCAAACCGTCATCTAGATCTGAGCATCTAGATGTCGAGTATCTAGATATCGATGGCCTACCCGATTGCGTATTCCTCAAGCGAGTCTACCCGGAGACTGCCACGTCTGGTACATTCATTCCGACCGAATGCACATCATGGCGACATGTAGGCCGAGGAGACAAAGTGAGCTGCGCTGTGATTATCTGATGGTGCAATCTCAATCTAACGACGAATGCCAGAGTGGATGGCGTTCGGCATGAAGAGACGATGTACGCTTTGGAGAAGTGTGCAACTTACGACCTGCATTGACATTTCAGGGACCCCCGGTTCAAGACAACATCAACCAAAGATGCACAATTCCAGGGTCACTTTGGTTGTCAACCCAGTTCGGATTACAAGGTTGGGAGCACGATCAGAAACAGAACAAAGGATGTTCTGTCCTAGCGATGCCTGAGCCGAAAGTGAAGATGAAAGGGGAATAAGTACATGTCCGGTTGGCAACCATTAGCTGACCTACTTGTCATTAGGAACTGAGGGGCTGACTCGGGTCGCAGACACTGGTTTGTGGAAGAAAATCTGACTCAAGATACGAAAAAAGGGAAATATGTGTCGAAGTCGCGGGTATCACAGGGTGACGAACTGGGTGTTCACGCGTTCACGAGGTGCCTGACAAAGGAACGTAGTTTGCTCTCGCGCTAGGAGTATTAATGTATGATTTAATAATATCGAGGCTAATCATACGTGCGGGGAATATATATTTATATTATCGACCGGGGGATACGCATCTTACGTTATGGATGCGATGTTGTGTGCGGGGCCCGTCCGGCGGTCAGACTTTTGATGAAAGGAGGCCTACTGCCTATCAGTCCATGATAACTTTGGACATCACGAATGCTGCGGAAGGATGGACTTTTCGGCCGTCTTATTCACAATGCATGTAGTCAGCTGTCCATGTCAACGACGATCCGAGTCGGAGGTCGTTGTCCAGACCTGACAATAAGAGGATGTCGAGCGATGTAGGTTTGATCAACAGCCTCGAGCTTGGCCCATGCCTGTCAAAAGTCACCAAACTGATGTTCACCACTGGCTATTAGATAGTGAACGATGATGCTCATCTTAGACTGGTTCAAATCAAGATATGCATTGTAGGTCCCACTGTCGCGGAGTGTCCAATCTTTTCATCCCCGGTATTGTCGCCGTTATATGAGTCCAAGTCATCGCCCTAGTGATGGTAGGGCCACACTCACTATACCATGTTCCGGGAGCAGATGCGATGTTCCGATGATTCAAACTCCGTGCAGCTCGGGCAGTTGCGGCTATCAAATACCCCTGACTTGACTCGATACATACAAATCACGGGATCCCATGTACTACGCCACATTTTCCCTGTTAGCTGACTCAATTTGCTTGTGGGAAGCGCATCTCCCTAGATATAAACTCGACACACATCCATGCAATAAGGCCTCCCCATCTTCCGCCGCCAGCGTTTGCATTGCATTGGTTTCCAAGTATATCTCCCAAGTGAGTCACTCGGGCCGTAATACAAGGCAGTACAAGATTCTACAGCAGTTTCCGTTCACGTACATCCATCATTGCAGTGCACACTGCTTCACCTTTATCAAGTCATCAAGAGGTCCATTTATCCCCTGTTCACATTGTCCTTGCATACTCTAAACACCAGCAACCAGCATGTATAATGATATGCCACCCCTGGTTGACGCAGACACCAATATGGGGCCGCAGCAAAATATATTCCCTCCAGCAGGCGCGACATCTACTATGGCAGGTCATCCACCCCCACAATACCCATTCGCTGGCCAGGGGTGGAATGCACCTATGCATCAGCCATATCCTCCGTTCCAAGCAGCAACCCAAGATGACTGGGCGAGGTGGACTCAATACTGGCAAGCTCAGGGTGCGCCACCAGCGCCACCTATGCCAAGTCCTTATGTACCACACCTGCCCATGAATCCTCAGACCGCTCAACATGACCACTTCCGCAAGCGAAGTAATAGCGCTCCCCCAGCTGGTTTTTACAACATACAGCAACAAGCCGCGCCGTGGATGTGGAGTGCCAGACCTCCCATTCAAGCATTCCCAAGCCCAAGTTCATACCCCCCCGCATCCGCAGTCTCCGAGACACAATCACTATGTACGGCATATGTGCCTCCATATTGGCCAGGAGAGCGTCCAAAAAGCTGGAGATATGGCTTCAAATTCAAGTCGGGTATTTCATCCCTGCTATTCCGAAGAAAGTCTGTTTCAAGACCACCCGATCGTAAGTTATGCTTGAATTATCCACCTTACGAGCGATGCTGATTAGCAGTAGCATCCACCGATAGCGCCCGCCTCAAACTTGATTCAATCCTGCGAGACGACAAAGATGTAATCCTCGATCTCCGTTACAGCCAACATTCCATTATCATTCGAGAGCTGAGGCGCCCAGTAGTCGCAAACGACTTGATGCGACCCTGCACAAACCCACCGACATTGTTCATGCGTATCTATCACTCGCGCTTACCGTGGTACATCGACGTCGTGCCGTCAGGTAATGGCTCCTACGTCACGCTGGGAGATGTGTTCATGCATATATGTCAATCCCTCGCTCGACCAATATGCTACGATGATTACTACAACGATGAGCTAGATGCCGATGACAGGGAGGAGCTTAAGCAGGCGTGGCAGGAGCGTTGTAACAGCAAGAAAGAACGTATGGAAGGGGTGAAGCAGGTTGATTTTTTGCGAGAAAAGTACATGTTTCTGGGGTTGACTCGCGGAAAAAACGGCATGTGGCAGCTGAGTACCGGAAAAGGGTGTTCATAGAGCATATGGAGTGAGGAGATCCCGTGGTTCTGGCAAGCCGCAATTCCACCACCTCATCGTTGGCGATATTATGCTTCCTTATTTCTTCTTGCATTGTGCTATTTTCACAGTCCGCCAAGCGGAGTCTAGAATACTTATACCCCTACAACTGTTCGCGTACTGCGTGCGTGCCCCTTACCATACACATCGGAGACATAGTGTATCGAGTCAAAACATAGCTGTCAAGACGGATATCTGATTACTTGATGTGACGAGATGACATGACAAGTACACTTGTCACCTTGTTACATCATGATAGTAGATTCTAAGCTCGTGAGTTGTAACTAGCCTGGCTCTAAACGAGTATGTAGATTCCCCATGCGTATCGGCGCGCCTTCGTTGTTCATGCACATGTACGCAGGCCTCTCGCACGTTGCATATATGATGCAGTCATGTCGTCTTTTGGCACAAAGATCATTTGGGGCCCGGAGTACGCAACTGTTTCCACTTATTGGGTTGCCGATTTATATATGACATGAGATCCATCATGATGATGGATCTCATGTCATATATAAATCGAGGAATTACCATCCATAGAGACTTCAGCTGGGCGCCCGTCCGTCTCTTACTTCCCCTTCGCGATGTCGGTCGAGCAGGCTGAAATGCACAACGACAAGAAAAGCGAGAGTTTCTGTGTGCAGGCTGAAACTCGGGACATATTCACCGATGATTCGTTGGACCCTGTGTATCAGGCCAAAGCTAGGATTCTTAATGATGCGTTGCAGGAGATTGGAATGGGAAAGTATCAGGTGAGTGACTCGTAGTCGACCCGTTCGTTTGTTGATATGGGAGAAGTGGTACTTGTTCGTGGTAGCTGGATTTGGCTGGCTGTCGTGAGTTAGCAAATGAACTTGAGTATGGCCGTTGATGCACCTACTGAACTTCTTCGTATAGCGATAACCTTTGGCCGGTATGTGCGTTCTTTGTGTCTTGGGCACTCATTTATTTACTATTCTCATAGATTGTCACTGGTTTGATATTGACGCCAGTAGTGAACGAGTTTAACGTACTAGGTCCATGGCTAAAACTCGCTCAAAATATCGGCTTGCTAGTGGGAGCTGCGTCTTGGAGCATTGCTTCAGATGTTTGGGGTCGGAGGTATGATCTACTTTCACAATCTTTTCGTGCTGTCTCGACGGGTGACTCGTAGGTGGGCCTTCAACATCACTCTGGGTATGGCTGGTCTCTTCGCCATCGCTGCTGGGGGATCTATGAACTACCTTGCGCTCTGTTCCCTGACCGCGGTGTGGTCAGTAGGCGTAGGTGGCAATTTGCCTGTCGACTCCGCTGTCTTCTTAGGTAAAGAACAGGGTTTGCATTCAGTCCCAATGATATTAATGCGTCTTGTAGAATTTGTCCCCGCTTCTCACCAATATCTGTTGACGGTACTCTCCGTTTGGTGGGCCTTTGGACAACTGTTGGGTAGTCTGGTCGGAAATTGACCTGGTTACTGCTTTCGGTGCATACTAACTTGCTTCAGGTTGCATGGCCCCTCATTTCCGACTACTCTTGTCCCACCACTGTCCCCCCTTCTCCTTGTCCAAGATCCTCGAACGAAGGATGGCGGTATTTCCTGTTCGCTATGGGTGGGCTCATGATGTTCCTCTGGGTAATCCGCTTTTTCTTTTTCGACCTATACGAGAGTCCAAAATACCTCATGGGACGAGGTCGAGATGAACAAGCAGTTGAGGTCGTCCACAAAGTCGCAGCATACAATGGAAAAACGAGCAACCTCACCCTCGAAGACCTCCAGAGGGCTGGAAAACTGGCTAACACTACGATCGACGATGGCGTTCGTATGGACACATCTGCTTTGGCTGCCGTGCAGAGGAAGATGGGAATGTTTAGCAATAACCATGTTAGATCGTTATTTGCCACTCGAAAGATGGCTTGGTCGACTACTATTTTGATTATTATTTGGGGTAATTCCGCATCACGAGCCAATTGCTTGAGTATTGACCAATGTCTTCGTGTTCCTTCAGCTTTCATCGGTCTCGCGTTTCCGCTGTAGGTTTGTTCGATGTTTTTGTGCCCTTCCTCACTCAGACTTGCTCAGGTATAACAGCTTTGTAACATACTTGTGAGTGGTTCAAAAACATGACTTGTTCCCCACCAACTCTTTACTAGCTTGGCCACCCGAGGGGCAAATTTCGGCGACGGTTCCACATATATCACATATCGCAACGTACGCTGGTTTACTGTCTGCCATTCACTGGACTCATATTCTACCTAGCAAGTTATACTCAGCGTGATAGGCGTTCCTGGAGCACTGATGGCAGGTTACTTCGTCGAGCTTCCGTATCTCGGTAGGCGAGGCACCTTGGCGATATTCACCGGTAAGACTTAGCATAAATTGTACGCTTCAGCTGATTCAATCCATCTCAAGTATTGACAGGCGTATTCATACTGGCATCCACCACCGCACGCACCTCCAATGCGCTTCTTGGCTGGAATTGTGGTTATAGCTACACGAGCAACGTCATGTATGGCGTCTTATATGCCCTTTCACCCGAATTGTTTCCTACCAAAGATCGTGGAACTGGTAACGCGATCGTGGCCACTGCAAATAGGATATTTGGCATCATGGTAGGTTCATTTGTCGTTCACGGTACCTTGTGTGCGTCTTGTTACTATCTAATCTACCGCACAGGCCCCGATCATTGCTCTGTACGCGAACCTCACGACATCTGTGCCAATCTGGATTTCGGGAGCTATCTTCATCGTTACTGGTTTTATTGCTCTCTTGCTACCATTTGAACCCCGTGGTCACGCATCTTTGTAACTAGTCAGTCATACACACCGGGGCGAACGGCTTCATGTCTAGCTTGATATTGCACCCTCGTCATTAACCTTGTAAAAATATGTAAATGAAGCATGGAGTGCATAAGTGCGTCGTCATATTATTATAGGTAGAACGGAATCCCATATACGACTGGTGCTGCCCCAGTGAGATACTTGAGTTTGCATACCTCTCGGGCTTGTGCAATTGCGTTAACTGCTGACATACCCTGCTCTCCTCCACGAGTCGGAGTCAATCTCAGGGAGTCAAAAACCGCTTGTGAGAACTTGTCGATATCGCGGTCAGTTACATCCCAAAGATTCGCCACCAGTAAAGGGCTGCGCACGATGGATGTTAAGCAGGGAGCGTAGACAAAATGAACTTATGACGTACCATCCAGCAAGCATGTAATTAAACGGGGTGCCTACTCTGTCAAAATCACCCATCTCCTTCAACAACCCGCTGGAGCACCCCCACAACATCGTCGCTGCACAGCGCGGCAAATGACGGATTTTGTGTGATCGTACGTACTGTTCTCCTCCACCGTGCCCGAAATACCTGAAAATCATCAAGATCCGATGCAGCAATTAGTCAAGAGTCACTCACACTACTAGATCTTTCCGCGCGAGGGCATCTAAGAATTGCTGTTCGCTTGGCGGCCGTCCAATGACTCCCTCCCAGCCTACACTCCGCATTTGCTCAAGCCATGGTTTGAATCGCCCCTCAGTTCCTTTCAAGTCTCCGCTAGGGTTAAGCACGAAGAACGTCTTGCGTGCATCCACAGATGTCCGATCAACAACACCCCCCGATCGGTTCTCAGCAGATGCAAGTCGGACCCGATCGAGCAAGAACGAAACGCTCGGGATGCGGCTCACGCTCTGGCCCCTCAAGACCGGAATCGATTCCCAAGGAACGCCCTGTACATTGTGGTCCAGGACGAGGAACATGTGGGGGTCGTCTACCGGAGTTGATTCCACCTTCCCTCGTTTGTTCTTGAAGGCGGCATGCTCCTCCAACGCACAGCGAAGATCCACTATCACCTGATCTACATCTATATCTGCGATAGCGACTGGGATGCCATGAAATGTGTACAGGTCAAGGATGAAGAATAGTAAGTCTTCAAGTTCTTCTTCACGACATTTCGGACTCAGGGATGAGAAGCAATCGAGGAGCACATCAGACAGGCGAGGATGTTGCTTCTGTTTCTTGTCTGGGGGAGGAAGAATGCGCTTGAACACCTTCTCAAAACGGACACGGAGATCAGTGATGAGCTCGGCTGATATAGGTAGGACAGGACTGAGAATGGTCTACGAACATTGTTCAGTCGATGTGTATTTGAAAAAAGAGAATACTCACTTTGAATGCACCCAACCAGCAAAATTCGATGTTCTCTAGCAACGCTTGCATCCTTTTATCCAGAACATTACGCTCCGCCCACCAAGCAGCTCTTGCTTGCGGATCATCATTTCGTACGTTGACTGCGTTGCGTGTCCCTTGGTTGCTTAAGCGGATTATCTCAGCGAGCTCCTTTACCGCATCGTCAAACGTGAGGTGTTCGTCTACGTCCGATTCGCGGCGGCCTTTGAGAGGCACACAGAACATCAACGGCTCAGAAGAAATATTCTGCCGAGAGATAAAGAGGGTACTCTTGTCAGGTGTGAGGCTGACATGGACGACTGTCCAATGAGGCGGGAACTGTGACATGGCCGTATTCGATAGCAAGGAAGTGTCTAAAGATTGCTCTGCATACGTCTTGCGGATGGAATCCCAGTACGCCTTCATGCTTGCACTCGAGGAGTCGTCATCGTCAGATGCTTCCTCAGTGCTAGAGGTTCTCAACCGCCGAAGATTAGATGGTCTTTTCCGAGACAGTAGGGAACCGTTGGGCGTCATAAGGGGCCATTCAAGATCGTCGAATTGCACGCTGGGGAATTTATACTTGATAGCCTCTAGCATTTCACGGCGTAAAGTAATTGCAGATGACGCATCTAGTCTAGCGTCAAAATAGGCTCGATCAGGTAGTTTGTAATCTTACCAAGAAGATGCGCAGCAATAATGGGTCCATCCTTTTCCCCTTTTCCAAGGGATGTTTGAAGTGCTTTGATGAGTGCAAGGTTTATAGTCGCTTCGCGGACGTGGGGGACGTTCCCCCGATCCGCAGTAAGTGCAAGGTCGGCCCAAAAGAGTTTCTCTGCTTGGTCCAGAGTACTCAAGATATCTTGAGTCGAAGGTGTAGGCGATACCGCTCGGTCGCTTGTCATGCCCATCGGTAGTGCGATCGCTGTACACAAATAATGAGTTCTTGATGGTTGGTATGCACACTATACCTACTAGATTCAGCCAAAGAGCTCAGGAACATATCCGAACGGAATTGGTCGTAGACGCTATGCAAGGTAAGTTTCCCCATAAGTGCATGCTCTTCTCCCTGTGAACGGTTCAGCTATAAATCTGACATCTATAACAAAGTCTCACCTTTGTATCTTGGGAAGCGGGCAAAGCCATAAGACGCTCTATCAGATCCTTGATCGTAGCATCTCCATCATCGCGCAGTAACCAGACTGCAGTTTACCAGTTAGTAAGTTTAAGGTTTAAAAACGACGCTCCTTACTATGGTGGCGGAGAATATCAGACAACAATGTAGGGACTATTGCTCCCTGTCCGGCGGCAGCTAAGGTAACTTGTGGTGAAAGCGTTACGCTGGATTTACGGCGACTAGAAAGTTTGATTAGAGGAAGTGCATTGAACGCTGGCCAAGACTCTCACCTGCCGTCAAAGGACGCCAACATTCCCTCGAGTTCGCCAAGCATCGCACATGCCTCCTCATAGAGGTCTCTTGCGTCCTGGGTTTGCTCATTCAAGCGATTCCAATCTCCATTCAGCCGCTTCATATCAGCTCCATCCACACCCGGCAGATCCTGTAGCAACTCCGCAGCCTTGACCAAGCAGTCCTTTCCTGCATCTAGCTGCCTCTGGTATAACTGGATCTCACCCATGCGCATCAGTGCACGAGCAACCATGGTCGGGGCATTAATGGACTCGGCGAGGTCCTGTGTTTGCTTAGCAAAATACTCGGCTTCGCGGGAAGAACCACGAGTAAAGTAGGCGTGAGTGAGAGTCAACAGGGTTGAAAGCAGTCCTTCAACCATTCGCCACTCTATCCCGTCCATGAGACGTTTCTGACTAGATAATCTTGAGTGGTCATTGGACCGAGTATCGCTGGCGGGTGACGATTCTGGAGGGGTAGCCTCGAATGGATTTGACTCATCGGTTGCCTTGGTGGGTTTGGAGGAAGGCTGGCTTAATCGAGAAAGCGTGTCCACGGCACGATTCCACAGTCGCAATGATTGCAACATGTACTCTAAAGCACCGCCTGCGTTGTTCTGATGGAATCGAATGAGAAAACGAAAACAACATGTGATGAACAACCGAACTACAGACCCTAGAGTATTGGATAGCTGCGGAGACTCTGCAAGCCATCGCCGCACGCTCGAGTCGTCCAACACGCAGCCTTATCCGTTCAGCGGTCGGTAGAGCTTTGTCTTCGGGCGGAGAAGCTTCAGACAAACCCATGGCTTGACAGTAGAAGGAAGCACTAGAGAACAAAATGTCGAGTCACAATAGAAGACCCTTAGCGTGAAGTAATCTCACCTTTCAAGAATGTTGTTTCCAAGAGCCAAAATTTCCGCATATCTTAGCAAATAACTGATACGTACTTCGTCGGAAATATCATTCGATTTCAGCACCGCTGAACTTCGCGCAAAAATGGAATTAGCACGCTTCGTTTTGCCCAACTTAACATACTCCGACGCGAGATCAACGCATATAATGATGTATACTGTTCAGAAAATTGAGAATAGCAACTTCTAGAAGACATGATACACTCACGATCAGTGGATACAACGGATTGGCGCTCGCAGATGCGCTTCAGAGCCTCCAGAAGCTTGATCTTCAGTAAGGCTAGACCCAGAAGTCCAAGCAAATGGATGTTCATTTCTGTTTGATCGGTCAACAGCGCTCAGTAAAGGATCCTAACCAAGCTTACGAAGTTGACCGACGATTATCTCCAGGTCGAACACAATCACCGCCTTCTGAGCACCAATCATGGCACCAGTCTCCTTTGGAGGCGTGCTTTGAATAACATTTGACACATTCTCGAAAGCTACTCGTGGAACTTTGTTAGGTAATATAACTGGTAAGTGATTCTGAACAACAAACCTTTACGCGGACGTGGTGTGACAAGATTCCGCGCTCTTGTCTTGTTTGTTGTACGTACGCTCGCAGCTCTTGTCGGCTTCTTCGCATGAGTAGGTGATCGCGTCATCTTGGGATCCGTGTCAATTGAAGAGTTAGGAATGAGACCGCGTAAGATGTTGCACGCCTCCTCTACATGGTATGACACGGTCGAAGTCATTGGTGATCCTGCGCTACGATACGCGAAGAGGCTCAACCAAAGATGAACCGCTACGGTGTACTGTGAGCGGAATACCACAAAGGCGGAGTCGTGCCCAAGGTCCTGGAATGGAAAATTTATAACATACAGTTGCAGAACCGAGGCAAAGAAATACCTCAACAGTGAGCAGGTTTAAGACTTCTTCACCCAGGTGCTCCGCGGTCCAGGAAGTTTCTCCACCGTTGGCATTCCCGTCCTTCCACAAGAGCTCCATGCATTTCAAGAGGACTCTAGCCCTGCGCAGTGGAAGAACGGTAGCCTTGTACACCAATAGAACATCTTGCAACAGTCCGCGCACAATAGTCTGCACACTATCCTTCCGAAGGCAAGGTTCGAGAGTTGAAATCTGACGCTCGAGCAGCAGGCCTAGGACCTCGTCACTAATGACACCCGGTTTCAGTGCAGTATGGAGGCTGACTTCACTTGCAGGGAGAAAAAGTTCGCACGTCACTGTGTACGTCAGTCTGTCAACTATCCCACCAAGCTGCTTTGTGCTTGCATTCGCGCTGAAAGCATTCGTCGACGCTGCTGACCTGGCCAGGTGCTCCAGGCCGGATGAGCCATACGGAAAGGCTTTTACGCTCTCCACAAACGCGTCACACGCAAGCTGATAGTACCCAGGAATATTAGCGTTCTACACCAGATAAGTAAGCAATGCAAAATGATCACCTTCCGGTCCCCAATCTTAGAATAGCACACCGCAAGAAGCTCCCACCTGCGATACATCTGTTCTTCGAGTTGTTTCCACCCTTCGGCCCGTTCACCATCTTCTGCGTCGTCCTGTATAAGACTCGCTCGCATGTGAAGTGCCCGTGCCCCGAGTGAACATCCTTCCTTCAGAAAACGCACTGCGCCCCCGTACTTGGAGCTTTGATACAGCGTGCCAGCCAGATTGTGATATGCCCCAGAGATGCAGCGGACGTAGTTGGCACGCGCGGAAGCCGGGATGGCATTCACATGGTCGGGGGTAGAGTCTAGAAGGATTATGGTACGATTGAGGAGGTCGAGAGTGGGCGTATAAGTGTCAGGATCATTGCATTTAAGCCGTATGCGCGCGAGGGAAAATAGTGAATCGAAGGATGTGGTCAAGATGTCTTTACTTGGGTTCTGTGACGACACTTGTCAATTCATCCGTACATGGGTTAGATAGAAGCTTACCTGCTTGAAGGCATCTTCCAAGGCGGTGGAAATTACCATTAGTAGGGAAATTATTACATGATTTTGGACCTTCGCCTCTCCATCAAGGACCTTGATGCAAGCTCGTCTGAGTCTCTCTAGGGTACGTTGGAGCTTTCCCTGCACACGCTGCAGCTCGTCATTCGGTTCTGCTGAAAGGCATAAAAGGCCACCAAAACTAGGGAGAACTTTGGTCGCTTCGTGAACACGTCTGGAGAGGTCATCTGTTTCGTCTGCAAATATATTCGTCAGACATTATAAATATACCAGAATAAACACTGACCGGAGTTTGTATCTAAGCATGCAGTGACTTTAGTTAATATTGCCAAAGCTTTTGCACACTCGAGAACAGCAGTGTCTTTGTTTTTCGGCAACGGAGCAGAGATGTCGAGTTGATTGAGATTGTTCGCTAGGCTATCGACCTCAGCTAACGAGCAAGACGAAGACGCCGGACCCATCAGATCTGTTATGCGATCAAGGGTGCACAAGTCGTTGCTCTGTTCAGCAGGTCAGCACATGTTATATCCATATTTTAATAACTGACGCACCCGCTTTGCCAAACTTGTCCATGTCTCACAGAGCAGGATAAATGACTTTCCCTCCATAAACGATGGTTTGGACTGTGCGATCAGTACGACCTCACCAAGGCACTCTGACACGAGCGTTGCAACGGAAAGTTCGTGCGCTTCTGATACGGGAAAAGAAGATCTGACATACGCCGTGCATGACTTCTGTATTTGATCCCAGAATGTGTTCGGCTGAACGGTTCCAGGACTCGTGGATAGAAGGCACTTGAGTGCATACATGCGGATGAGGAAGGTCGAACGCGAGTTTGCAGACATTGAGGAGCATGATTTTGTCAGCACAGTGTATGCCCGTATGAGCGTAGTGTCTATGTGCTTGCGGGGTAAAGATACACAATAAGGTATCCATGTCAAGAGCGTGCCGGATTCTACCAGAGCTGTGGAGAACAAGTCCGGAATAGTAGTAGTCGATGACGAGGAGGACGTTGCAATATGTGTAAAGGAAATGATTGCGTGTATTAGATACGTTGAGATAAGCGTGAGAAGCGCGACGTCTGCTTGGGGCGGTATCGTTGGCAGCGGGAGGGAAAGCAGGCGAACTGGAAACTTTGAAGTAGTGACAGAGTGGGCTGATACTTCGGAGTCAGGCGCCCTAAGCAAAGCGAGTAGACGAGCATGCATGCCACCAAGGAAAGGAAGGGTAGTATTGTGCTACTTCACGTTTGAGTTGAACTCGCAGGAGAATTCATTTACCACGCACCATCTCCAGAACAAGCAGTTTGCTCATCATGCTGGATGCGGCGCGCTCTACGTCAAGGTCATCCGGACATAGAACACGAAGGCACGACAAAGCTTCATTTGCACGAGAGATAGCAGCTGACACCTTGCTGAGTGCGCTCGACTTCGTTCTCCCCTCTTCCAAATTTGCCTTCCAACCGGATTTTGCCATTAATGACATTGTCTGCAAAGATGCGTTTACATCAAGCATTGCAGAAATCTTTCGTTGTTCCGGAGACTCGTCTTTCGCCTTCTGCTTTCCTTTCGCTTTGGAGGTTGTTCGCTCGTCCCCTGGCTTTTCAACAAGTTCATCGGAAGATGGGACAGCAGTCTTAGGCTTCAAGCTTCTTGAGGCTGCCGTTGCTTTGCGCGAGGAAGCCATTAGAGGCATAACGTTGAGCAATGATGAGCCGCAGCGCGTATAATCGAGTGCAACAAAGATGTTTCAAATTTCTGAGTAGGTCGCGTCATGCACGTGACCGACGCGTGATTTTTGACACGCACGATCATCACACCACCGCGCCCACGGCAGTCTGAGTTATACGCGCTAGCGGGAAATCACGCGCACGCTCTGAGGATACATCAGTACAGGAAGAAAGGAAGCGGGTATGTACTGGTCAATAACGTTTAATATGTAACGAGTGATCATGACTCAGATGAGCGGGAATGTCATGCATATAAACTTTGTATTTCAACTCTATGTCATACGCAACTACCGGAAAATTAGCATGATACGCGTTGCTCTACTGTGCTCCTCATTCCCCAGTGGCACTCGCGTGGTCGCCCCAGTCAATACCAAAGCCAAATATTACCCACGCTATGAGGACTATGGTAACCCCGGCCCCGAGCGCTACCCTGCGTGCATACAATGACACAGAACTTGACAAGGGTCCTTTCAACGCTTCATCCTTCTGCCTCGGAGTCAGGTTCTCGTCCCTCGGGCCTTCTTCCGTAACCGTATGTCGACGTAGCTCCCAAAGCCTCTCTACCTCCCTCTCTACATATTTCGGGCGCACCTGCGAGAGCCGCACAGCAGGCAGATAGCACTGTCCCAACGACGTGTGGCAGGCACCCAGGAGCGCACCTGAGATGAGCACGGAGACAAACGCGTACGCGAGCCAGACCGTCACAGCACCCTCGAGGGAGTTGGTGGAGGATAGGTCTTGGATCTTCCCCGTTGCTGTCACGATGATGATTACGGAGCCCTGAATAATCGACTCTGTAATACACAAAGGTGAATATTCTTCCAATTTCAAGGAGAACTATACATACTCTTGATTGCGAAGCTGAAATTTGTGTCAAAAAGGGAAGCACGATAGATTTGTCAAGCGACTCACGCTGTCGCATAGTAATGAGGATCAGGTATGATGCTGCGTATAATCTCTACTTGCGGAGCTGAGGTAATGCTCTGCAAGATAATGTTAAAGTCCTGAAATATTTTAAGGGCATCTCGATACACCCACCCCAGCAAGCGCATAAAATACATATCCACAGACTAGGTCGAGTTTAGTACGCCATCTGCCTGAATAATTCTGACTCACTGAATGTCGGTACTGTTTGCGAAAATCTTAACAGGAGCATGGAGATGAGGAACACACATGCCGAAAGAAACACTGGCCTTGTGATCAGCTCCTGCATTACTCAAATGATATAATGCTCACAAATCGTTACACGACGCCCGTATGCATCAATGAACATGCCCAAGAAAGGGGTAAGTCCAATAGGAAGGATCAAGTAAAAACTCGACACCCATCCGCCAACTACGGCTCCTTTCTGGAGCCTTTGCTGTGCAAATTGCCTGCACAAAATTCAACACTTATCACATGATTGCAACGCCAATAACTCACGTAGATACCGTTATGAACGACGCCATACCAGCGTTTTGGAAGGTTGCAAAAAGAACCACAAACCAGAACGTAAGGGGCATTTGGCGCACAATCGACCAATTAAATATTCCAACTTTGACGCTGCCCGCACTTGGCTCGCCAGACTGTTCGCAGCGATCGACGACCTCGTAAGATAAACGAAGGTATTTGTCGAGGACGAAGACGGAAACAGCGCATAGAAACGAGAAAAAGCCTATGATGGCGCCTGTCCACAGTGGCCAGGAATATGAGCCAAGATTTTGAGACATGACGTTTGCGGTGCTCTGTCCGACATATTGAGCCACATTTGCCATCGACCTGAAAGGTGGACGTGTACATCAGATGTGAAAATGTAATCACAAAACCTACCATATGAAACCTTGAAAAAAAAACATCGGACAAAAATGAGACCAAGCGCTGACAACTACCACTCGACGAGGCACCGCACTCACCTATGGACATTGCGAAACCACTCCCCGGTGCAAAATACGTGGTGAATATTTTGTGCTGTGCGTTGTCGAGGGATCCGCCCCCGATGGCAGCAACGATCTTGCCCACCATGAGGATATGGTAACTATTGAGTCCATCTGTCGTCGCGCCAGCCTCTACTACAGCACCTGCAAGACAAAATGCGGCGAGTATGGCAGACAGCAGTGGGCCTCCAAATTTGTCGATAATGAAGCCCAGGGCGATACAGAGAAATGTGTTTACCTGTCAGACAGTAAGCACATCGGTCCTGCGCCAGGGAAACAAGATTGACCGTACCATATTCGTCACAGATACCTAAGGAGGAGGTACACAAGAACGTTAATCCCGCCATGTTTCTATTGAGTGCATTTCTTACTAGCGTAGCAAATTCTGAATTATTGATCTTGAGTTCTTGTTCTATCGTTGTCTTCAGAGTCGTAACAAGACCCTATGAACATCCAATTAATCCGCATAATCCATAAAAATTAAAATATGATGCCTACGTTAGACCAGTGGTGTCCGACTTGCACTATATATGAGCTACCAGCGAATTTCATAGACGTGAACACTTACATGTGCACATGCATGTTAATGCAATCATCGCTGCTTGCCATCTTACAGGTAGCTTGGGCTTGACGGAGGAGTAAGACGGAACACTGATTGATGACTGGCGTTTATCTTCGCTTTCGCCCTTGGTAGGAACGACAGCGTCGAGGAAATGAATACTGGCCGTGGACATAATAGTGCCAAGATGCAAAAGCTAGAGCTTTAGTCCACTTATGAGCTGGTGTCCACCTCGGAGAATAGAGGTGATCCCTCCAAGATATGGAACTTGGCAGGCTAACTGTGCAAGTTCTGGGAGATGCTCGAGGGAGTTCGAGAGATGCCCCCGGTTTATGTGCAGTATGATACTTGATGTTACGTCCGCAACACTTAAGCCAAATGAGTACTAGTTAAACGTCAATGTCGTTAGTGGAGATGAATCCTACTGCGTTGGGTAGCCCGTGGTGGGGAAGATCCATTGCGATCCAATTCTCTTTGGAACAACTGTAGATATGCTATGACTAGCCTATTAGCACCCCGTAGATATAGGCCGGAGGTACGAGAAAGTGATTTTGGAATGTTTTCAATGTCGTACCCGTTGACGAGCACTGAGCGTTAGCGTTTGTATACTTCTCTTCGCGAAGACTCCTTCGAAGAGCGGCAGCCACTTTCTAGAAATTCCCGTGCTTCCTTACGTCGAAACAGTCCTTGTGGTGCGGTGCCGGTTTGGGCATGAGATGAGAGGAAGGATATGATTGCAGCCTGAGTGCACATAAGAGTGTGTCAACAGTGAACACCGTGCTTGTATACTTCTTTTCGCGGACTCGGAGTGGTGACGGCTTCCTGAAGTTCTCGTGCTTTTCTACATCGAAACTCTTCATATGTGCTGATCTGAGCAAGATGAAATGCGAGAAAGTATAAAATTTTGACGCGTAGAATAGATTTCGCGTGTGCACGCGCGTCGCGTAGTTCAAGAGTTTGAAGTGCCCGCGTTCAAGCGTGCAACTGACCAACGTTATCAGGTTTCGTCACGCCTCCGATGTCACGCTCGTATATACGTGTTTCGAATTCATGGTTATGTTCATCCTTACGAATTGTAATACACCACCGTGATAGCGAAGCCAGTGTTCTAACGTTCTAGCTCTAAGTGCATTTCATCTAATTTATAATTGCACAAATTCAGCGCTCAGCACCAGTGACTATAACACAACGTACATAAAATTTTGGATTCTTATGAACAATTGAATGTTTTTAAGGCCGCTGATTTTCTACAGGACGAAGAACTCAACTACGTAGAACATTCCTGGTCGTGATGTCAACGAGTATTCGTAGCCCTGGAGCAGCTAGTCGATTCAATCCGTATTTCCAAAATACCGATAGTACTACATAGTTGCACAACAAAAGTTATGGTATGTTCCTGCATCACTGAACCGATACATAACAAACACATTCCTCGCGAAAACTCCCGAAGGAGGAAGAAGGAAAAAATTCACAACAACCAGTCCAAGAGTAGTCTGAATCGAGTTTCACAATCCACAAAAGATGTGAGTCACGAAGTGAACTCAAGGACAAACCAGTCCCACCGCAGTCGCGCCTCGTACGCAAGGAGATGGTTGGTCTCATGCTCCGAGGTATTTACCCTCTTGACTTTAAAAAGCATTATTTAATGATGACTCTGGCAGCGATGAGCAAGTGGCAACTAGTCCACAAGATCACGGTTGGTCCACCAATACGCATACGGTGTTCGGCCGTACTGCGCTAGTAATCAAGAACGCGCTTCTTCACAGACGCATGCGCGATAGCGACAACCAAACAACAGGTAAAGGTTTGCCCGATCCCCGCAACGTTTTCAAAGCCATCGTTCTCGCCCTCTTCTGTGGTGAACAGAATCTTGGGGACGATGAGAAACGAAGCTGCTTTTCTGGTACGTCGCGCAGCCAATTACAGCTGGGCTCTGCTGGAGCCGATCGAGGGGGATTAGAATGCTCAGACCTTATCCCGCTCAGGAATTTGGATGCATGGAGCGATCCTGTGTGTGATGAGCATTCGTGGTTTTTGAGCTGGTTGAAGCAAGAAATGATTTTGAGAGTCCGCTTAGTATTTTATTCCTCTCCAAGGGTTACGTGACTTACACTGTCAGTCACGCATTCATGCTCATGAGTCATGACCGTTAAAATCATCCATGAATCATGCAGGCGGACGAGGCCAAATCCTTATTTCATGTGAAGTTTTAGGGGATACGAGTTCCTCGACAGCCTACTGTGCTAACGAGGGTTAATAGTGTGTGCTTTTCTCGCTTCCTTTCATAAATTGCCATCGTACAACGTGTATGCGAACTTGATAGGGAACGTTGGTTTTCAGTGATGACCAATCTATTCACCCACCAAATTGCTCTAAGATCATCTGTTCAAGTACCTCATCCGGGATAGGAAGTCAGAGCTGCTTTTCAGCAATCGCAAGGTTGAGCCATAGCCGCTCTCTCCATGTTTTGAACCGATGCTTGTCATAAAGTTAAGCAGGAGTTGCAATAGACGGTGTGCATTGTGATCACACGGCGGTGACATACTGCCGGAGATCTTTGAAGATTTTAGACGCAGCCGCCACGGCTCCTCGACAGAATTCATGTACGTGCCTATAATGTTAATGAATCAGCATAATACGAATATCAAGCTGTGGCGTCTTTCTCTTTTTTTCCACGCTGTTGAGTATTGTCGCTGTTGTATCTTAGTACACTGCTTTTTTCGTAGGCTCTCTGTTCTGTTCTTCTATGTGCATTGGCTTATCCTTTCCTACAGTATGCGATGTTCGTCTGCAAATACACGTGCCGCATCGCTCGTGTGCTTGACGAACGTTGTTGTCCACCTCAGGCGGTTGCTCATACCCCATTTACTATGATGCACTTTATTACCCTGAATTTCATCTGTCGTGCTTCGAATCCCCTGAAGACTTATGTTCTGGGCTTTCGTGAGCGCCGAGGCCGTTGTTTGTTCGTAGACTTACTGTTTGCAGATTGTGTGTAGTTTGACGGCAAATCGATTGTGGTGACTCACAACAAGGTGTCCATGTTATCGTCTCTTCTTGTCTTTTAGACATCAAATTATATTGGTTGGCTTCTGACCAATGTTATGATGTATAGGGGTCTGTTATTTCATTTCCTTGCTCGTTTCCGGCACAGTTCCACTATGATCGCAAACCATTTGAGCGCTTTGATGGCCCCCTTCCGGCTCTCTGCGTTGGCTTTCTCACCTGTAGTACTGCCCAGCACAAGGCCGTCTTATTGTCTGTCCTCGTTCTGGATCAGTGTTTTGCATTTAGGAACGCCTTTTGTTTCTGCAGTCAGCCGGCTCTCAAATCATCAGTCCTTTCCAAAATGAAGACAAGATAACGGCGGAAGAAAAGGGGCTTGCTGTACATGTACAGTTCCGAAACCACATGACGGTCAGTTCCTCATGAATTTGTAGAGCTGCGGACAGAACCCTCCTAGGCGAATCTAGAACCTGGACTTAAAGAGGTCCAGGAACTCGCGAGGGCTTCGGAGGGTAGCCTACCTATCAGGTCTAGGCTGTAGTTGATGGAGTTGCAGAGTTTGAATGTATAATGGTGTCATCTTGCGACACTGGTGTACACATGTGCTGGGCAACGAAACACAGTGTACGAAGTCCGGGCTTAGTCTGAGTAGATGAAGGTAAGTCGTCACTCTCTTACATTTTTGGTCTCAGCAAAGTCTTTAGTACTACAGTAAGGTCCCTAAGCTAGCGGAGAGGGTGTCTGTCTGTCTAGGCCTGGGGCGGGTAGGGCGCAGAACATGCAGATCCATTGTCCCAGATCTTCTGTCACTTAGGTTTCATGACGGCTCTATGCAAGAAGATGTGGGACATCCCGGGCCACCATCAGCCCATCTTCCTGGTCATGAGTCGCCCTTCTTTGGTACTCGTATCTCCCACTTTAGAAGGAACACAGGCTCAGTCTGAGCGATGTGTAGATGAAAGTCAGTCGTAACCCTTGTCAATCACTTACAGCTTTAATATATGTCTTCGAAGGTCTCGCACACGCTTCGACAATATCATGTTGCCTGTCCCTTTTGCGGAAAGATAGACATGCCACCACTAACAAGTCACGATGGTGATACTAAGGACATCTAGTCCAGGGGGATCGAGGCTATATCGAATTCCGGTTGTTATTTTTACACACCTGTCGGACGAGGTTGCTGACTTTGTGCATCTTCGAAGCTTCAGGTTCCGAGAAATGCAGCCTGCCGGAATGTCCAGCTGGGCGCGACGTTACGGTCAAATCGTCATATTTTCCATCGGGTCCTCGCTCGGATCGGCAGTATTTCTTTATCCACCCCTTTTGATTTTCAAATCACAGTTGGTCGAGATGTTATGATCAACCCGACCAAACAACTTACACTCTCTATATAATGTACAGTGTTCGAACGACTCATTTCAATCCAACCACAGCTAACAAATCATCTCTCCTGTTGAATATACAATCATGGTTTTCTACGCATATGTGAAACAGGTACCAAAATCCATTCTTCGTTGTCTGCGATGTCGTGCTAAATCGCTGTTCAGATCACGGACAACGTGACCTATCGATACACGATTACCTTTGCTAGTCGCGAAGTTGCGGACGAGTGGTGGCGTGCCGTGTCCACTTCCGCCGTCACTAGTTTCGTTACCAGTGTTCAGCGTGTCAACGCCCAGTTCTACACTCATAACGTGAACGTGGCAAACGCCGCCAACTCCCTCACCACGACTGGGGTTGCGACTGATTTCCTCGGCAAGGTGTTTTTCACCTTGGAGAATGACTTGGGTGGTCGCGGCTTGAGCATCATCCCACGGCTCGAATATTGCGCGGACAACATCAGCGGAAACTCGTAAGTCAGTTCCTTGCAAGATGCTCTGCATTTTTCTGATAGCGGTCCTACCAAAGATTTTTCATTCGTTCTAAAGTCTCTCCTTACGAGTATTGGTACCATCCCCCATCGTCTAACGCGACGAACGCGGTCTATGTTTCGCGCACCGAACGCTCTCGCTTCACCGTTAGTCGCACCGCCAGCGGTACTGCAGGGACCGTCATAATTGGCTCTGACAATGTCGTTATCACGTTGACCACCGTTGATCTGTCCGTTAACGTCAATGGCACCACTGGCCAGGTGATCCTCTCACTTGCTCCCCTGTCGGGGTTGACTTTTAGTACCCTTTTGACCAACTTCACCGTTGGGCCTTCCTTGTCTGTGGATGGTGATACCGTGAAGAAGCTCCTCTACACGGAGCATGGGGAACAGTGGGAACTCGCTTGAATGGCTATCATTTGATCCAAAGTTGTCTTGTACTGGTACTGCTATAGTCTCCCCGTTATGCATTTATGAAGGAAGGAATTGGTTCTCGTACTGTTGGTAACGCTAGGAAGCAATCACATTTTTTGTTGAACGCCTGCCATCACGTATGACTTTGAGATACATGAATCCTTTTAGCATCAACAGGCCTCTCCACCAACCTACGACAACAGTGTTTAGAGTTACCTCTTTCACTAACAGCCGGATGATTGATGAGTGCATCGATGAGTGTGGATCATTACGTACTATTATGATTGCTTTGATCGACGTGCCCAGCTCGACGTTGAAACGTTGATGGGTCAATCAAACTTCTGGTTGGGATTGTCTGAAACAAGCAAGAATCATGTCGTGTCGGCGAGGCCAGGTCCTACTCATAGCGTACCGTGACTGGTACTAGAAACACGACCTTAGTTTCGTCATGTGTCGTTCAACAAAGGTCCCACGTGTTAGTAGGTGGGCGCTCGCACCTGGCCAGTAGCTGCACTCGGGTACATACCATCCATTGCCATACGTGTGGCTCGACGTAGTTGGCTCCTGCGACATAGCACGAAACCATCTCGTCCATGGAGGTGAAGGACGGGTGGCCAGAATCGAAGCCACTAGCACGGAAAGCATAGAAGGGACGCTCATTCTGAAAGTATTTGGCAAGGTTGACGAAAATGAGGACCTTACGACACCAGGGTGAACGAAGAATATCAGCGTTTTATATCCGGTCACTGAAAGGGGAACGATATGGGGGTCGTACTCCTCATCTGAGTGTCCTTCGAGTGTGTGTGGAATCGACGTAGTGGGCCAGGCTCGAGAGAACGAGGTGCTTCAGGATTTGGATGGCAGGGATGTCAGGCAAGTCGAACTGTTTCTCTCCTTCACACTTGAGCCTGGAGATTATGTGTTAGTGAAGGTGGCTTGAAAGCCAAAACGGATATACCTACCAGGTAGCATCGAGAGAAGTACCGCCGATCTCGAAGAAGTTGTCGCTCATCGACACCTCGCTTTCTACCAGGTTGAAGGTGCTGGCATATATCTTAACAAATACTTTTTCCGTCTCAATGGACGGGACGACGAAAAAGACGCTGCGTGCTTCGCAAGTTGGCCTTGCTTAAATCAAATCCGATCCCTGAATGTCGAGATCGATTTCAACATAAAGTTTGGATGATCAGTGTGTTTTACAATTCAGGACTTTGGGTTCAGAAGTCAGGCCGTAGTTTTTCCCCTGGCCACGGCATGCAGCAAGGATGATCCGGTGCGTGTGCCTTCGAGAACCCAGTTGACCCTGACGTCAGGAACAGGATAGCATCGTCTGGCTTAGCCTCATGAGCAACCCAGTCAGCTGCAACAGTAAACCTGATGATTTTAATTCAGAGAGTAGGTAAACCTCCGGACCAGAGATGGAGGTGATCTGCTCAGCTCCAAGCTCACTAGCGAGCCAAGTTGCAGACCCAAACAATTTTGTGATATACATGACGTGGCCCTTCTCAAGTACGGGCTGCAAGCAGGGCAGATAGCCAGACAGTAGGCACGCCCAGACAGCAGCCATATTATCTTCGTCCTCCGTCAGGTGTACCACGATAATTGAGCCTGTGGGTTTGCCCCACTCGAGCATGGCCCGTGCAAGGTTGCGAATATATTGGTTGAACATGCTGAAGGTCTTCGCCTGAATGGAGGAATCGTGTGCCGAGGAGTTTATGAAACCAAGCTCGTGTAACGGATACCAATCGGCAGCGCGATGGCGTCGTGGAGAGAGCATGGGGTACGGTAACAAAGTCGGTAGTAGCAGCAGGCAGAGGAGACTACAGGTTCCATAAGTTGTGTCTCTAGCCAAAGTAATATTACGAAGGTTAAAAAAGGTGTCTAGGAAGTTGAGTATTTGCCTACATTCTTATACACTGAAGTCAAAACACTGTAAAGTGAAACATACCACACTACTTTGTAAGGGAAGCGAAAATCTCAATAGAGAGTAAACTGGTGTGCGGACTTTCGACTCGACGGTTTGACTCCACGTTGGTGCGATAGTGGCATGCTAGCGGTCTATCTTGGCTAATCACCTAGCGGCCACGTCAACTTTTTGCTTTTAAAGTTGGTTTCAGGCATGGTTGAAAATGTCGAGGGCATTATGAGAGAACGGTTGACTACATCGAGTGAGAAACCAGCAACTGGCGGAGAGATACTGACAATATATTGTGTACTGGCGCTCGTCCATTCGGCTTGGGGCAAACGGCCGAACCAACCTCGCGGTGAGCCGACAGAATTTGATAGGATTCAGTTAGGATAGCGTAACCAGTACCGTTCGGCTTCGGGCAAACGGCCGAACCAGCCTCGCGGTGAGCACAAGACGACATAATTTGGTAGGGTACAGTGTAACCGGGATGCCCAGAGGGCCATGGCGAATCATGTTGCCGATGCTATCTGGAAGTTGGTTGATTAAGTAAGCGCACGCGGGTGGACGACACTCCAAGGGGTCATCATAAGATTATACGTTGTGGAAATGTTGTGGATGTCGTCGTCGTCGGCGAAAGCATGTGTAAATATTAGGTGGCCGTGTTGGGCAAACTACGAGGGCCGAGTACCGACGTAGCTATACTACGTACGGTACACCCGTCGGACCCTTTCAAATTTCGACTTTTGGGAGCTGCAAATTCAGCGGCAACCTGCATTGTTGACTGTTGTTGACGTGATTTACCTTTCAGACTTTGTGTACCATTTATATTCCGATCCGGTGGACAGTAAAAACAATTCAAGCCCACAGGTCTTGTTAAACAGTGATTCATTGCAAGCATACGCACATTCAACTTTACGATTAGTTAAAGACAAATCAACCTTGGAAGAGACAAAAAATTCAACGATGATTCACAATATTTTTATCGACCTGAACGCGGTCAAATGTCAAGAGAACAGAAAGGTGGCACGGGTACAAATAGATCATTCCGCCTGCATGGGCATCACCTGGCCGCCCTTGGCTGCAGTCGGTGTAAATGTATGCCATCTGTCGTTGAACCGCACGTCGAGAGGGCGTCCACCATACATGTACTGCTGGAATTTTGCTGCAAGGAGACGTTAGCGTGCCCTAAAGAAAGTAAAATGAAAGTTGCTCACAAATAGCCGTCTGCGCCTCTGGAACCTGAGCAAACTGGACTACACCGCATCCCTTGGATCTAGCGCCATCGAAGAGGATTTCAGCGAGTTCAACTTGCCCAGTAGTCTCGAACAACTCGACGAGATCTTCATTTGCAGTAGACCAGGGGAGCTAAAATGCACATAAATAATCTTGTCGACAGAAAACAATGTCAGAATTGCTCACATTGCGAACCATGATTTGCTGACTAGGCTCCGCATCATATCCACCACTGGCGCCACCACCACCCGCCACACCATAGCCACTGCTCCCGTAGCCGCTACTGTAGCCGTCCATTCTCAGGTCACCGTGAGCAGCAGGCTGGTCAGGACCAGAGTAGTCTGCGTACAAGTCCTGATTCGAGAAATCGCGAGCAGGACCAGAGGGCGCAAACCCGCCGCGGTAGCTGCCTCGGAAACTACCCCTGAGGCCACCACGCAGACCACGACCACCATAGCCGCCACCGCCGCCGCCTCGGAAAGGGCTACCACGGAACGAGCCTGGGCCAGAAAGACCCGCATAGCGGTCCTAACAGATGATCAGCATTGTATCGGAGAAAGAGCATCACCTCCAACTTACCTCCCGAACCTCCAGTGTCCGGCCATACCAGTCAAAGCCGTGGTACATACCTGCATGACGAGTTAGTCGACATCTACAACAATGTGAATACACGTACCGATGGCTTGCTTAGCATCAGCTGCAGTCTCAAACACTACAGTTCCGGAGCCCTTGGGACGCCCGTCCGCACCAATGTTAATATCAGCCCGAATAATATTACCAGCCGAACGGAATAGATCCTTCAGGTCCTGCCAACCAGCCTGATACGGTAACTTTGTGGATGATTCAGCACGGATAACAGACGATAGAGGGACAAACCCACATTACCAACATACAGCTGATTACCGGGGTTGTTGTGAGTTCCAAAATAATTATGATGGGGCGGACGTGGAGGTGGCTGCGCATGCAAACCTTGTCCTGCCATCGCCATTCCAATCTTGCCTGGGACAGGCGTAGCGCCGAAGCGCGACTCGTTCTCTCGGTCCTGTCTTGTAGTGTGAGTATAGCACCAACCAGACAAGGGAGTCGTACCTCGCGAATGAATACAGGGCGCCCAAGCATGGCCACCTCTGAGAGTTCGCGGATGGCGCGTTGCGCATCCTCAGGCGAAGCAAATTCGACAATGCTGGTGACAAGTCAGTTATGATTATGGATGTCGTGTGAGCCACTTACCCGCAGCCTTTGGACACTCCCGTTGGCGTGACGAGTACTTCGGCGAATAGAACCTCACCAGCTATCAATCCCCAAAAGAAAACTCCCATCAATATCCTCTCAATCCAACCATCCATCAATCGAAAAGCCAAGGAAATAAACCGGCCAGGGCACCACACCACTCTCCCTCATCAGCTCACACTCGCCAGCACCAGCTGCCTTCTGAGCCTCAGCAGAACGGGTTTACAAAGTGGCCACACCCCGCCCCTCTCCCCAATCAAAGAAAAATCTAAATTCCCCAACCCACCTCCCCTCATGAATTCCATTAGGTCACGGTACTTGACGTCGTAACTGAGATTGCCGACATAGACTCGGTTTTCTCTCTTGCTGATCTTGGCAAATTCAACGGCTTCTTCATGAGTTGCGTTCATGGGCCCACCAAGGGAACGAGGGAACGGATCAGCTGGCTTGCGGTCACCGCGGTCACGACTGCGGGAGTGCGAGGGCGTCCGACTACGACTGCGAGAGCGCGAACGGCGTGAATGCCTGCGGTCACGAGGCGAAGCTGAACGACGCCTTGGAGACCGGGAACGTGTTCTACTGCGCGAACGCTTCCGGCGCTAGAATAACCAAATGTCAGGATTGATTGTAAAACAAGTGGTAGCAGGTAACTCACATCTCCATTCCGTCTGTCGTCTGGTTCCCAGTGGTCAGTCCGACTCCTACCGCCCCGACCTGACGACATGTGAAAAATAATGAATTTTTGCATGACGCCAGGTAATACTACACACCCGTGTCCCTCCTGTCACGATCACGGTCCCTGTCGCGGTCTCTCCTATCACGATCCCGTTCACGTTCTCTGTCGCGCTCCCTTTCACGGTCCTTGTCGCGGTCGAACTCGCGGTCTCTCTCTCTGTCACGCTTGTCGTCGATCTCGTCCTTATTTTTCATGTCAACGTCCATTTTTGCGGTGTCAGAGAAAGCAGATATGAAGTAGGAAAGGAAGAGAAAGAGGAAGGGAAAAGACGGAACCAAGTAAAAAAAAGGAGATGAAGAGGAGGTTATAATTTGTCGTTGCCGATCAGCTGACTCACGGCGGTCCATGAATCGGAGATCGAATAACGACTTTGCCACAATATGGCTTGGTAAGCCACGCTCCGTAAGAGAACTTGGTGCTTTAAGTGCATCTGCAAATATATTCAGGTCTGCAGCACGGTGCTGAAATTCGCCACTCAAGTACTCACCATAGGCCCTGTGTGAAGATCTTGGCTTTACAACACCTCCCTTGCGTTCACGGTCAACAAGCGTTGACCTCTACTGGGAGGCAAATTCTGCAGAACCAAGGTCAACTGATGCGCACTTTACTTTTTTACATTCTGCAGATATCATATAATATTAGGATATTTTTTCTACACTTGCACATTACATCGTTTTTTTCGTCGAGCTGTGTTTTGTCACTTTTATATAACGTGATGTTTGTAGAGCCATATTTCTCACTCTGGTCTCAAGCTTGCTTCGGAGGACACATGGTCATCTGCCCTCATAACGACCACAAACGCAGTCATAAGGGCAGAGAACGCAAGCATCAAGGAGCATGCGCTCAACACGGTGTCCCTAGCACTCGACACCCCGGTCATCAGGGAGACGACAACAAACACGTTCAAGGGGACACGGAACAGGGAACTCAGCTACAGCATTCGGGTCAGCGCCTGCTTTTTACAATAAGGAGAGGCGACGTACTGTTGCTCGGTGCTCGTTTGAAATTAAAGTTCCCCTCAACATCCCTTGCACAGGATAATACATCCCCACGCACGCTTCGAATGCGCAGAACGCCCAGAACCTGACGCGCTCACTGTCGCTTCTTATGCTTGTTGCTAGTGCGAGGGCAGCAAATGCACAAACTAAGCTACTGAGCTTTGCGTGGACCGTCAGACCGCCGGATTGAGTGGTGACAACACTGTAGAGGAGGGATCCGAGCATCATAGATATCATGAATGAGGAGAAGATGTAGCCCAGCGGTAGTGCAATGGTGGGAAACGTCGGCGAAGCTTCTTGAAGAGATGGTACCCAGAGGAAGACAAAGAGGTACATAGAACCCTCGAAGCAAGTTTGGGTCAGGCCAATGACGAGTAGCATAGGATCTAAAATCACATTCACGACCTGAATATCATAAAAACAGGAAATGAGCCGGACTCACCATCTCTGACAATGCGCCATGCCTGCCCCAGTCTTTTCAGCTGAAATAAATCCTTGCCAGTTGTTCCGCCACCACCAAAGTTCTCTCCCCAACTTGCACGGATCACAAAGTATGCTAATAGCAACAAGACTCCGCTGGCAACGAAAGGAGATGTGAATGAACCTGTCAAGGTGACAAGCTGATTGCTTGCAACGCCTGCGCCTGTTGCAACAAAGCCATTCACGAGCGTGGCGCGTCCGAATATTGTGGAAAGATCCGTTGATGGGAGGGCTAGGGCTCCAGCAGAGCTCACCAGCCAGGACTCAAACGCAGAGTAGAGGATTGATGTTGAGATACCTCCGCATACACGTCCAAGGAGAAGAATGGGCAAGTACGGAATGGTTATGCAACAGCAGGTGAATATATATGTCAGGCAAAAGGCAAGACAGAGTTTTTTGCGTCCACTACAGTACTAGTCAAACAATTTTATAGCAGTAAAGAGGGCATATGTGACGTACTGTTGATCCGCCCAGACACCCACCAAGGGTGCAGTGAGCCCCGCGGACATAAACCCTGTGACAAAAAGGACTGCGACCATCCGTTCCGGGAGACCATACTGTTCTCGGTATAAAGAGTACACATATGGTCCCTGGAGCCAATCAGCACCTAGATAAATTGATGACCACGTAATTCCTATGAGCAGAGGATGATCCATACCCATTACGATTGCATAGACAATGAGATACTGCCTTGTCAATGTAGCTAGAAAGTTGTTTGATGTCGTCGGTTCTCCATCTTCCAGGCGCTCGGCAGTGTGGAGGTCTTTCTCCTTGAACTCTTTCCGTCGCGAGACTTGGCGCTCGAGCAGGAGGAAGATGAAACACAGGGAGACAAGGATAATCAGTTGGAATTCATAGAATCCAACCATGCCAGGCGGGCCCTCAAACGACGAAAGTTGGACTTTGCGGGTCCACTAAAGGCTGGAATAGATAGAATAATGTGAATGTGAGGAACGAGAACTCTGTTAAAGACAGCAGGGAAAGGAATGTTGTGTGTGTGAGATACTTGCTCTCCTCAGATAGATTCACGGGTAAATGTGCACCACGTCGGCATCCTCCAGCACAACAAGCACAGCTAAACAGACATAGCTCATGGTACAGCAATTGCAAGCGACTAACAAGTTTGTATAAGGAATGTCAGTACTAGGAGAGACTGAATTGTACTAGCAGTCGGTTCCAAGTTGCTGCAGCCTGCGAAGTAATTTGGTGATGTGGAACTGCCTCGGGCGACGGGTAATACTCGGTGAGCTTCCAGCTTAACGGAGGATAAGCGATGTCCCTGGGAGCTAGAGCGTAGTTTTGGCATAGATAATGCATGCAGCGAATCTGGCCGACTCAGGAACCCACCCATCCTCTAGTACTGGTCGCTCGGGGCTGCAACTTTGCCAAGCACTCGCCCACCCAGGCCGCACTCTGCAAGTACTCTCGGTACTACGCCTTCAAGCTCCCTGCACCCTCTTATCTCACGCACCGGCTCTTTCGTCGTCTTGCGCCATTAATAGCAAATCGTGCTCATCTTCTCTCAACGCTCCCCCGCACTGCTTCCCACCCATCTTCGTGCCGCCGGGGTCAACAACCTCCAACATTCTGCCATGTACCCTCGAAGTATTATTAAACTCGAGCTTGCTTCCTTGGGGGCCGGTCCTAACAACAATCACAATCTTTCACGGTGGTTCATTGCGCGTGACTGGCATAGTCTGTACTTGATGCATACTTGGCATTAGCACCCTTCCTTATGTAAAGTCTATCTGCGATCAAGGCCTGGTTCCTTCGTTCTAGACTGGCTTGGCTGGATTTTGATCCTAGGCACAAGAATACCGCAAGTGGGATAGTACGGTGCCGTCCTTATCTACTGATTTGGCTAATATGCCGGATACCGTATCATTACTACCCTAGATTGTTAGACAAGGGTGCCTTCATTCTGGACCTTCTCTTGTTGTACTCTGGGCCCCGTTTATGAAGAACCCCGATCAATACGGCTGCCGTATCTTATATCAGTCACCGGCAGCCTGATCACTGATATAGATATCCAACTACACCTATCTGATCGTCATCGCCAACGAATTGAATAGCATGGCGATGTTCTTCAAGTTCGCCTCATTCCCTGGATCATACCTGGAGATAGGAGCGAATTGCGTTTGAAATCTCTTGTCATTTACGTCCTGTGTGAGCACAGGTTCCGAGCATCATCCGCTGATCCCTGAATCAACGCTAGTGAAACATGCTAAGCCTTTTGAAACTCAGTCATGACCAAATTGTTAGTAGTACTCCGAGTCCTCGTCGGCGCTGCCTTTGTGACAATAGTCCTCGGTCTATATTTCATTTCCGAACAATGTTTATATACTGTTTTAAGGAATAGATGTCGCCCGCGGAAGTTGGGCAGGCGAGGATGTGTTCTTGCACTGAAATTCGCGTGCTCATCGCTACAGAGGATGATACCAAAAAGCCCCAGGAGACAAATAATAGAACACCACATAAAAGATTATTATATACAAATTCTCCCGCCTTGTGAGTAAAAATACGTCAAAGAACGTCCAAGATCCCCAGTAAGTATGATTAAATGATATTCAAAATCTGTCATCTGTTATTTAGCTATCAAGCAATCACGATGAGCACAGCACAGCGTACCAACCATCCAGTTCATAACTTTGCGATCAATAACCCCAGAACCACAACTAAAATCGTGCTTGGTGGGGTGACGACGCAATACGACCAGAAAACTGTCCGTGATATTAGCCTCTCAAACGAGTCGTTCGAGGCCGCTTGCGTTATCTGTTCAACACAAGAGCATTAGTGCGATTAAGAGACTACTAACACCACAAAACGCACCTGCGCGAGCGTCAGAGCCGGTGGACTCGCTATCAAGAGTACATTTGACACCACGAACACGGGGCTATCGAAAAGCCGCACATCAGCAACTATCCGTAAGATAATTCAAAACACTTACTCCGCAAAGATATCATGGATATCAAGCTGAGCAAGAATCGCCAACACAGGAAGCATCACAGCTGGGACGATTACCATCCTTGCAAGCACAGCCACGAACACAGTCTTGCCTTCCCCAAGCGTCTGGAGCTGCGGCTGCTGTACACGTTTAAGTGCCAGCATCTCCTGAAGGGTACTGAGCAGTGAGGTACGAGACTTGTTCTGCCCGAGGTCCTGCCTTGTCTCATCTGTCTCGTAGTCCGTCAGATCTTCATTTTGCATGTCATCCTCGGGAGATTCGGAGTAGAAATATGCCCCAAGCACCACAAGCGTAAGTGGTATACTGCAGTTGCCTGCAGCACCAAGCGCGCCTTTTACCGGTTCCATGTGTTCAAGCGCAGACTGGAGCGGCGGAGTACACGCGACGACGAGACTAAGTAGGGAAGCCCATAGAGGCATTGTCATGAACGCGTTGATATGGCGCCATGCATTTTTGGTGGACTTCCAGGCATGTCGGAGACCAGTGCGGTGTCGACGATGTCGGAAATTTTCACTCGTAACTTCTGCCCCGTCTTCTATTCCATCCTCTGAGTCTGCGGGTGTGACACTGTCCGAGGCCAAAGGTGCATCTTCCCGCACAGGTGAATTTGGGAAAGAGTGATATATAGCCGTGTTCCGTGCTGGGTGCGGGGAGTGTGAATGCGAAAGTGAAGACGACCGTTGGGGTACGCGAGATGGCGACAGGTGAAGGTGCGATGGCAAGGGGTGCGGACGTAGCTGTCCATGGATATGGCCTACAGGCTCTGGGATGAAGGTAGGAATCTTACACGCTGAATCTTGATCATTGTCATCTGTGTCATCGAGAGGCGAAGTCACGAATACGGCTTGACTATGAGCTTGGGTTTGCCAGTGATGCGAAGGGCTTGTGGGATGCACCTGAGTTTGCCAGTGATGAGAAGGGCTCGTGGGCCGGAACCTGGATGAACGATGGTGCTCGCTAAGCGTCGTCTCGTCTGATAAGGATGCATTATCAGCGTATTGGGCTCCTTCGGCATCATATGGCACAGCCGCAAGTAGAGGCGAACGGGGAGAGGTTGGCGTAGGCGGAGTATCGGCAGAGGCAAGCAAACGCACGCCGTAGCTCCAGCGAAGCTGTAAGCGATGTAAGTAAAGGAATTACAAACGACGGCTCCGAGTACGGAACGAGTTCAAAATAACCGGCTTGGGAGTTTCGTTAGAAGACGAAAAAGGAACGGACGCCAGTTTTGAAAATAAATAACAAAAATAAATAAAAATCATGAAGACCAAGACATCCAACTGAAATCCAGAACAATTGAAACACGATTCGAGTTAATGCAACGCACCATCATGCCAAGAGTACTATACAGCACGAGGTACGTGAGTGCACGACCCAACATGGCGTCCGTGTTGTCGTCTGGGGTCCATTTGAGGCCACCTACAGTGATCACAAGGCTTTGCATCAGAGCGATGGGTAGTGAGTTCGAATTCATGAACATCGAAGCAGCCATAGCGAAGTTACTAGAAATAGTTAGTTAGCTCTGGCCATTGTAAACACAAGAGACAAGGGAATGGAAGGACAGGCTAAGTGACGAAACACACCGATGAGATTTCTTCAGTCCAAAGATCCTCGAAAGGACTCTGGCTACGAGCGCAGAGAAAACCGTGACCACGATGAAGAAAATTGGAATAACCCATAGTTCCTTGAGTTTTGCTGTAGGCCACGAGGTTGGTTAGAATGCTGCTGATGGACGAAATATGGGACGCACCTGGACTTAGGAAGAATGCGACTTTGGAGAACAACAAGGCAGGCGTGAACAGGGAGATGTTGATATGGTTGATCACCTGGATTTCAAATCAACAAGATGAAACCAAAGTACAGGGTAAAACGAACGCGTTGAGTGGGCTTATCAATGATACGGCGCCAGGCGAGTATGTAACCTGCGATACATAACAAAAATACCTCTAAAATTGACTAAAAGCCAACAAGATCAATGGACGGCAGGGTGTTAGTCGAATTCCGAACACATGCCTGGAATACAGTAAAGAGAAGTGGCCAGATTGGAGTATTGTCCATGGCCCGGGATGAGCAGTCCAAAGAGAAGTTTGGAAATGACAGGATAGAGGCTAAATAGTTACTGTGGAGAATGGGAAAATAGTGAACCCAAGAGTTTTTGTGAAATTTGGAAACGCGCCATAAGTATAGCCACGCAGTGCTAACGAAATTCTTGGCTAGCGTCATGCGTAGCGCACGTGTGGATTACTATGACCGGTTGACCTTCCTTTTTTTGGCAGTTTAATAATGAGGTGATTGGGACTCGCACGAGTTGCTTCCTTTTCGCAATCTTCAATCATCGTGGCGACGGGGGCCGACTTCTCGGTTACATTCAACCGCGGTTGTCGCATACCACAATGGCTTGGCGTTGTTCTGGTCGCACAAATGCGGACCTCATCACAAACATGCGCACAGCACGAATCATCACAACAGATACAGTCGGCGAGGTCAGTCGATTCCCAATTACAAGTAACCACATCAACCTGAGTCGTAACAGGCCATGACGAAAGTCGACCGTGCCAATTATGTCATACGTAAATCAGAGGCATATGAGGACTCGCCTCAGTGCGCATCGACCCTCTTCCTCGACCCTTGCTACTAAAGTCCTATTGCACAGATCTATCGGGCATGGCGCGACTATATCGGCACCACACATGGCAAGTCCTTGGAATTTGAGGACATTGTCCTAACATACTTTTCTATAGCATGCTCATGCAATCGAGCACCTTCTCGACTACCTCGGTCCGGGCAAGCGCGTCCTGGATGTAGGTAGTGGGTCCGGCTACCTTTCTGCCGTACTCCACCACCTTGTCCCAGGCGGCATTGTCGTTGCCATCGATCACATCCCTGAACTGGTTGATTGGTCAAAGAGTAATCTTAGACAAGATGGACTGGGCCCCGCTCTCGATAGGGGCGACATCGTCGCGGTCACTGGTGATGGTCGTCAAGGTTATAGCAGCCTTGCCAAATATGATGCAATTCATGTTGGTGCCGCTGCGCCCAAGATCCCACAGCAGCTGGTAGACCAGCTCAAGAGCCCTGGGCGGATGTTCATACCAGTTGGAACATTTACTCAACAAATCATACAAGTCGACAAGGACGAAACTGGTAAAGTCACAAAGAAGAATTTGATGGGGGTCATGGTAGGCTTCTTCGAATCTTATTTCATTCGTCGCTGATTTGTGGGCAGTATGTTCCCCTTACGGATGCAGAGGGGCAGAAGAGAGGCTACTGAAGAGGTCCCGGATTCAGCGTTTCAGATTTGCTCAAACGAATGAAGTGCTTTGTTATTTTCATGTTTGCTTTCAACTAATCATCAAGTTGTATCAGTATCTGTCACCGTCGATTACAATAACCATGCGGTTTTGTTCACCTTGTCTGATCAGGAAACACGAGTGTACCCAGCTTTCAATCTATCGATGTGACGTCAGAACACGACAGATGTCACGCCGTGGTCCCGTAACTACATGCAACGCTCGGAGTCGCTGTGGTACCATTCGTACTGGACACCAGTGTTTTGGGAAAGTTTTACCGTCACTCTCTGGTATTTATACATGCTGAGCCGGCTGTTCCCAGAGCAGCGCTAGCGTTTTCCGATGGATCCACCTACATGCTGAGCTTTTACATGATACATCAACAAAAGGACCCTCTATACACGTAAGTGCAAGGTCCTTCCACATAGTCAACGCGAGTAGCTCCAGGTGTACGTCTCAGAGGGTGAACGCTGATCTTCTAGGCCTCGGACGAGATAAATCAGCAAGGGAATTTCCCGGGGGGCGTGCTCAATTGGATGATCATTTGAAAGAGGAAATACAACTACCTGTCACTTCGGGGCGATCCGAGTAAACAGCTGATCAGCGATTACACCGCCAAGTCATCGTGAACCAGAGTCCCGGCGCGCTGGATATGTAGGACGTCATATTATTTCATAGAGGTTGTGCGCCCTGTACCGCTGGTCTACGAACATTAGTCCAAGCTTCTTGCGAACCGCAGTTCGGTTGGCTGCGTGCGGACCACGGTACGTATTCCGTGTCGACAGTCTGATAGCTGCACGAATATGCACATCTATTCTGCAAACGGATACCACACCATTAATCGTGTCTTCTCATGATTCTGGTTCATCTTGTTTGTGCTATTTGACGAGGGACTTTGTATCACGCTAGTATGATGTGCGTAATGTGCGTAACCTCTACTTTGTTGAAGATGCTAACCTGAACGCATCGCAGCATGTCAACGTAGGCTTCTATTGTTTTGCGTGATTCTGCTTTAACCTGCTACATCAATTCATAGTTGATGGAGACGCCAGTCTCTATGAATAAAATAAGTACGGCGGACTGCCTCGAAACATGAGAAGGACCCACAGGCACATAAATTTCATAGCAGTCGACCCATATCTTCACTACATCATGTGCATCACCACTATATTTCCCATCCGACAGCACTTCGACATAAGGCAGGCACGTCGTTATCGACTCATCCTCCACTACTATCGTGGATGGCTCTTTCACCACTCGTCCTTGGCCCTGTCGGCGCTGAACAGCCAAGGGGCTGAAGTCCATCATATGTAAACTATACTCCGTAACAGCCGAGCCGTCATCTGCTGTTGCACCCACTATAGGGACGGCCAGAAAAACTTGATTCCCTCTGGCGCCAAATCTGGATTCGCTGGATTCTGTTTGAAACGCACGGGTGTTTGGAGGGCCCCACTGTTCCCAAGGTATCTTATCCAATGTCTCTTTAAATGGATCAAGATTAAAGAAAACCTTGGTGGAAATGGCGAAGGCTACACGGTACATGATGAAGAACAGTATTCGATGTTCAGGATCTGAGGTCCATAGTGTTTGATGTGCTTCCATCTGCGGTTGTGGGCCATGAGCAATATCGTCTGTAGGACCAACATACTCGATGTACATGTGCACTGATATGGGCATCGAGAAGCCCGCCAGGAATGTCGGTGCTTTGGACATATCCTCAATCGAATAAAGACACAAACCCAGGTTGTTCATGGTCAGGAATCTATTATTTCCGAGGAAACAAAATTCTACGTGTGATGGGTGGCTGATGGCACTCTAGATGCGAGTCAATTGTTAAAATCTATTATCAACTATGTCTTTTTCAGCAAGGCTCACGTTGGATGTCGTTGAGTGTTGCCAGTCCCAGATCTGCAACCACCAGTAGCCCGTCAGGACGCATTGGATAGCAATATGCCTCCCGAGCCCCTGGAGCTTAAAAGTGCGGGCTTGAAATTCATCAAGTTCAGATGGAAATAACGTCTGTCCAGCAGCTTGGGGGTGGACACCATCTCCATCCAGAGCTTTGAGGTCAATATAGAACGGGCGATCGGGCCAGCTCAGAGAATTACGATAATGGTCATCATCGGTGCTATACGCGATAGCAATCAGGTTTTGTGCTGGGTCGATCCATACTTGTTCGACATACGCGTCGGGAACAGGACGCAGCGATTCTGGGGACCACTCACGGTGTATTTGCGGTGAGGTTTGTGGCACTAATGGAAAGATCGTAACCAATTGGTCATGTTCAACGAACAGGCAGAGGTGGCCATCGACAAAGGATCTTTCTATTACCCAACCAAAAGCTTGTGAATATACTGTGGCGAAAGCAGGGTGATCTCGGATAGATACTAGGCGAATGTTGAACTTGAACCATGCAGATGCATTGTCTTTCAGGAGCTGTAGGCGTTCGGAAATAGGAACATGCTTGTGAAATTCCGTATTGAGGACAGGTAGCAAGCCTTGGCCACCGAGTTCGACGATATACTGAAGCTCAGAGGACGATATGAATGACTGGCGAAGAGCCTTACATACCTGCAAAACGACTGTCAGTACAAAATCTTCTGTGGCGTTCTGGGACGTTAATAACGACTGAGAAGGTAGCTCACAGATGTACAACGCAGAATATCTCTGTAGAGGAGAAAGCTCAGAATGTAACAATGCAGTTCCTCTGCAAGAGACAGAAATCCCACTTTCGACTTGGAAATCATATAGTAGGAATCAAAGGACATGTCGATTCTCACGCCGATTCTGTTGTCGACGAGTGAACACCCCATTGGGAAGATTCTACTCGCAACGACGTCCCCGCCTCTGAATCATGCATGGTGTCAGCGCAGGGGACAGTGTGATATGTTTTGAATGTAGCGGCTCTTCCGAATTCAACGATTCTTATCAATTTTCAAATTCTACCTTTGATTCTCTCGTCGAAGACACAATTGACATGATAGGCGAGTAATAGCAGATCTACGGCAGCCGAGCGTTACCGATTATCATCCAATCACCCAAAACCGTGAAAGCAGCGGTCCTGCCAGTAAAAGTACAGTGATAAGGGGTACAAATATAAATCATAATAGATACTGTACTCTTATAGATGATGCAAATTTCACTCGTCCGAAGCCAGTATATCATTAGCAACTTCGTCTTCCTCTTCTTCGTCTTCTTCGCTATCCATGATGGAATCGATGGTATGATTCCCTGCAGAGGCAGGCTGAATTGCATCTCTCGCTTTGCTTGCACTGCATACGACCAAATGAGTATGTGTTGTACAACTTATCCAAGCGACTTACAGCCTGGGCCTTCGCCCGTCGTGAGAGGCAGGAGGGGATGAAGCTTCCTCCTCTTCCTCTTTGTCATCGTCATCTTCTATTAACTGCACTACCTGGGGTTTCTTTACCGTCCTATGAGCACAAGTCAAGACCATATCAAACGGGAAAATCATAACATGTTAACGCACGCAGCCCGCTTTGGCAGGGTTCGTGTGGGTGCTGGGGTAACATGGTCGTGCGATAAGATATCGTCGTCTGAGTCATCGGAACCAGAAACACGTCTCCGCCTGAATAACAACAGGTCGACTGGAAGTTAATAATGAATGAATGTCCACTTACTTGGTTTGCTTCCCTCTGCCCTTGCCCTTTGGGTGTGACGGAGAAGCAGCAGAAGCCACACTTTCATCTGGTATGATGCTGTCCGTGGTATCGGTAACAATGCTTTCTGAGCGCCTATGTCACACAATCAGTTTCAACGCGTATGGACGGTAGCGTAACAGAAATCACACCTTTTCCGAGCACGAGTGCGAGGTATGTCAACCTCCTCGCCGTCGTCCAAGGGAATGATATCATCAAGAAATTCGAACAAGTCCTTTAGGTACTCCAGTTGCCTGTAATCTTCCTCGTTGAAGCTCTCTAGCTGTTCAGCATATCTTTTTGAGATCGCAGCATCAAATTTCGCAAGCGCATTCTTGGCTGCTGCGTCACGGATCGGTCGACGCTGTATGCGCATGATTTTTTGGTTGACACAAATGCTCAGATGAACTCACAGAATTGAGGTTGTGAAGTAGTAATTTGAGCGTGCGGATTTTATCGTCATCAACCTTGTCCGGCAAGTATAGCCGCCCAAGAACTTGATACAGAACTTTCTTGTCCTCCTCTGCAATTTTAGCGTTGGTTAATGGCTCGCTTCAGAAAGTTATTGACATACTTATCATCTTGTCGTCGAACAGTGCTCTTGCGATATCGCTTGCCAGGTCAATATGAATTATCTCGTCCGTTGGCTGATCTTGCACATCGCTGCATCATTTTAACTAACACTCTCAAAACAAATAACATTGCCTCACATAGCTTTCTGTGGATCGGTCCAATCCACGAACATAGCCGCTATTTGAGCAGGACTGACCATATCCTGGGTTTCGTCAACATTCCGGGTTTCTGGGGCAAGTTGCTCGAATAATCCAATAAACAGCCGTTGCATTCGTCGCTGGTTGACTGCGGAGGAGTAGCAGTACACGGGGAAGAAATAGGCAAGGCACTGGCGGACTTCTTGGTTGTCGATCGTGTCTGGGGCAAGATATGCAGCAACCAGGCTTTGCAGGACCTGAAGAAGTGTTACCTCCTGACATCGTGCAACAATTTATCGGCACCAACCTTGTCTTCGGAGATCATTCCGGAAAGGACAAGCTTTGAAAGGCCAATACACAGGAGGGCTTGCACCTTGTCCGATTCCTCGGTTTCCAGGACTTGCAAGAAGAATTCGATGATACGCTCTCTCTGTAGAAGCGTGAGCATTGAAATAAAGTTGAAGCTGTTGTTACCCACTGTACTACCCTCTTTTTTCAAGAAGTCATTTTCGTGCACCATAAGAATGTCGAAGACAATCTGCAGCACACGGATCCTCAAGACTTCCGGGGCAGTCTGAATTTGACCCAAAAAAAGCTGGAAAGAGTTGAGAGCCATGCGCTATGAAATTAATTAGTTTAAAAACCACATGGTGGGCAACATGAGCATACTCGAGCAATAAGACAGCAAAGACCTAAACAGATGAGACCCTTCTCACGAAGTACCAATTCCTTACGCTTGACAGCAGGAATAATTAACTCGCCAAGGATGCCTTCGAGCGTCGAATTTTCTTCGAATGTCTGAGCAACAGTGAGTGATTAGGAAGTTGAACATAAGCTATGACGCACTCCGTTAACACGCTCCAGCATCCCTATACAAAGTGACAGACAACGCAAATCAATCGCGTCCATCCGAGCTCGTTCCTCGGAAGACATATCTTCTGATGGCTTTGGTCCTTTGGGTGCTGTACGAGTTGGCATGGGTGTTTCGCCACAATTGGTCTCTCCGTCATCTGCAGGCTCCTTCTAGCAAAAAATAACGTCATCACGGGAATGAAATGCGAACAATGAGGTGTCCAACTTACTAGAGCCTCTTCTTCATCACTGACATCCCTAAGCTCGTGGACTACTTCCACAACAACTCGAATAAGATCCCTCTCGTTTGGTGATAGTATCCGTAATACGTCCAAACATCTAGCGACAAGTGATTCGGGTAGTGCTTCCTGAGAGATCATGTCTCTCACAAGCTGGAACATTTTCCGGCGCCCAATCTCATCAGCGTAGTCTAGATTCACAGCAACCTTGAGCATCTCGCCTATGACAAATTCCTTGTCAATGCGAGCCTCTTCTTCTTCCTCAGTTGGTTCGCCACGAATGACTCTCTCTTGCTCGGCGACCTCCAAGTCTTCTTGGTATGCATTGTAGGCAGCTTGGATGCGGTAGGCAAGGGCAGTGACAACCGGGAGAGAAGCATCTAGTTTTTCCGCATTTTTAATGGCAATGCAATGGTCAACAAAGACGCGAGCGAAAAAAGCTCGCTCTGGGGTTAGGTTGGCCCAATAGGCATCTGTGGATGTTCCAATTAGCTCATCCGACCGAGATTCTGCAACGGAACATACCATCAAACTCGACGTGGTCGGAAATATCAGGGCGTCTGTCCAAAACACTCAGCAGTGCGTCCTCTGCAACCGTGCTCTCCGTAAGATCAAAGAGGCTTAAAAGTGCGAGAACATTATCTTCGACGCTCTTGCTTTCTTCGTTCTTGACATCTTCACGAGCAACGTCCACCCATTTGCTGAGTAATAAAGCTGCAGCCTGGCGAACCGCCGGCTCTCGATCGCCTAAACCATTGCGAATGATGAACTCTCTCTGAGAAATGGTAAGCACACGAGGATGAACGAGCCCCATTGCAGAGCCATCAGAAGCGAAGCAATGTTGGATTAGGATAGCGGAATAAACCAGCTTGCGCATGATCGTGTCAGTGTCACGGGTTCGACCAAGGACGGCGTCTAGGGTAGCTGAAGACAGAGGAATATTGAGCAGTGCGGCTCTACGGACGTCTCTATAAAACAAGTAGACAAGCGATTAGCATACTGTTGGACGATTTATGACAAATGAACCAACGCGGCAGGATCGCAACTAAGAGTCTCCAGCAGGACCTCAAGAGCAGTGGGTTCTCCTTCTTCCACATCAGATGGATCTTCCGAACCACATAGCTTCGAGAGTGCAATGACAGCCTGGACTCGAACAAATGTTTCTTTATCGTGCACACGCTCGAAGAGAGCTGCGCGGAGCTCAGTGTACAACGTTTCGCTGTGCCTGGTCAGCCAGGTTTATTGCACAAAAATAGGTTACTAACCTAATTTCACCCAAATGGGCGACCATCTCCGCCAAAAAGTGGACGCAGCGGTAGCGTGCGATTTTGTCCTTGGCTTCAAAGCCATTTAGGAGGAAGGTAAGCACTTTCTCAACGAACCGAGAGGCTGTGGTATCATCGTCTTCATCGTCATCCTCCTTCTTTACCTCAGCGGCTGTAATAAGATGAGGTTTAGCATCAGTGAAACGAGCAGACATCGTACCTCTCTCATTGATATATTTTGTATACGCTCCAACAAACTTGACTATCCGGTCACCCTGCGATGTTCCTTTCTTCACGGCGGCAGCTCTGCATAACATGTCTTTAAATCTCTCCTCAAACATACGCTCACCGGTGAGCTTGATGCTTCTGCCATTGTGTACGGATTCGGTGAAACCAGCGGCATCTAGGTGGAGTTTGTGAAGTGCAACGATATTTTTCTGGTGATTTGCAGTTGAATTTTGAACTTGGTCAAAAATCTTGGGCACGTTGGCGGTGAGGGTTTCCTCGACGGGAGATATGCGCCCTGGCATGGTGTACAAAGTTGCAAGATCCACAACCTTCACGTTCAAGTTGGACGCGTTAGGGGTCACGTGCGTCGCGATGCAAATTCTGATGCTTACGCGATAAACACGAAGCACGTGCTCACTATGTTGGCGACGTGCTTTACCTTTCAACAGATATCAATCAAGGAGTGTCCGCCATGAGCGTATCGTTCGAGCTTCAAGACGAGCTACAGGCACTTCAGGACATCGCGAACTACGAAATACCAAATGACCAGGATCCCCACAGTAACGATCCCGGCCCCTTATTGCAACGTACGCTAGCCTTGGGTGTTGGCATCCGATTCTTACTGACCACGAACTTAGAGGCTGTTGGAGCGATTGCTCATTCATCCGAAGAAATAACTGATCCAGAAGTGTTTGATATATTCCGAAGTCTTCTCAAGCATTCCGATGCAGTCGCTGGTGCTTATATGAGCAAAATGCTCGACGCTCTACTCTCTGCATTTGGAACTCAGATTGATGCTGCAATACGCGACTCCAAGGAAGAAGATCAACAGATTGCCATGGCTCATAAGCTGCCTTTGGAGATGTATGCTTTCTTAATTAATTGGTTTGTAGGTGCCGCTGAGAAGGTGAAGGCAATGGGCGAAGAGGACGCTCCACCAGCACCTGTAAAGTCGCGTCGTGGGAGGGGCGGAAAGTCTGGTACCTCGAGGGTGGCTGCGAAGAAGGCGGAACAATGGACATGGATCGATCAGATCCCTGGCACTCTGGAACTCATTTGCAAGGCGTTGAAACTGAAGACGCACCGCATCTGGGTGACTAGCCCGGAGAGAGATGCGTTCATAACGTGCGTACGGCTTGCTCTATATCACATGATTTGGCGGGGGACGTACGCCAATTCAGTTGTTTAGACATCTGTTGACCCTACTTTAGATGTCTTACCCGCCCCGCGTACCATGTTGCCGAGTCTGAACAATATATGAAGACTCAAAACGTCCGCATGCATGTCTACAAAGTCATTTGCCTTGCTGTAAAGCATCACGGTCACACGCTCGCTGCGCAAATCAACATCATGCAATCCTTGCAGTACTATGAACACCTCTCTGAACCCATGGCAGAGTGCCTTTCTATCCTGGCAAAGGAATTTGATCACGCCCAACTTGGCGACGAGATACTTCGCGAAATCGCTGGAAAATCGTTCAGTGCGCAGGACACCAAAGGTCCGAGAGCGTTCTCCCGATTCTTGGTTAGGTTCAGCGAGGAGTCGCCGCGATCCGTTCTCAAGCAAATCAGTCTCTTGATTGACCATCTCGACTCAGAGGTGCGCTCCCCGGAAACAGTTCTTCTTCCCCATCTGACAAGCATGTAGTCTTATCCTATGCGCATGGCAATTGTTGAAGTTATCGGCTCACTCATTCGTGAACTCGCTACGTCGGAGGACATGACAAATCGGACGAATGGCTCTAACCAAGCGGGCAAGCAGCTTGATGGGCTATTTGAACTCCTCCTTTCGCGAACGCTTGATCTATCCTCTTACGTACGCTCTAAGGTCTTCGCAACACTCTCGAAGATGCTTGATCTGCCTTTACGTCTTCCAGAGCAGCGGCTCCGGATCACACGCGCTGCCGTTGACACGTTGGAGGATAAGACGAGCACAGTACGCAAGGCCGCTGTTTCGATACTTGTGAAGCTAATTCTGACCCATCCATATGGGGAGATGTATGGAGGTGACTTGAGCTTGGAAAAGTGGGAGGAACGGTATAAGACTTGGAAGGACAAGTTGGAGGAGATGGAAGGCGGCATCGGGAAAGCAGTTGAGAGGGATCAAAATGATAAAGAGGTAGAGTCTGATGTCGAAGAGGAAGATGCTGATGAGGACGAAGACACGGAAATGGAGGACACAGATGCAAACAACGACGGCGACGCATCATCAGACAAACCGAAGCCTAAAAAGAAAAGGGCAAGCCGGAAATCTACTGTCGATGTCACAGCCATTGTCTCGGAACAAGAAGCACTTGCTGCCCTGGAGACTAATGAAATTCTTGCCATGGGTTTGCGCAAGAAGTACTGCACGGAGGCACTGGATTTCATCCGTACCCTAGAAGGCGGGATGATGTGGCTCACGCAGCTTTTGGGGAGCACGAACAAGGCAGAAGTATTGGAGAGTATGGAGTTTTTCAGGGTTGCGTTTGAGTACCAGCTTGCTAGTGCCGAGGTGATACATCTGAATATTCCATGTTACGGCCATCTAACCTTATTACCAGAAGGGCATCAAACGCATGCTACATCTTATATGGCACAAGGACAACAGCTCAACGTCGGAGGACGGGAAGGAGCTGAAGGGGGTGCGGTCGAGGCTCCTCGAATGCTACCGTATGTTGTACTTTGACCCCCTACCCGACATGGAACCTAAGCAGCAAGTGAACCGTATCGCCAAAAATATGATTGAGTGGGTCCAGCTCTCTTTCCCAGATTTAAAGCTGCTTAAACATTTATCAAAGATTGACATACGAAGCAACGCTTGCAGAGCTTACCAGTTTAGAAGAGATGATGCGTATCATGATGGAAGATGGCCGGATCCATCATGATGTGATCAATAAGTTGTGGCAAGTTTACAGTGAGGGGCGTTCCATTGCAGCCACAACACGTTGATTCATGTTCATATTCAGGCGCTCCTCAAGCTTTGCCCCGCTCTCAACGTCGTGGTGCAATCATCATACTTGGAATGTTGGCACTTTCGAAACGCACCGTTATTTCTGAGAAGGTGGACATATTGCTGAAGATCGGTCTTGGACCATTTGGTAAGGTGAGTGTGAGTAAATACCCAATCAATACCAGGCATTCACCCTACGGCAGGCCGATCTTACACTTGCAAGGTATACGTGTCTTGCCCTGCAACGCTTGAACGGCAGTACAAAGAAGGTCAAAGGTGCGAACAGAACCGTATCCCATCAATCATTTTCACATACAGGCAACAGGATCTCTTCTCGATAAATCCCTTCGGATGGAGATGGAAAACCCTATCTTCCGTAAGTTGCAAAACACCATAGAGCACCCCTGTCGATCGAAAGACTGGTTCGGCATGGCCGAACAAGCGATCAATACTATCTACGCCCTAGGAGAGCATCCCGACGAGCTTTGTAATAACCTTGTGAAGAACCTTACCCGGAGGGCATTTTCCAAGCAGCAAAATCCGGAGGAGCCTTCATCCGAGCCGGTCATAGAGACGATGGAGGTGGATCAAGAGATGGAACCCCCGGAGCCAGCCTCGCACGCGCCCTCTAGTGCACACTTGTCAACCCAGCAGTCGAGCACGAGCGAGAAAGATCTTGGAGATGTCTTCCATCTCAGTCAGTTGCTTTTTGTCGTAGGGCATGTGGCCATCAAGCACATCGTCTTTTTGGAGCTGGTGGAAAGGGAATGGAAGCGGCAAAAGGATGAGAAACAGTTAGGTATGTTCACTTTAAACGCCCTCAAACTATCGAATGACGTTTTACGTAGGGGACAAGCTTGCGGCTGGGGGCTCACCCAATAGAGCCAATAAGGAGACCGAAGAGCTTGATCAAGTCGCTGGCAATGTGGAGGATGAGATTGGTGAACGGATAGCTGCCGTTCGCGAAACTGAGTTGCTCTATGGAGAGCAGTCGTTGCTGAAGTTGTACGGCCCGTTACTAGTCCATGTGTGCGGTAGTCCACATAAATTCAAGGCAAGTGATGAGTCATTTTCTCTGCATTACTACTGACGCATACAACAGAATCGCACACTTCGTGCTGCTGCAACTCTCTCGTTTAGCAAGTTCCTCTGTGTCAGCTCACAATTTTGCGATCAGCACCACCATCTCCTCTTCAAGATCCTTGAGACTTCAAGAGACCCAAATATCCGTAGTAACATTGTCATTGCTCTCGGCGATGTGGCAGTCTCGTTCAGCAACATCATCGACGAGAACAGTAATGAATTATATAAAGGCCTTTCTGACGGTGATCTTGTCGTAAAGAAGAACACGCTGATGGTGCTCACGCACTTGATCCTCAACGGGATGATCAAAGTGAAAGGTCAGCTAGGCGAGATGGCAAAGTGTCTAGAGGACGAGGAGCTACGGATATCCGACCTTGCGAAGCTGTTTTTCAAGGAGCTGTCGACGAAGGACAACGCGATCTACAACAACCTACCTGATGGTATGCCTCAGTTCACTCTTGATATCAACGTTCTTCATATCATTATTCTAGTTATCAGTCACTTGTCCACAGGTGACCACGCCGTCGAGGAGGAAACCTTCAAAAGCACCATGCGCTACATATTTTCTTTCATTGAGAAGGCCGGTCCTCATCTCTTTCCGTCGTCATAGTTCCGATTCATTAAACTTCTAACAGGAAAAGCAAGCCGAAAATATTGTGGAGAAGCTTTGCCAGCGTTTCAGACTCTCTGAGGATCCCCGTCAATGGCGCGATATCGCATTTTGCTTGTCTCTCCTCCCATTCAAGTCAGAGCGATCGGTCAAAAAACTCATCGAAGGCTTGCAATTCTACCGCGATAAGCTGCACGAGGAGGGCGTGTTCGAGAGGTTTAGTGAGATACTTACAAAGGCGCGCTCCAATAAATCGGCGAACAAGCCAGACACGGAGCTGAATGAGTTTGAATCGGTACGGCCGTTTTGACCAGGATTCCTGTAACATGAGTCTCAAAGTCTTCCAGATACTTAGCGAACATCGACGCCAAGGCGAAGAGGACCAAGCCTTTGAAAAGCGCGTTGAAGGCAAGAAAGCAGCTGCGAAACGGAAAGCTACACGACGATGTGAGTTCTATGCATACTCCTTGATTTCTTACTCAGATATTTTGCAGCCGTGCGCAAGAAAGTTGTTGAAGCCGAGCCTGAGCCAATATCACACGCCCCGGCCACACGGGATGATGACGATATGTATGTGTAAACCGGACCTATATCTAGGACCTCTTGGATGTAACTATGCATCCAGCACGTAAATTAGTATTTCCGCAGGTGTACCAACATCATAATTTGGTTAGAAATGAGTATTTGAATGCCTTGCAATTCATGATGTATGAGTACTGTGCATGGCTAGAAGGACTTCGTTTCGGCGGCATCAGTATCCAAAACACGGGCTGATCATCAAGTCGCCATTCTTGGACCTCTGCGATAAATGACTTTGTGCCACTATGATCCTGGCTCAGTCTTTCGAGTCATAACTAGCTCCTCGGGCCTCAGGGTGTACGGACTCCGCTCGTGACTAAATCTCAATGACCTCGAGCTCGGCTATACCATCCTGGACAAATATTAGCATATAGGGCTTCGTTGGAAATGCAAGAACTTACACTATCTGACTCCTCTGTATTCAACTTGGGCAAATAAATCCTGTCTTTGTCAACCCATATGTCCATCACCTGGTCGACACCAAATATTCTATCTGACACGACCTCCACATAAGGCAGGGAGGTCGTCAAAGTCTCCTCCAATTCGGGAATTTCTATCGTAGATGGCTCTCTCACCACTCTTCCTAGTCCCTGCCGGCGCTCAACAGCTAATGGGCTGAAGTCCATCATATACAACAGATAATTCGGGTAATCTTCCACTAGTGTCATGTCCATTGTAGGAAATGCCTGCAACACTCGATTCCCGCTAACACCAACTCTGCACCGCCAGTTGTGCACGAAAATACGAGCATTTAGAGGACCCCAATGTTCCCACGGAATTCCTGCCGTTCTATCAGAGACCCCAGCTTGGGGGTCAAAGAAAATCCTAGTAGAAATAATGAAGGCCAATGAGTTTGTGGCATCCCGAGTGCGTGTGATAAGGGATAGTATTCGATTTTTAGGGTCTGAGGTCCACATCGTTCGCTGTGCTTGCATCTGCAGTTGTGAACTATGTGCAATGTCGTCCATTGGAAGGAGGCACTGTATGCCCGTCACTGATACAGGCATCAGGAAGCAGGCCAATAGTTGAGGTGCCTGTGACAGATCCTCGATCGAATAGAGCTTCAAGTCCTTGCTGACAATCAACAGTCTATCGTTTCCAAGGAAACAAAAATCAAGTGACTCCCCAACCTCTGGGTTTATTATTGTGTCACTGAGCACGCACTAATAAAACGAGTGTCAATTGTAAATCATTGACTACTTCTGACCAACGCTCACACTGGACGTTGTTGAGTGTTGCCAGTCCCAAATTTGCATAAACCATATCTCCTCGCCGAATTTATAGCCGCCTTCATGAACCAGGAGGGAGCGCCGGAAAGCGATATGCCTCCCTAAACCCTCGAGTTTCCAATTTTCTATTGTATAGAGACCGTCCTCGCATCTTGGAAGCCCTGAAAGAAACAGTGTCTTTCCGGCAGCTTCGGGATGGACGCCACCATCTCCATCCAGGGTTCCAAGGTCGATGTACAACCTCTCGTCATCCATCTCGAGAGTTTCATCGGCAATCATACACGCGATGGCAATCAAGTTTTGCGCCGGGTCCATAAACACCTCGATGCTATCTGCATTTGGAATTGAACACAGTGATCCTGAAGGCCAATCATGCTCAATACTTTGTTGTGAGGGTTTTGGCAGTATTGGAAAGATCTTGGCCGATTGTTCATCTTCGTTGAATAAACAGAGATGCCTGTCGGCGAGAGATGTTTTCGCGTCGTGGTATTGTTTTGGTATAGAAACATTTTCGAAAGAGTGGATATCAAATTTGAACCATGCGTGAGCTTTGTCCCGCAGAAGTTGTAGACGCTTGGAAATAGGAGTGTGGTTGTCGAGATCTGTGTCGGAGACGGGGAGCAATTGCTGACCACCGAGTTCAGTGATATACTGAAGCTCGGATGAGGACATGTACGTCTGGCGAAGCGTCCTGCATACCTGCAAGATGAATCACTGAGATTAAAGGATCGATGATCAATCCGATCAATTAACACTCACAGTTGTACAACGTAGAATATCTCGGTAAGGAAGGAGGCTCAGAATATAAGATTGGAGTTCTTCAGCGAGAGCTAAGAAACCTGTAGATCTGGACTTCATCTCCTTGTCAGCTTGGTTCACTACCGATGGTATAACTTGAAGCCAGTGTTCTACGTTCAGTTGTTTACTTTATCCACCATATATAGACAGCCCCTGAGTACAGCAGCCGTAGTGGAACAGTCATACGCAAACGTACTGGTTTCCAACGTCTCATTCACCGACACGAGGTGATGATGATAGCGCTCGAGCGTGACGCATTGCGGAAAATCCTTGATATCGACAAATTGACAATGAGAGCGACAAGCTGTCCATGTCAGTACGGTAGAAAATAATCAAACGGCACATATGCCTGTGGTGCTTTACGAAAGCTAAAAGAAAACTCATAACATGGTACCGATGCCTACGAGAGCGAAAACTTGCTTGATATGTTATAATGAGCAGACACAGAATGCGAAAAAAGGAAACGAAAACAAACTACGGAGGCCTAACACCACCGACAGCTTATGCAAGTATAAACGCGCTTCATTCATCACACGCATCACCGCAACGATGCCTTAGACGTCTTCGTGCTGACTAACCCTCCCCCCATCCCCGCGTCGTCATCAGTTGCGGCTTGGTTGGCGCTCGCATTACGAATGGACGTAAGTACCTCCTTGCAGTACTTGAGTTTGTCTACGAGTCGCTGGTTGAACTTGGCCTGCTCGGGATCTGCAGCAGGAGGTTGTAAAGATAGTGCCATAATTTCGCTGAGCGTGAATCGTGCGATCTTGTAGTTCTTGTCAATATGCGTCACCAGTAAGCCATGAGACGAGAGGATGACTTTTGAGTGATCGTAAAAGTTGAACTACATACACAGCGTCAATTATCAAACACATTAAGAAGGGGTGAAATGAATGACCTGAAGGACGTCATGACTCATCTTGAACACAATAACGTGTTTCATGCGCAAATACTTCTGTACGAAATCCATTCCCTTGGTACGGTCATGGTCCTCGAAAGTGTACTCGTAGTCGCCGTACAGGCGGTCCATGATGTAGCGCTCGAAATGCTTGAGAAGGTATACCTTGTTTTTGAGGTCCTCCGGAAATTCGGTCACAGAAAAGTTCTTCCTAACGTAGACAGTTCCGTGGCGTCGAGAGGAGATGTAGTCAAAGTGACTGGGAGATGTGTTGGGTCATGTAAAGATCAGAAATAGACAAGAACTCACTGCTTGTCCGCTGAGAGTATGAGGGTCGTACTATCATTAAAGTGTACACCAACAGACCCATCCGTCAGGGCATAACCCATTCCATATTTATTGCAGTAATCCACCCAAGACACGATGAAAACGCGCTCATCAGGGATGGTAGTATCATCACGAGGATCCCGGAATAGCTTGCCGGCAGCCTTCGCGTCAAATGCTTGGGTCAAAGTCTGTGCAGCAGCATCAAATCCATTAAGCTTTGCTTGTGGAGGTTCCATGTGCGCGTCCTGCACTAGAGTTTCCTTGCGCTCTCCGCGCATCGGCTCCTTGCCCTTCAGATCCTTATGGGTAGGAGGTAGATTCTCCTGGTCCTCCTCGAGGCGGGGTGCGCCCAGACCAGCCACCGGAGCCATCTGGGCTACAATTCTCGCCTTCTGCGATTCGAGCTCCTTCTGTCTCTGCTGATCGTGGTTTTTCTCCCTAGTTCCTCGAGGTGCATCGTTCTCTTCTTCTATATCTTGCAACCCACGTGCAGTGCGCACGTTCCGTAGAGGTGATTTCGTGTCCTTCGCTGCTTGCAGTTTTCTGAACAGAGGGGACTCCTTGATCCCATTTGTCGACATGACCAACGGTTGCCTAGCAGAACTAAGCAGGGCAGAGATGGGACTGCCAGGCTGAACAGCCTTCTGGAACTCCTTCTCTTGCTGAGCGATGGTGGACGTAATCGGATTTTTCGCCTTGTCTTCTGGAACCGACGGAACCGCTATAGTCGAAATGTGATCGTCATCCAACCACACAGCTTTCTTGAGCTTCATGAGGTTGACTACGGACATTGGGCGCGTAAGGTATCGGAAGTCAGGGGGCGCGTCATGTGCAGAGACGGGAATAAATGGTGGGACAATACCAAGGTCGATGAAGGGTGACTTAAGGATTTCAAGGAGAGTAGGACGTTTTGAGGGGTCAGGTGTTAAAATAGCCGTGATGCAGTCCTTAGTATCTGGTGTAATGCGGCGTTCAGGCGGGAACTCGTAGACGTTATCACGGATCCGTCTGCACGAATGGTTAATTAGAAATCAGGATGGGGGAACGGTATGCCTTACGTATAAATCTCCTTGACGTCCTTGGTCTGGAAGGGAGGACGACCGATAACAAGCGTGTACAAGATGACGCCGATAGACCAAGTGTCAACCTCGAAGCTGTGGCCATTCGCAGTGTCAAACAACACCTCGGGGGCAATATAGTTTGGCGTGCCACAGATAGTTTTCTTTCGTTCACCGGGGTTCTCGATCAAGGCAGCAAGACCGAAGTCGCCGACCTTGATGTTCATGTTCGAGTCGAGGAATAAATTCCCGAGCTTAAGGTCACGGTGGATGACCTGGTGGGTATGCATGTAGTGGCATGCACCGATGAGCTGTACAAGAAAGAATCGGGCCTCGCACTCGCTAAAGCGACGACGACGACGGAGCATGTCCATCAATGACCCGCTGGTGCAAAGCTCAAGTGTCATGTAGACGTTATCGTCATCTTCGAAACATTCCTGGAAGCGCACAATGTTAGGATGAGCAAGCGAACGGTGTATCTTGATTTCTGCATAGAGCTTAGCAAACAAAAGTGTCAAGATGCAAGTGAATAATCAGATGTGGTGTAAGCTTGCCTTGGTTTTGGCTTTCTTCGTCTTCAGAGACGATTTGGTAACGACCTTGCAAGCAAGGTGTTGTGCGGCACTGTGACGACCGTCTGCCACCTCATAGACACGTGCAAATCCTCCCTGTTTGAGACATGAACGATTAGTGCGTACAAGGCGGCAATCGAGGCAAATCCTACTTCTCCGAGAAATCCTACACGGTAGTACTGAACTTGTCGATTCTGGTCGACGATTACTCTGGGGGGTGAGGGAGGGGTAGTCTTGCTATTCTGCCTGGGCAGAGGTGGGTCGGCTGGAGTTGCCTTGGGTTTCTCTTGTGGCTTTACAGGAGATGTCAGGCGAGGCTGATTGAGAACATTTGCATTTGTGAAGGGATGGCGACGATGAACAGGCTGCTGCTGATCGGAGGGGGCGGGCATACGGGCATGAGTGTAAGCAGACATTTCAATGGCCTAACACCTTGAAAGTCTGACGGTTGTCTTGAAAAGAGAAGAGAAGAAGTGCTCAGAAAATGAACAGAGCCACAACAAAACCAACTTTGGCTGCTTTTTGGCTGACAACAATTCAAGGCGTGGCTACCGCGTGTTTCGCGTGTATATTATATAATCCATCACGTGTAAAGCCAACATGCTCGTGACCGGTCAAAAAACCCTAACCTTAGTCTGGGGTTCCATGATCCACTACCAGCATGATGGTTTAAGCGACGGCCAAAACGTGGTCAAAACACATCCAGTCTAAGCCACTTTATTGTTTAGAAAAGCGGGAGCGGTCAGGGCATGCTGCATATAAAAGAGCCTGTGGCGGCGTCCATGCTCCTCCTCATCCCCCACTGGCAAAACGTGATAACGGCCACAACATCCGAGACAATACTAATTATCCACAGTACCGACTTTCTTTTACCGTGAACGTGAACTGTGTGGTATTTTATCATCTACCCATTGATGATCTTGACACTGAAAATGCCCATAGGACCCATATCTCTAGGGAATCATGTTGTACTCCTTTAATCCTAAAAACCTACCTTTCGTGGGCAAGGGAAGACGGAAAACCATGAGTTTGACCAAGGCTAGGTACGCTACTACTTATAGTTACGACCTTCACTTTACAGAAGATCTTCCTATAGGAAAGAAGAACAAGATCTGATGGAGGAAATCGATCCCGCGGCTCTAGGAATCGATGAGTTGAATAGCGATAAGCAGTCCATGGACTCGGATGATACATGTATGAACAGTCAACCGGCTACATCTGACTCTGCCGATTGCATCTTCATTCACACAGCTTTAGATGGCAAATCGTTACCAAGTCACTCCTTCACTAGTTCTATGACGATTTCGAAAGGCTACGCCAACATCAAGCGAACGCTCAAAGCTGTTCCTCGAAAACCGCAAAGAATGCACTCCCGGAAGATGCAGCACCACTTCTCTCAGGCTTATGGCTCCACTAATACTTCCACAAAGCTCTCATCTGCTTCGACGACGCCAAATGATTCTACGGGTCCCGTGTGTTATGTAGGACCTTCTATTGATCATGATCTATCGACGAAGGTCAAGACTCATCTCCACATCACCGAGGATGATATTCTAGCTGCAGTGTCAGAACCGTCTGGTCACCACACAAAATGCAGGGTACATGCGCCAGATGTCGATGACGGTGATCCCGTCCCATGTAAGATTTTCCGGTGTCCGCGGTGTTGTACTGGTAACCATTCCGTGGGCGACAATGGCCTGAACCTGAATACGACTGTTCTGGAAACACGGAAGACACAGAATGGTCAAATCATGGATTCTACGGGAGAGGAAGAAATTTATTCTCACAAAATCTGTCGCTTTCCTTGCGACTCTACATCCGCTCCTTCTAGCAACGGCAAGACATCCTCTGTTTTCAATGGAGAACCCGAACGCACAGATGCGCGATTTAATAATGATGTTGAGGAAGGCACTGGTATTCGTAAGGCCTACCGTCCCACTCAGACCCTATTGGGCGTTAGCTCTAGTGAGGCCAAAGTATCGCCAAACGCAACCTCATTTCCACTCCTTGCTGTAGTCGATTCTGCTAGGCTGCCTGTCGTGCCGATCGAGCATCTGGGACCATCGACAGAAAAAGTTGCATCCAACAGCCCCTTTGCTGCATGCCAGGTTGATGAGATACACGTGGCATTGTTGTCTAGTCTTATTCTACCCTCAACCGCGCTGCATGGTTGTCACTCAGCAACAAATGGACCCAACTTACTTGCAAACAACGGTATCTCGTCCCTCACATCGACACTTCCAGTTCCTTTTATGAATTGCCCATCATACGAGGCAGCCTTCAATCCCTATTCTTTAGATTTTCCCAACCTACCTGAACAAGTGCTTTTTGCCGAGCAGCCAGTTTCCACGTTTTCAGGACCCTCGCTCAGTGCCACTACGAACGACAGGTCTACTGCGGGGCCATTTTGCTCTGGACCTTTCATTTCCAACTCGCTTGACATATCTTCTGATCACGCATCTTTTGTCAATAACGGCGATGTCCGCGCTAATGAAGGTCCCCTTCCGCAACCACAATGGGTTGACTATTCCGATCGCATTGATGTAGAAATGACAGATGCTGCCATCAAACCCACGAGGTCAGTGCTGGAGCGATGCTTCGCGAAACATTCTGCGGAACTAAATGTGCCTAGGCCCTTCCTTGACTTCCCTCCTCTTGATGTCACTGCGATGCACTATGCTTGTACCTATGAACCTCCAGTTGCAATTACCGTATCTGGCGGAGCCTCAACATATGTGTCTGCAGTTGGCCCTAGTTCCGAAGAATTTTCTACGAACGTCGAAGCTAGCTATTCTCAGCCTGTATTGGATTCTACCGCACGTTATTCTCCTATAGATATCGGACCTTCAGCTATTCAGTCTGAGCTGAGCCGTATTTCGCATTGGTCATCTAGCATTCTTGGAACACACTCGGCTGTATTTTCAGCGCCCACACGAGAACAACCTACCGACTTCCCTGGTTCTAGATACCCCTGTTCTGGCCTTTCTGAGATATCATCAGCGGAGCAAAATGTTTACGGGATTACCGCTCGGGAACAAGATATACCAAGGACCGCCGGAAAAGCCAATCCACTTGGCAGCACTCTCGAGAATGAGGAGTACGCTAGTAAGCGAATTATTTATTCGCAAGACTGTGGACTTACGGAAATTATATTTTGAAGAACATGCAAGTTCTGCAGACCTCAATGTCGACGTTCACGAACACGCTGCATCCCAGTTCATTCCTGCCTCAAACACAGTGATCCATGCAAAGACCGTTGTGCAGCCACCTGGACACTTTAACGACACCATTACCTCGGTCCGTCGCCAACCCCAGTACATCACCCCGCCAGCAGTGAGCATCACTGGGAGATGCTCTGATGGAAAAGAAACTCAGACAGACATTGATGCGATGCCCGAACCAGACGACGATACCAAGACTGAGCCAGACGACGACGCTAAGACTGAGCCAGATGATGGGATCAATGAGAAGGATGTGAACGCCGAAGTACTTGCTCACGCTATACTCGACATTCCGCTTCCACCAGCGATAGTCGCAAGCGTTCAACTCCTCGGTCAACGGAAACGGAGGAACTCGTGTTGCCGTAAAGGCATCACCCGCATGCGTGTAAAGAGAAGGCAGATGACCACTGAAGAGAACGAGGAAGGCGGTAATGGTGGGATTCGTGCGCACAGGACGCGGTTGAATCATTTATCGAGACCGTCACCTTATGCCTCGGTGCCGTGGCGGCGTAAAGGACATTCAAAGGGACTTCGGAGATGGTATTGTTCGAGTGGCCTTCACTCCCAGGCCAACGTACCGTCTGATGAGATCTCTCAGACGTCAGCAGTTGTGTCAGCCGACAATTCCTTGTCATGTTCTCCGTTCATTCTCCGTGATTGGACTAGAGTCCATTCCAGCTCAAGGAGCCCAGCGTCATACCCCTGTCCCCACACCTTCACGACGTCGGTTGCGAGACAAATATTCTCATCATAACACCTCTAGCGAACTTTGTAACAAGGAGAGACCCTTGAAACAGGCCCGAATCAAAGGTGGTGTCGGGCAAACGAAAGACTTTGCGCAACCCCCACCACCACCGGCAAATCCAATACCAGGCAAAAAGAGACCCCCAGCCCTGCGTCGGGCTACTGGGTACGGAAGTGCGGGTAGTCGGCATCGGGCTCATCATTCCACCAACGGCGGTGTGCAAGTGCGTACAAACAAACTAGATGTCATGCGGCGTGCTCGCTTGATTACAATTAGTCCAACTTCGAGACATGCTCACACGCTGAGACCACCGCGCATTGTATCTTAGATACCCAGGACAAGGATCTGGTTTCACATCTGCAGCAGCGTTTTAGAATTGCGCAAGGACGTTCGTAACCATCGCTGGAGTTGAACGGATCTAGTATTTACTATCTATATATATTCATGCATTTAGCTATCATACACCTCAGATCAACGATATGGGCCTCAAAAATATCCGCAAGAAGTGGTTCGCACGACAGTCTTGCTTCGAGATAGGATGGGAATGCGTAGTTCAAGTTATGAACCTCGCGTACCATATATAACATGGAAGTGAGAGGACTTTAAGAGTACGGGGTTTTAGCAGTGGTCCCACGGTAATCACACTGTCCGGTGAAAAAGCACGGCAATGAATTGCTGAGGATTAAGGCTACATATTGGTATCAAGCAGTACATAGCCTGACTGCATCATGGAACATAATCGGGTGTTGACTACAGTACATGAGTAACGTTAAACGAAGTACAGCGTGGGACAAGAGTATGAAATCAAAGGAAGGTTAGAAGAGATTTGGCCAGCAAAACTCCGAGAGAAAAAGTTCGACGGTCTTCGAAAAATGGAAGGATTCAGTTCTGAACGTCCAAATGTTCCCTGCACAACGGACAGGTCTGGTTCCTGGCCAGCCATGGAATAAGACATCTCTTGTGGAACCTTGCAGAACAATATAAGCTGGCAGCCACTATAAGAACAAGAACAACATACGCATGGCGACACTTTGCTCCCAACACGCCATGGTCCCCACTTTTAAACCGAGACAAGCAGATAGTGCACTTCTGTACATTCACACCCAACAGTGACAATTTAAGCTTCACACGTCCATCATTTGTCACCCTTCGCCTCTCTAGTTCTACCAGTCCAACAAGGCAGTTATCTAAACTGTCAGGATTGCGATGCAATGTGGCAGGACCGATAAAATCGGCGATGAGGAGGAGGGCCTGCGCATGTGGGTGACTTCAAGTACGGGCCCGAGAACTGTGCATCCCGAATACTCACGTCATAATTTGAGCCGTCATCGCGAGGGTGATCATCTCCTAGGCTGCCAACGAGGCCAGTAATGTATTCGGATGCAGGTGTTGTGACTGTGAACGAAGATGGCAATGTGGTTGATGTTGGCGTGAGTGGCCCACGAGGGCTGGAACTGCCCACAGTGACGCTGTCACTGTCAATATCGTCCTCTAGGTAGTCGATGGGGAGAGGCGGTGGAGTGCGCGCAGGCGGAGTACGATCAGGTATCATGGGTGTGCTGTCCGGCAGAGGGGGAGTGCGATTTGGTAATGGGGGTGTATGAGCAGGCAGGGGAGGGGTATAACTGGAGCTGGAAGGACTAATCGGATCCAAGCTGTCATCGTCTAAATCGATCAACAGGCCCTCGGGTACATGCAGATTTTTGGAAATAGCCCTGGGGTGGTGCAAGACTGGAACAGTGGGAGTCTTCTCATCCGGCGTCCGGCCTACAAGCCATGTAAGAGAGGGCGATGTGGATGGAGTCTGTGGTAGAGGACGGCCTGCATAGTGGCGCCGAGGTGATGCAGGGGCGGGGCTATACGGAGGGGTATGTGACTCTGGGGGTGGGGTAGGCGGTCCCGAGGGAAAGATTGCACTATACGCAGGTGCACTTCGCATCTCCAACTCACGCGACAAGGACCGTCCACGATGAATGAGGATCTCCTCGCGGCGGGCAGGAGTCCGACGACGCGTGACTCGCTCTGTTGCAGACCTAGTAGGCAACGAGTTATTGGGCGCTGGAGTGGGTGTACCAGGCACCACATTATAGTCAATGTAGGTCACTTCTGAAGCCGATGTCGGAGAAGCTCTGGTATGTGTGCGGGTAGTCTTTGGAAGCTCTGGCTGAACAACAGCACGAGGCGTCGAATGTGAGCGAACATGTTCATGCTGAACTTGATGAGTTCCTAAGTTCATCTGCGAGAAGGAAGTAAGTGCCCTTCCTACTGACGGTTGGGATAAGGACAGGGACGACAGGGTTGGCGAGTCCCTCAACGTTATCCCACGGGCAGGGTGACGAGATCTCTCCAATTCATCGCAAACGCCAAGATCCTGTTGAGAGAAGGATGGAAGCGTCCTTCCGACTGTGGCCAACGATAAGCTCGAGGAGCTAAAGAGGGAAGCGGAAGACGAAGAAATTGGGGATACTGGGGCGCTCGATGCGCATGTATGATCGCTACGCAAGCTGGAATTCGTGCGCCTCCGAACATGCCGATTTACAAATGGAGGAGAAGCTGGACGTTGAGGACGATCTTCAGCAGGAAGTATAGTCCGAATGCTAGAACAGTATGGGTGTCGATTTGTATTTGAGTTGCGGGTATCTTCTGTAAAAACATCGGGATAAGACCACGTCTCCGCAAAGCCTCCTGAGCGTGGTGCAGGAGCCGGGCTTGGGGGGCTAGGGTGAGCGGGGGAGTCTTCCAAAGAGGAGTGAGAGGAGTCAGTACGATCCAAAACTTCCCAGTCCTCCAAGGATTCAGCTGCGCGCTCTTTCTGCTTCCGATGAAAGAGCTTTCGAGAAAAGTGGTGATCTCCGTGACCGTGAAGTGCGGAAGGCGAAGATAGATTGAGGAGTGAAGGTGTGCTCTTGAAGAATGGATTGGGGTTACGCAACAGTGAGATAACAGAGGATGAGGGTTGTGGTGACTGAGACCTATGGAATATCCTCGATGGAGAAAGGGGAAGGCTTGGCAGAGGTAGTTTGTGTTTAGGCGTAACTGGAGAAGATGCATCGGATGCTGCCTGCACGCTGCGGTCGTCAGGATATGGATCTTGATCCTCGGGAATCCTGAGTGACAATCGAGAGTTCGCGAAACGAGACTGAGAAGTAGGGCTTCGTTTTGGAGCCTGACTAAACAATCGGGTCCGCTGCGGCACGGCTGGAACATGTGATTCCACCGACCGTTGATGGTGCCTCGTCACCCTTTCCTCGAGAGGAACTCCACGTTGTCGATCCATTTCCCATCTCTGAGGTGGATCTACGTCCACGAGCTCTATGCTTGACTCGTCGTCATCAAGTAGTGCCTTCTGATGTACTGGCACCGGGAAGGCGCAAGACCCTGATGAAAGATTGGGCGTATGTGCAAGCGTGGGACTCGGCACATGCAAGGGCATCATCAAAGGCGATAACGCAGGTGTGGGTATTGACATCGATAAAGGAGTCGCTGTGACTGCGGATATCGGTGAATCTGTGTGCATAATGATGTTATCATGCGTAGCTGCGGGCTGTGTAGAGCCCGAAGAGGACGTGCGATTTGAGACAGGTAAATGTTCTGGGTGTATATGAACCCCAGCCACGAATGTAGATGAAGCAAGCGCAGATGAGGCAAGACTGGACAAGGTTGGACTTGTCGCTACCTCGTAAGTCGGAGGCGGTGGATAGTCCGAAGTATCTGGCCGATCAGTTGAGACATTCAATTCTACCACCTCCAGACATTTGATTTAATCTCACCACCATCTTCTCGCACTCTTGCTTGTCTGCGACGGGCGCTGGCGCCACTGCGGGTATCTCTAAAAGAGTAGCCAAGGTTGAACCGTATTTCTTCGCGTTGGCGTTCGTCTCTGTCTGCTTTCTTGGGCTCTTTCGCTTTACCACGGATCTTACCAGTCGTAGCTTGTCGACTGGGCTGAGCGGTATTCAGAGCCTGATACGGGTCGACCTGGGCGGGCTTTGTGGCCCGTTTGCTTGAGGTCATTGTGAAGCACTGAGGGAGGATGGAACAGCCTGAGATGGCGGACAAGGGCGAAGATGGGCAACACGCCTTCACCTGCAGGCGACCTGACTCGCTCTGGTATAATAGGTGTTTATATTTCTTTGGCGGTTTACCAAAGAGGCATAGCGCCCTATCCTTGCGGCACAGGTGCCACGATTCTTACGCGGAACAGGGACGAACACGAGCCATTCATATCGCCTGCTGAGAGAATACGACAGAAGCCCTTGAAACGTTGCAGAGAAACGTTTCAGTATAGAAACTACACAAGCCATAATTAGTGGCTGATATAAGCATCACACCTGGCATTTGCCGACGGACCATTGACGGACCACATTGACGAAATCTCTTGCAAGTCTCTCAAACCACCACCATGGCGAGTTTCACTCTCTCTCTGGGTTGCGAATAAACTAACTTCATGTGCGTAGATCATCCCAGTGAGATGCTTCTCGTGTGGAAAAGTCATCGGGGACAAATGGAACGCATACCTCGAGTTACTAGCTAACGATATGAGCGAAGGGTAGGTAACAATCTGGGAGCTTGCCGACTTATCACCTGACAATATTCCAGTGACGCTCTCGATGAATTGCAGCTGAAGCGATATTGCTGTCGGCGAATGGTGCTCACGCACGTTGATCTCATCGAAAAACTTCTGCATTACAATCGTAAGTAGGTTTCTGCATGTGATAAATGATGGCTCATGATGGCTTCAGCAATGGAGCGCTCGAAGGACAAGAACTTTTGATACCTTCTGTGCAGAGTGTGTTCCATACAACTCGAACTGTTGCAGTCCTACAACAACTCGCAAATACTACTATGATCTCAGTTTGATCGCATTTATCTATCAGTCGCGTCCACAGCTCAGTTGAACTGAAGCTCGACCGCATTGATGACTGTAGCATGGTCCATGAGTCGACTTCCCGTGACTACTACTACAAATCTCTAAGTTGTCCCTTCGACTTCTTCGCGTTCCCCGGAGAACCTGGCGTTCACCCAATGCTTAGCGCCCGAAGCCAATACAGCAGTATTGAAATATTGCCATGAGGCTTGCGGTCAAGGGTATTGCTGTGTATCTAAATGGCACGAGGCCCCACCCTTTCTTCAACTTCTTGTTGCATTCAGGTTCTACTTCGCACAGACTGATAATCAAACTTAACTATTCACCATGAACGACGGCAACAAATTGGGGGACTCAAAGTCAAGGCGGAAGAGATAAATCCTATATGAAAAACAAGCAACATTTATTTGAATCCAGCCTACGCACCGAACGCGGCAATAACCCCATATCCTCACCCATCCAGATTCCACTAGTATGGTGTGTATCAATATTATGGCTACGCAGCCGCCAATTATGTAGCCCAAGCGCTTCGATAGACGTCCACCTAACTCGTGAAGCCGCTTGCTGTGTGTGTCGCGAGGAGTCTCAGGTGAGTTGCTAGTCTGGGTAGGGCCCGCGTGGTTCTCGCTCTCAATATTGCCTTGATGGTTATTCCTGATGCGATTGGTCGTGGGTGTCGACGAGTTCCTCAAGAGGATAGTAAATAAATGAGTGCCCAAAACACAAAGAACGCACATACCGGCCAAAGATTATCGCTATACGAAGAAGTTTAGCAGGTGAATCAACGGCTATGCTCAAGTTCATTTGCTAACTCACGATAGCCAGCCAAATCCAGTTACTACGAAGTTAACACGTACCACTTTTCTTCTATTAACAAACGAACGGGTCGACTACGAATCACTCACCTGATCTTTCCCATTCCAATCTCCTCAGGTATAGCCAAGAGAACATGAATGCTCTCTTCGAAGAAGCCGATGGCGATGCGGATATGAGCATTCCCAAAGCATTGCAAACATGTCACATCTACCGAAAGATGATTCAATTGATCAATTTTTGTCCTTTAGAATCACGCGATGCAGGCATTTCCGAGAGTGTAGATCCTGGCGACATCGCGATAGGTTTTACTAAGGGTGATCGATTGATCATTCAGCGACAAGTCGTGAAAAAATGAAACTACACGCATTGGCGCATGTATTGGATCACAACAAATTTATATTGTCAAAAGCAGGTTCGCGTTTTGTTTCTGATATAGTGATCCAGGTTCGCCTTCGTTTTTATTTCCACACTTAGATCCTTGGGATCGATATTTCGCCATACTATGCGGTCGAACGCCTCAGCAACATGTCACAATATTCCAGATCAAAAATTTGTTGTGTCAAGACAACTCGCCTTTTCTCAGAGATCCTAATTTCGCATTTATTTGCTGGAACATGATTCAGAAGAAAGAGGTTAGCTCAAATACTACTTTTTGAATCAATACGTCTTTGCAGCATACGTTGGCAAGAGTAGACAGAGAATAATAACGAGACAAAAAAAGACGAGGCAGGGTCCTGAGATGCCCAGCGGGCCGTTGTATTTTACATGTTGGCTGCATACTATTAGTTCCAGAATGTCAGGGACTCGGCCAGTCTGCGACAGAGTCTGGGACAAAGTATGGGACAAAGTATGGGACAAAGTTGGCTGTACGGCACCGCACGAGGCCGAGTCATTGCACGCTCCTTCGCGGTGCATTCGCTCGTTTCATTTTTGTTCTTGTCTCTTGGGCTATGCATGCTCGGGATAGATAGCATTATTTATAATAAGTTTATGCATAATTTATCATCGTATGCGCATGGCGTTCTGCAAGCCCGTTTTGAGTAAGAAAATTGAGGGTCTGTTGGAGTTTGCGACTGAATATTTAGACAGGCTTGCCAGTGGCAAGCTGTGCAGGGACATCGTTTCGGCGGGCATGCGTATGTACATGTACAGGCCATTTTAAAACACGACGACAAATACACCTATTGATTCCACCTCGCAACTTTGTTGTACAACAAGACATCACGGCAGGTCATACTACAGTACTTACTAGCGGCATACACAGCGCACGCTGCGACCCAACTCGAACTGCTTCTACTCATCGTTGATATAGTAAACCCCCGTAGGCTTCACAATCAGAGTCAATGCCTTGGGATTAGATGGCTCGACCGAGTGCTTCAACACGAAGGCCACTTGCCAGTGGCTTCGGTTCCACAATTCATACTTCCCTGGCTCGATATCGAAGAATTCAACAGACCCCGCTGTGTCACCATTGTCATTGGTGATGCGGGCAGAGATTTTGTTTTCGGTGCTGTTGTAAATCCCAATCTGGGTCTCTGTGGCTGCCGGGGTGCCCAGAATGATTATTAGGAACTGGCTGCAAGCATCCGACGAACGCACCTGTGACAGACATTGTGGAGTAGTAAAGATATTTGAAACAATTGGTCGATGCAGTGATAAAGATCCCTGGGGAACGAATCAGAATCAGAAAGGAGGACGAATGAAACTAGGCCTTGGACTCACTGAGAGTAATCGAAGGAGCGATGGGGACCTACCTTCGAGACTGACCACATATTTATACGCGTGAACCTGGTTGAATTCTTTCGGAGCTCGCATTCAAAGCTCACATAGCAATTCTCCGGGTGGGGTTTGGAGGATCTTCTGAAAATTATGGTTCAGACGATCAGAATTCAACGAAGCACTGGCAGCTGACCTTGTCAAAAAGAGTAGTACCTTGTGGTGATTCTGGTGAAGCTGCGGCGAAACGAATAGCATTACTAACCGGCAACTCGTCATCATTCTTGCTGTATGTAACATGGCTTTGGAGCAGCATCCGAATCATGGGGCCCATCAAGGGTTCCCAGCATGAAATATGGCAGTTTGAGTCGGATCCGACCATGGTGAATGGAAGCCTGACAGGGATTACGTCTCAAGCGTTGCTGGTAGTGGCACTCACACAGGTTCGAGAGATCTGAACAGTGTTACGAACACATTTCAGGGTTGAAATGTTGACTCGGAAATAAAACTTGAAGGACTGGTATGTTAGCTATGAGTGGAATGATGATCTGCTCGTTGATGAAGTTGCAATTCGCAATTGACCCCGGCGGATCTGCTACGTACTGACTTATGTAAGTTGGTTGTTCAACTGATCACCTTAAGTCGGGATAAGTTCAATGATAGTATCGCTCAAGTTGAGTACCTTACAGTACTAGTTACGTGGTTGTCAAACGTTAAACATTGATCAGTGATATTGCAGTCCAGGGTCAATTGCAAGTTGCAACTTCATCAACGAGCAGATCATCATTCCACTCATAGCTAACATACCAGTCCTTCAAGTTTTATTTCCGAGTCAACATTTCAACCCTGAAATGTGTTCGTAACACTGTTCAGATCTCTCGAACCTGTGTGAGTGCCACTACCAGCAACGCTTGAGACGTAATCCCTGTCAGGCTTCCATTCACCATGGTCGGATCCGACTCAAACTGCCATATTTCATGCTGGGAACCCTTGATGGGCCCCATGATTCGGATGCTGCTCCAAAGCCATGTTACATACAGCAAGAATGATGACGAGTTGCCGGTTAGTAATGCTATTCGTTTCGCCGCAGCTTCACCAGAATCACCACAAGGTACTACTCTTTTTGACAAGGTCAGCTGCCAGTGCTTCGTTGAATTCTGATCGTCTGAACCATAATTTTCAGAAGATCCTCCAAACCCCACCCGGAGAATTGCTATGTGAGCTTTGAATGCGAGCTCCGAAAGAATTCAACCAGGTTCACGCGTATAAATATGTGGTCAGTCTCGAAGGTAGGTCCCCATCGCTCCTTCGATTACTCTCAGTGAGTCCAAGGCCTAGTTTCATTCGTCCTCCTTTCTGATTCTGATTCGTTCCCCAGGGATCTTTATCACTGCATCGACCAATTGTTTCAAATATCTTTACTACTCCACAATGTCTGTCACAGGTGCGTTCGTCGGATGCTTGCAGCCAGTTCCTAATAATCATTCTGGGCACCCCGGCAGCCACAGAGACCCAGATTGGGATTTACAACAGCACCGAAAACAAAATCTCTGCCCGCATCACCAATGACAATGGTGACACAGCGGGGTCTGTTGAATTCTTCGATATCGAGCCAGGGAAGTATGAATTGTGGAACCGAAGCCACTGGCAAGTGGCCTTCGTGTTGAAGCACTCGGTCGAGCCATCTAATCCCAAGGCATTGACTCTGATTGTGAAGCCTACGGGGGTTTACTATATCAACGATGAGTAGAAGCAGTTCGAGTTGGGTCGCAGCGTGCGCTGTGTATGCCGCTAGTAAGTACTGTAGTATGACCTGCCGTGATGTCTTGTTGTACAACAAAGTTGCGAGGTGGAATCAATAGGTGTATTTGTCGTCGTGTTTTAAAATGGCCTGTACATGTACATACGCATGCCCGCCGAAACGATGTCCCTGCACAGCTTGCCACTGGCAAGCCTGTCTAAATATTCAGTCGCAAACTCCAACAGACCCTCAATTTTCTTACTCAAAACGGGCTTGCAGAACACCATGCGCATATGATGATAAATTATGCCTAAACTTGTCATAAATAATGCTATTTATCCCGAGCAAGCATGGCCCAAGAGACAAGAACAAAAATGAAACGAGCGAATGCGGGTATGTACGAGGACGAGACGAAGCGTGTACTATGAACGAGTGGATACGTGTCCGAACGAGAGCGTATATGTATACGAAAGAAACCGCCAAAGATGAAAAACGAGCGTAAATGTTGAGATGCACGAAGGAGCGTGCAATGGCTTGGCCTCGTGCTCGTGCAGCAATAGCAAAAGTACGACGTGCCCTCCCTCATCCTCCAAGCGACAACAAAAAAATCATACGCGGCAGAGGCAGGATGGACAGAGCGCTAGATTAAGCATACGGCGATATTGAAGTTAAAGTGGCATCGACGAGGAAAAGGAAATAATGCACGAACGACGGGGGAAAGAATGAAGGAATAAGAAAGGTGGAGAAGAGATTAACATGAAAAACAATTAAAAATAGAATATGTAGTGAGATGCAACGGTCGTGGGATGAGAGAAAGCATGCAGAAAATAAAAAGGGCATGAGCAAGGGAACATGAGGGATCGTGGATGGGGTCGAAAAAAATTGTAAAACGTGCTGCCACTGAGCAAGAAGGGAGAGAAAGACTGCACAATTTCCGATGCATCGCAAATGTCCGCGGATTCTCCAGATGAAGCAACTATAAAAGCAGGAAAACGAAGGATGATGCGTGATGCTGTCGTCCACCCCGCTGAGTCCATGACTACAAGGGGGCAGTATGTTCATACTAACGCGGGACTCAGCAGTTGCCTACGTGCAAAAATCAGCTATCGCCCACCACACACCACACACCACACGCACAAAAAACATCACTCAGCCTTAAACCGCGACCCACCCTCTCCTCCACGCATGACAGCTTTCATAAACCCAAAGAATCGGTCTGCGTATTCAGAAGGCGGGACTGGGCTGATTTTGTGCTGTTGAAAGGTGAGTTAGCGAACGAGGGGATGAAAGGACAAGAAAAAACGCACCCGATCAGCGCTCAACCCCTTCCAAAAATGCTCACACTTCTTCAAACCCCCATACGGCGTCAAAATATCAATAATTCCCAAATAATAAATGACGTCCATCTCTTCGTTGCTTTCATCTGTCGCTTGGAGGCCTCCTTCATCTTGGTAGAAGAGAAAGTGATCGCGGTCTTGAGTGGGGTGGGGTTGCTGCGAGGGTGCGTTGGAAGGGGTTTGATGCTGCGGGTAGGGAGGTTGAGGAGGTTGAGATTGATGGAGAGGATGAGATGGATGTGGTGGGGTTTGGAATGTCAGGTGGGCTTGCTGCGTGATCCCATTCCCATTCACACCCACATTTGCGTTGCTCGTACCCTTGGAACCAGAACGCGGACGCGTGCGCTGGGAGTAGGTGGGCGTAGACGGCGCAACGGTTTGCATCGAAGAAGGAGGCGAATCCGGGAGATCAAGCGTCGTCCCTAGATGGTGCGGATCAGATGCGCGCATGATTCGGCGCATAGCAATCGCTTCAGGCGACCGCCCGTCTTTCGTTTGCGTGGTTTTGCGTCGGATGGGTGGGACTGAGGGCTGCATGCGAGTCAGCAAGGGTAAGGATCATGAATAAAAAAATAAGTGCTAGACGAACCTCAAACACCCTCAGCGTACTCCCTCTTACATTCTCCCTATTCCCCCTATTCCCCCAATGAAGCCCAACGAGCAAACTATAATCCATAACCCCGAGATCCCTCAACATCTCACTATCCCTCCTCAACTGCTCCGTTAAGAGGGCCCTCTTCTCTGGGCCAAGCTCCAGCACCCTATTACTATCGATCCAGTTCAAATCCTTCTGCACCGCGCGAGGATTCTGCTCCAGTTTCGCAGGTGGTACGATACGCCCGATAGTGCTCCCTTTGAGATCGTAAGATTCGTGAATGTCTTTGTGAGGCGGGAACAAATTGTTCATAATCACGAAGTGAATCTTTTGTCCCCTGGGAAGCTTTACACGATGAAGGCCATAAAACCGGCTCAATAAAGTGTGAGGATTCGCTTTGACGTGTTCCCAGTACTGCGGAAGAACCCGAAGGAGGAACTTGTGTTCTGCGTGCCGGATGGTCTTTATGATGAAGCGGTAATCGCGGGAGAAGTAGAAGAAAGAGCCACTTTTGCCTGGGGAGGTGAGTTCGGAGAGGATGTATTTGGATGTAAGGGAGAGGAGGTAGTCTGCGGGGTCTAGAGAGAAGTGGTCTTCGCGGAGTTCGCGGAAGACCCATGGGGCATAGTCTTTGAATTTGAAGTCGTATCTCGCGGACGGAGTGAGTTCGTTCCCGACGCTGGAGAAATGTGAGTTCGGAATGTGGAACGGATGGGCAATACGTACATATCGAAAGAGTATTTATGTCTTGCGGTAAAATCCTGTTCGGTGAGTGGTCGTTTTATCTTTGCCTGGCAACGTGAGACCTGGGTGGAATTAGAGGCTGCGCACATATAGAGATTGGGGACGCACAGCTATCCTGATGCCCGTGAGCATGTTATACATAAGGACGTAGTTTGCGTGGTCCTCTCCTATTAAATTGCCTACCAAGGGACGCTCGTCCTCTTTCTGAGCCACTTCGACGACGGCTGCTGCTGCGACTTCGGCAGCCTGCTTTCGCTTTCTTTCACGGCGAATCTGCTCTGCCTGTATTTGGATGTCATCCTCCAGTTCTCCGGTTGCGACATATGTGGATGGAGGTGGATGGGGACGGCGTGTGGAGCCTGTCGTGTTGCGGCGTACAGGACGAGTGGGTGGGTGGAGGAGACCATCTGGTTGTTGTGTCTTGGATGTGCTAGTAGATTGGGCATAACTGCTCGTCTGGGAGACTCTAGGGATTCTGGCAGATAATTTTGTCTCTGTAGAAGCACGGTGAAGGCGGTCGTGTGTGCGGTGACTGTTTATGGTGGCTGAATCCAACTCTACATCGATGTCTGTCTCGATGCCTTTCGGGAGTGGGTCTGACTTTGAGAGTCTGACTGGGAATAAGGATGATAGATTGTCAGGCGACTCGTCTACGCTGGCTGGAGGAGAAGGTGGAGGTGGACCGATTGTATCCTCACGGGGAATGCTAGGTAATGGCTTTGGTGGGTGAAGGTGAACTGTGTCCCTTGTTACTTCTACTATGTGAATTTGAGTGTGAGTGTGGTCCATGTCTTGGCGAATAGTCGTCGTCGGCGAAGGCGCTGTTACAAATGATGTGGCTGAGGACGAGACCAAGCTCGATTGTCGGTCCAGTGCTGAATTGGGCTCGCTCGCGGTCAGAATTGAAATGCGGTTGGCCATTCACCCACGCTAAAATGATGAGTTCACCGTTGGACACGATGAGGGCAGACAGTCACAGACTAGACTGTCGTTGCAGGTCCAACAGCCTCAGGTGGTGGCTGTGCTTCTTTCTTCAAATCACACCATTGAACCTTCGGACTTCCGATTCATGGCTGTACCGTAAGCATGGCATATGCCATTGAACTATTCAAAGGCGGCCTAAATCATTCAGCAAAACTACTACTCGACTTTCAATGTACGAATGGCGGCCATGAGCCCATCTGAACCTCGGAGATGATAGTAAGATAAAAATTGGTCCTGTACTGCCTATAACTGAAGTCTTTTTCGCAATTGGATGGTACTAGATGTGACGTGCACTGCGTATGGTCAATCTAGATCAGGTACTTACGGTACTCCGTGTATCCAGCCTGCTCTAGCCCAGCGTGGATTGCAGTAAATACACTATCTCGACCTAGATCAATACTTACATGGATCTCCAGGTTGAATCTTGTAGATCATCGATAAGAGTCTACTGCTGATCTGATATCAGGCATGTATCCTTTGCGAAAACAGGAACCTCGACACGCGGAGCGATCCGTGTGTACAACAACTGTCACAACATGGAAATACATGTGAAACATGACCTGAACCATCAATTTCTCCACTGAACTTCATTCACAGTCCTGATATCTCTTCTCCCACCGCTCATTCGGCCTACCACTCAGCCCATCCTCGATCATACTTTATCGCACGAAGGCCCCATATCATCACCTTCTATTTCGTGATCCTCACGCTATAGTTATCGACGGAAACAATCTCCAAGTGCCTTATGAGTGCATCCTGCTGGCATTTATGTCTCCATCAATGTCAACTCGAGCAGACGCCGGAAATCAGCCATCAAAGTCTCATTATCCGAAAAATATGTAGCGCGGCTCGGAAGCGATGCTGCGACCTTGTGAAGTTCATGGAGACTTTCGCACACTACTCGAAGACTGGCCTTCTGTTTGTAGACCATTAGGTGTGTTACCTGCATTCTCACTGGACATCAGGGCATCCTTCGGGCTTGATCGAATGCTGGGCAATGGAAACCTTATCGGCGAACTCGAAACGACGTGGGATGAGCCTTTCAATGGGTGACCAACTTCTCATTTATTCACATCTGGCAGACCTCTCCTTCCCTCCCGTTCTTGGCGTCAGTCTTTCGCTCACACTGAAGGGTACATTCATGCGAAAATCAGAACAATGCACTGCTTGACATCGGTGGCATTATGCTGTTGGATTTTGCCTATGGAACGTCAATCGTAGTCCACAATAGACTGCGCAATTCCTCGAGAAAAAGATGCAGGCCACGCACAATTTGTCAAATGCATAACAAGCAAGACAGTTTCTCACTTCAGCGATGCTGTGCAGCATTCACAGTCGGTTCTTGCCCAGTGTCCGACCACGCATCCCGATCACGCAGCGCCCCTCGCCAACCCCGGTTTGTAGGCTACTGTCTGGACGATCTCGTCGCCATGCATCTCTTCACAATTTAAGTTCAAGTTCAGCACTCTGCTCTCGGTTTACGCAAACCCAGATGAATGAAGATGTCAAGGAGGTCATCCGACTCTGCCAACACTCGTTGGATGCTTTGCCTTCTCTACCCCCGAGTAGATTCACCAGCCATATGTGGTTGCAGGAAGCCTGCATGTCTGGTTACCCAGTGTAAAGCAAGTACGCTGGTCAATCACTCGCTGTGGAGCACTCCAGATTGGCATCGTGACAGCCCACACAGGGCTTTCCAAGTTGCATTGCAACAGTCCGTAGCTGGTCACTTCAGCAGACATACATCTGCGTTGGAGGCCTACAACACATGTTTCGACCTTCTTGATGGACATTTGGTAACACGGTCATCGACAATTTCATGGGGCGAAGCTGCGAATTCCTTCAGTGGTACCAGATTATTGCTTGTAAATGAAGCATCACGTGCCTTCTGCAGCGATAATTCACGACACGCAGCCCGAGTCATGGAGTAGGGCCATGGAGAGAAATGCGACAAATTCCAACCTAGTTTACAAGTCCTCGGAGTTAAGAATTGTCTAACCGATGCTCAAGGATCCGCTGTCGGTATAGACCGAGCTGCTGTTTAATCGCACAGAAGGAGAAGTGGGGATCGGCAGCAGCTGGAATCTGTAATATTGAAAGTGTCTCGCGATCTCTGCCCCCACTTTCGTATGAAGACTTGCAAGCGACAGCGCGTCATGGCCTAGTCATCATTCTCATTGCGAAAAAATCCTCGTGCGGCGCTATTGTTGTCATGATCTCAGGAAAGCCCCGTGATGTCCCTTTTCCATCTATCACTCTCACAGATCTGGAGAATCTCAAGGATCGCTTCGCCGGAGCAATACGACACGTATCTATGATGGGCCCAAAGCAGCGCGAAATGATCTAATAGTCCTCTTGCAGACAACGGCCAGATCATGCTACCTGTCGTCAATGTCCTGCAGCATCTTCTAAAAGTCAATTCAATCCAGTTGTGTCCAATTGCAGCTTTTACGTCTATTCCTCTCCATGCAGGAGCCATGTCTAGAGGATCTCTGCATCTGCTCACTCATACACACACTTTCGGCTCTAATCGGATCTAGACAGATGATGAAAAGGCGTGTCAGTCCGCAATCGGACATAGTTAACCGGGGCTCTTGGCTGTTGACGGCCATCTCGGGCTTGTCCGGAAGCTTTCCCGGAAATTGCCGACAATACCACTATTTCTGGCGATGCAGCAGTGCACTCGAAGCCTTGCAAGAGAACAGGCGCACCTTGCCTGTCTCACGGCAAGCAGGAACCGACACAGCCTTACACGTCATGAGAATTGAACATTTTACCCTGCTTGGAGAAAGACGTTCTGACGCCGAGTTCGCTTGTTACCACTGTCGGTGATGAAAATGTAGCTCTCTTGGCCCACGGACGCTCTATATTCAGCGGCGGCTATGACAAGATAATATTTCGCATTCGGTGACACCAAAGCAGATTCTCACATCAGCGTGCGATCATTCTTAGACAGAGATGAAACACTGGTCCTTTATGGGGAGAAAACAACTTGAAAGTGAGTTTTCTAACCTTTGCATACTGTTTATGCATCTTGACGCCCAAGCAGAGAGAGTATATTTGTATACCGCTACAAACAAGGGAAACTGTTAAGACGCGGTGCCCTATAAGCTCTGTTGGGGGATATTCTAGTGGGTATGGGATGTAAGTATAGTACAAATAGCCGATAGGTCTGCTTTGAGGTGATGTGTTGCTCAGGCAGAATATATTAGGCCTTCTTGATGCATGTAATTACTATTGATCACAGAATCCTGCTCTGCTCCGCAAAAAGTCGGTGCACTACGAGCAGATCGACAGGTTTCGCGTAAATGCCATTGGCTCTAACTTGTTCCGCTCTGAAACAGGAAGCCCTTCACAATCTCGCTTGCTCAACACCAGAATATTTTTCAATGATCTAGTCGTCCGAAAAGAAGGGCAAAGGAAAGGAGCATTCTTTGATATGACGGGCTCCACGTGAATGTTGGTGATATTTGAATTTGAATTTATGCATGGAAGTGCCAAACGTCAACTGAATGCACCGTCACGTGAATCACGACGATGAAGCTTCCGTAGAGGACTCACTCAATCGGTCTAAACCCGAGTGGACCTGCTAAAATGTATAAAAGCCCTCTTGGATTTTCAGTGTTATATATCGACGAAGTAGTCACACCTTTTTACTATCCCTGAACATGCAGCTCTCTGTGCTCTTTAGTGCGCTCATATCTTTCGTGATCCTTGCTGCAGCGTCACCCACGCCAGAAGCCTTCTCGAAGCGTTCCTGTGAGTGTTCATGATCATCAGCAGTATCATATATACTCAGATGTATCACTCAGCCAAGCGAGAGAAACCTGGCAACAACTTTCAACGCGATTCCCTGGAAGAAAGTAAGAAGCGCGAGGAGCTTGGGACCAACCTCATAGAATATATTAACTACTACGCTAGAGACGGTTCAAGCAGCATTTCTGGAGGTAGGATACACTTATCTGCCATATATTCGTTTACAGATCAACCCTTTTGCAGCGAGCGAAAAGCGCGAGGGGCTTGGGACCAACCTCATAGAATATATTGACTACTACGCTAGAGACAGTTCAAGCAGCATTTCTGGAGGTAGGATACACTTATCTACCAGTTATTCATTTATCGATCAAACCCTTTGCAGCAAGTGAGAAGCTCGAACTCGAGTTGGGGTCTTGATGAGTAGTACGCACCTGCTGCCAAGAGGATAGTGTAGGGCACAGAACTATAGTTGGGGTCAGTTCTGCCGGTTACAACCGGCAGAACCGGTAAAACGAGTCTAGGCTCATGGACCAGCCGACTTGTATGAGAAGGGAATGTGTGGCAAGCGTCTGGAAGAACTTCCCTTAAAAGCAGTAGAGCATGGTTTAAAACTTCGCATAGACCAAAAACGGTACTGCACCGTGCTTCTAATAAATCCTAACTCATACCATTATAGATGGGCGAACTTTGACAAGTGCTTCAAGCGCTCTGATCCCATCTTTTTCAGGCAGTAGACTGCCCTGGTGTACAAAGATATAATTCCGATATGATGTAGGACTTCAGCGTGATGCTCCATATGCAAGAAGGTAGTTGGTCCATGAGACTATGAGATAAGTGGCACAAGTTGGCTAGGAATACTTCTGATTTTCCTGATGAGTCGTTGAAGATGAGGCTTAAGCTTAGCTTGAACGTTCTGAACTTCGGGCACAGTGCGTTACGGCAAGGGGTAAAACGGTCTCGGCAGAGGCCGGGGACCGAATCCCTTGCCATCATCATGACCCATTTTCCTTACCAATTTAATCTTTCTCATTGGGCAGGCAGGTAGCAGATGGCGCAATGTTATGCATGCCAACGAGCAACGTTAATACTCTGCTAACCAGCAGAATTACTACTGCATCACCCTGCCATGGCCTGGTAATATGGTTGCATAGTTAGCTGTAACGGGAATTTAGCATGGAACGTGAGTTCATCCCTGACAGAGCTGTACATGTTTGCAATGAGGACATCCATCTCACACTAGCTTACATGCATTCCACATCGAACCCAATCAAACAATCATTGACCATTCCTGCTCTGAACACGAAGTGATACCACAACTACTGCAGATATCGTGGAATACCATATTGCCGCCTGCCTGCATGTATCTACCTCTCAAGGTCATGCGTACGGTCATGGGGCCGGTGTTACTGTCGTGGTCCTTTTCTTCGATGGGATCCACTGGAAGGAACACATGAAGTTGAGAACTTAATATCGATGCCCTGTACATCAGCGGGGGGCTTGTCTCGCTGTTTACCGTTGTCGCCGTTGGCACAGCATTCCCGGGACCGCGCTGACTCCAGCTGTCGTGCTGAGATGACAGTGTGCCAGAGATCAAACAACTTACATCATACAGATCCGTGGAAACCCCTTTTTATCACCTCTCCGTTGCTTTCCCTTCTACACGCAATTTGGCTGCCGTGCGTGTACATGCTTCCACTATTGCCTTCTAATGGTTCCCACCCAATACGTCCATTATCCCCGTGTCACTCGCACACGGACCAGTCCCGTCGTAGATATTGTCGAGCACCTCGATTTCTGTCTATCACTTCACACTCGCAACTCCGGCTGAGCATGACGAATTGCGAGCACGTCAAAAGACGTGTTGCTTACTCGATCACCTTCACACTCGCAATTCCGGCTGAGCATGACGGATTGTTATTGCTTGTCGAGCACGTCAAAAGACGTGCTACTTATCTCAATTCTCCTGGTGCCAACCCGTTCGTCATTATGGCTCTCGGTGCCGCTCATTTTTCGGGCCTTGTGGTTGTGCCACGTTGATGCTCGACGTTTCGTTCACAGACAATTGCACAGCACCTTATACTGCAGATATCCGCTTAGATACTCGGGACGATATACGCGAGCTGCAATTGTGCTCATTTGAGGTAGTAAGTAGTGTACACGCTATTTAATGTATACTTCTCCGAGTCGTCTCCAGAAAATCGCATGTGAGACGTCGTCGGAATCCCTCAGGATGATCTCATTGTGTACTAATATTGCATGTCGTTCTACTTCACACTCACAAATCCGGCTGAGTATAACGAATTGTTACTAGAATCAGATTATATGCGCCATATATAGTATACAAGCAGAATATAATCATGGTCACGAGAGGAGCTGCCCAGCGGTAATCACTTGTGGACTATATATATTAATATTGCCCCGTAGATGGACTCGCAAGCCGCTCACTTAGGATTCATTCTTCTTCTGCAATCTAACGTGAACGAACCGCATGAAAATGTACATTGCGGCACCGGCCAGTGCAGCGATCTGTGATTTATTGATCAAAATGTATATGGATAGAGAAGTGGCAATCGCAGTCGACTCACCCCAGAGAACAAAGCGGGTCTCCACCAAATGTAATGCGATGTAAGCAGGGCACCGGAGATGGGTGTTCCTAGGTAAACATTTATAAGGTGAAGCAAGAAGCGCTACAAATGCACCTACCAATTAAACTTCCGAATCCTGCAGAATGAACGTGTGCCAGTTCAAAATAATATACAAGTAAATCTGGTCCTAGCACTCACCGCCAATAAAGAAACTGATACCCATCCACCCGCTGTGACCAGATAAGATCATTCGCACATACTGAAGCTCGAGTTATCACTCACCCAAGCTCAGAGGGGTCGTGTGTTAGGGTAGCCATAAGTGGACCCACTATCGCAGTATCTACATGACCGATCAACACCTTCAACTATGTAGTAAAACGGAAAGAATACTTACACACCCCTGAAAAATAGCCATAAAGCACACCAATGATAACGACGCTGGCCATGCTACTCAATCCAATAGTGCCCAAAATTATCAATCCGCACGAGATTGCCGAAATCACGGTCAGATTGAGGACTCCTGTATACCCTGCGATATACCCTGCTGAAAGTCGCCCCACAGAGCTGGACGCGCTTAAAATCACAAGCTGGTGATTGAATCAGCAAAAAGACCACTTGTATAATGCTAGAACCCACAGAGTAAGATGAAAAGGTGATGTCGATACCGTGTTGGGTAGAATCGAGTTGAAGAAAAAAGTACGGGTAGTAAAAGCCAATCTGGAAAAGAAACGCCCTGCATAACGAGTGGTTATTTTCGAAATTTCGGGAGATGGTGTATTGCAGGTCTTACCCTACTGCCGCGAAAAAGAACGGAACATCACGAAGACACTTTTTAGCTGCCGCGATATAGTTCACTGGTGTCGTCGGCGGATCAAGGCGTGGTCGCATACACAAGCATGCAATCAGAAGGAGCGCGCTAAGTAACCCTGCACTTGCACGTACGCCATTGGCAAAACCAAGGGGCCCATTCAGGAGATTATTAAGCATAATCGGGTGGACGATAGCACCCAGCGATGAGCCCATAGTAACGAATGCCATCACCAGTGTGCGTTTCCGTTTGAAATAATGCGAGACGATGGCCAGGCTCGGGATGTACAGCAACCCCACCGCGATACCTGAGCCTAAGCCTTGAGTAAGGAATACCTATTATGATGTTAGAAAACAAAAGGTCAGAAAGCCGGAGGGCGTCACCTGATAGTACTGATTGGGCTTCGCCAATGACAGCATGAAGAGAGAGAAACCCTGTAGCAGCGACCCGGTAACGACAAGATGGTAACTAGGTAGTAGGCCTGCTGAGCACCGTCTCCGAGACATTTGCATGCACACTCACAAATAACCTCGATCGTATAGTGAGCCTGATACAAGGCTCACAGAGGTGCCTAAAAATGCATTGATGCTCCCAATGGATCTGCAAGAGACCATGAGGATACTCACAATAGAGAAGCCTATAGAACTCACGAAATAGCAAATGATGTCTCATTTGTGAGATAATTTTGAGTATAGAAGTCTGGAAGGCAAGCCGTTTAAACAAAGTTTCCTCACTTTCATGCGCAGCAATACAATACCTTGGTATACACCAAATGATGTGACGTAACTTTGACGCTTCAGAGCGCCATTCTTCATCGATGATAAAGCGCAACACTCACCCCCAAGTGCAGAACAATACGAGAAACCTAGGACAATCAAATAAGAGCCAGCACCACCAAAATTGTGTCTCCTTACGCTCCAAAAGCAGTGGACCAAGCGGCAAGGCCACCTTCCGGAAACTCTTGCAAGAGCAAAGGAAGGTCGGAGTCCTTGGAGACTGGGCGTTCAACTCCCAGCTCCTCTGACCCACCTTTGTGTTCTTGTGCAGCCCATGGTTCCGCAACAAGTGTTTCAGGTTTGGTTTCGACTGCCATCGATGTGACGGTTGACTTGCACACACAATGAAACTAAAGTTTGATCCTTTTATCTATCCTTGATGACAAAAAATGAATGAGCTAAGTTCACGTTATACACCGGAACAAGTACAAAGGCGTCGAGACAGTTACCATAGCATGTGTCCGGCTAATAAAATTATGCCAGTGTTCCATTTCATTCATAGCCATGAAAGCGTCGCTTATATTCTCCTAGTAATTCATTTCAGGAAGCTTGTTGAAGCCTGCAAAAAGATGGATACAATCATTTGTTTAATCACCGTTAGCCTCGGAACCAATTGGATTATCTGTGAATATAATATGAAGCTGTGCCAGATGATCAATGATCCAGTGGCAAAAACGGTGGCACGGCGTTGTGGAGATCGCCTGATATGGTATGATGATAGCGAGCGAAAGAGGTAAAGAGATTTGCACTCGACATAAGGATGTGATTTTTTTTACAAGGGGGTGAGGACTTTGTTTAAAAGTAGTGATGGCTAAGTGACGCGCACCATAGGTAAATAACGCACTGCGAATCGGTGGAGCATGGGGCCCGCTGCCTAACCCAAAGCAAGGCAGACAAACTGTAATGATGATTATGCTAGCTCCGAACTTATGGTGAAACTTACTAAGCTCCATGGAGACCACGAATGTGCACCTGCCGGTGCTAGGAGCAATGGAGGTCTGAGCATGTACGTACTGCGGACCGGGAGTAACGTGTGACGCATAAATGCTCGCAAGCTAGACGGTAGAGCAGTGGGGTCTCCTCCAGCGGTGGGTGGCACTTAGTCAGTAGGGATAGAGCCTTCGGGCGTTGTCGTAAATAGCATAATCAGTAGGTTGAGGCCACACCAGCTTCCGTCTGACCGAGGCAGGCACACTGCCAGCCGTGCCAGTGCAAGAATTCGCACATGATCCACTGATGAAGATGCCGTCAATTTTACACAGGAGAAAAAATTAACATCAGGCCAGAAATAGCTGCTAATGGTACTCAATTCTGTGCATCCAGAAGAGGTTTCGAGATCGGAATGGTTGGACGTCCGACGCTGTGGTGAATTAATATTGATGAGTCAATTGTTTGGTCATATGTATTGCCACTCAAAGTCCGCTGTGTAGTTACGCTCGAAGCACACACCAGCGAAACGTCACAATCTACGCGTCCCTTCAAGCTTCAGGTTACGAATGTGTGGGAGCCTCATGACACGAAATCGTCTTCTCGCCGTTCACCAATATCCAGGACAGGAGTTACCATGTAGCCCGGGCTTCGAAACGTCTGGTGAATTTGTAGAATGTCTGGGCCAAAGACTCGGCGAGAATCAAACATGTGGTTTTAGGCTGTTGCGCGATTGCCGCCACTGGAAAAGGAAGATGACATCATCAAAGGATTGGATTAGGCTGAGGCTCGTGATACGAAGCTCAGCAAGGGCCGGAGCCATGTGACATGTCTGATGCATCAAATATTCTGTGTCTACGTTGTACCAGAATACTGCGAATATTTTTCAGCCATATGTCAAGCTTCATTGATGCTATCTCTGATCGCCTTCGCATCGCCCATGGGCGAAGAGCCAAGCCGGCCAGAATCATCCCGGGAGAAACAAACCTCGTCGGTGAAATACTACATGCCGTCATCAATAGTATGCAGTGCCATTCATATTCATTCAGCCACTCGATGGTACTTACCCTCTAGAGACACCCCTAGCCAAACCTTCATTTCTTCTATTAGAAGAATATTATCATACCTTTGGGTTAGGAGCCATTCCAATCAGAACGAGCTGCTGTTGATCAGGCAGAAACACAGTATAGGAATCTTACGAAGCGGTGGGGAGCAGTGGTACTAGTGGCTGAAATCGAGGTTTCTCGCGATTCCTGCTCCCACCTTCGTATGAACACTTGCAAGTGGCAGTGCGTCATGGCCCAGTCAACATCCTCATTGCAAGTCAATACTCGTGTAGCGCCCCTGTTGTCCCAACATCAGGAGATCCTCACCTCGTTCACTTTCCGTGTCTCGCTCTCACCAATCTGAAGAAACTCGAGGACGACTTCGCTAAAGCGATTAAGCAACCGGTCAGTATGCGCCCATAGGAGCTGAAGAAGGATTTGTGAGAACTCTTATGGATAGTATGGGATGAGATCATGCTACCCATCGTCACACATCGGTGGTTTCGGAGTTTTGACATGAGCAAGATTTGAATCAAAATGGGTTTGATAAATAAAGAATTTCCACTTTGAATTTTGAGCGGAGAACAAGATGAAATTTGAATGAACAGTGAGATGGCAATACAAAGTGACACATTTTACCGCACATTTTGAGTCATGACTAATATTTGGGGTTTTCAGCCAGGAAAAATTACCATGCAATATGTAAAATTTGTGATAAAAGGTAAATAAAAACTTTTGAACGAGAAAAAATGTTATGCAAAATAATATATAATAACTGGTGTTTCCCCATAGCAGTTAAACTCAAATTTTTCTGACGTTAAAATGTAATAAGGAAAAATGCCAAGTTTTATGCATGGGAAAATGACATGGGCACCCAGTGGGCATTCATTGCACATTCATAAGAGTGCTAAGCAAGCATTCATTGCGCATTCCTGAGGGATTTGATGGGCACTCGGTATTATGACAATGATACAGTAAGGTATTACATAGTGATGCGTGACTGTTCTACAAGACAAATCTGACCAAAGCGCAAATTGATAAACACCGACGGAGTAACTGCGATATCCACAGTGTTCTTCTTGAGGAAACACTTAGCTACATTAAAGATACAACCGCGATAACTTCCGTCGAGAACAATACACTGTTGGTTTTTTTTGCGCGGAGGGGCTGGGCTCAAATCTGTGGTGGGTATGTGATAGTGCTGAATCGCAGCGCCTGCAGTATTCGACGAGCAGAATACTGCAACACAGCCTTCGGAGGCGGGTCCATTCTGACCGAGGAAGGGATCAGGACAAGCCATTGATGCGAATCGATTGTGTAGTCTGCCTCCCATGAAGGAGGGAGAAACTTTCAACATTGCGTGATAAGTGGTGAACTTGGACAAAAATTCCTTGCTCATCAACCATGCTAGTGGGCCTAGAATCAAATAAGTGGATGCTACGGGGGTTTTGTTAGAGGACTCACTCTTTTCGGTTTTTTCCGTTCTAGCGTCAAGCATGTCATTGATATCGACAGTCCAGGGGTCGGCAGTCTGTGATGGATTGAGGCTAGAAGGGTTATCGGCCATGCCCAGATCCTCGGAGCTAGCACCCCAGTTGGTCCACGTGATTGATGACAGATTTGCAATAGAAGCTGACGAACTTGAGACAACCTTTTCAGGGGGGGGGGGGTGACGCTTCTCGGTTGCGGGACCAAGTAAGATCTTCTCCGCATCTCGCAAAAAGATAACATGTCGGGTCCTTCGAGCATGGCGCCATTCAACCTCATGCCATACCTAAATACACATGAAATCGATTCATGCAAACATGTGCGTATCACTTACCTGGTAGCAACGTCCTTGAGCTGAATCTTAGTGCGCTGCTGTCCATGCAGGGCAACAGTGCAATCCGTGGAGTTGAAACTGTACAATGTGGCTCGGTAGCCCTTACGGCCACCTCCAATAATAAAAACTTCTTGCCCAATGTCCTTCTTGAAAGAATCCAGGCTGACGTTGTACACTTTGATCACGAATCCAATGGGAACGTGAACCTGTTGGAAGTCAGGGAAGTCAGACATGCGTAAGTCGAGAAGAATTAGTACTGACAAGTGAGTGGTCGATCTCAGAGAGTAGAGTCAAGCGAGCATTTGGAAAGTCAACGCTTCACACGACCCCTTTCACGGGATACTCTGACCCACGGGCGACTCTCACAACATCTCCAGGCTTAACATTGTAACCCTTATCTTGCATATACTGGAGTGTCTGGGGCTTGAAGATCCGCTGAACAACTTTAATTGGAACTGGGATGTTCAATGATTCGTGCTGGAACCACAGATAATTCCCTCCCTTGGAGAGCCAGTGCACGATGCCAGATTTTCCTATATGTTCCCCCATAAGCACATCTATAGAATCACCAATCTGAATAGATTCAATATCAGGGGGAGGATTAAAAAGTTGCTGAGTTGGAAGCCGTGCTTGCGGGGTGTGACTCAAAGGGCGACGGTCTAGGTAGTACTTGGAAACTTCCAACTATCCTTTGTATTAAATGCTGTTCTTCCAAGATAATGAGGAACATTTACCTCTTCTTTTGAGACGTCCTGACAAAGACAGAATATATCACCTGTCATCTGAATGATGTACCCTTCCACCCCTAAGTACGGACCTGCCACTACTCGAACTGTGTCGCCGACTTGAAAAATGCGCTCTATCTCCTCTAATCGAAAATTTATTTCCTTTGGGCGACCACTCAAAGTCAACTTCAAGGTGACGGAACTGGCAGGATGGTTGGTCGAGACAACTCGACCAATCTCTGAATTAAGGTCTCCTTTGATAATCATGGCCCGATCGCCTACATGGAGGAACTGCTTGGCAAACGCAAGCACAGTTGATTTGAGGAAAGCTTGGTTCCACCCAGATTGTAGGTGGAGTTGTATGTTGTCAGCATGAGGGCAGACGATGTGTTCTAGGCGATCACGGTGGACCTTTTTAAGTAGAAGACCCATATAATACCTCTTTCCATTGTATTTGCACCCTATGACTTCTTCGCTGTGATTGATGTCGGAGACCGCGTCTTCGTTCGGAAGGCGGGATCGGTCCAGTAATGACTGAGACCCTCGAGGCATGGGATAAGGGAGTTCCCGTGGGGGAACTAAAACTGCGACCAAATAGAATTCCAAGTTCCGAATATCTAGTTCCAAGTGCCGAACATCGAGTCCTGATTACCGAATTCCTAATATCGAGTTCTGGATATCGAATTCCGAGGTCCGAATATCGAGTTCCAGGTTCCGAGTGTTGAGTCCCAAATACCTAATATCAAGTCTCTTCCCAATATCGAGTCCCAAGTGCCAAACATCAAGTCCCGATTACCGAGTTCCTACTATCAAGTTCTGGATATTGAATTCCAAGGTCCGAGTATTGAGTTCCGAGTTCTGGATATTGAGCTCTGGATATTGAGTTCTGAGTCCCGAGTGTAGAGTCCCAAATACCTAATATCAAGTTTCTTCTGAATATTGAGTTCCGGATATTGAGGTCTGGATATTGAGTTTCGAGCTCCGAGTGTAGAGTCCCAAATACTTAATATCAAGTTGTTTCCGATTATTGAGTTCCATGTACCGAATATTGAGTCCCGATTACCGAATTCCGAACATCGACATTGAGCTCCGAATCTCGAGTGTATATCAAGTTTCGAATATTGATTGCTGAGTTCCCAATGTTAAGTGCCGATTATTGAGTCCCGAATATCGAGTTCTGAGTTTCGAGTGTCCTCCGAATATCAAGTTCCAAGTGCCGAACATCAAGCCCCGATTACCAAATTCCGAATATCGAGTTCCGAGTTCCAAGTGTAGAGTCCCAAATACCTAATATCAAGTCTTTTCCGAATATCGAGTTCCATGTACTGAATATCAAGCCCCAATTACCAAATTCCGAATATCGAGTTCTGAATCTCGAGTGTATATCAAGTTCCGAATATTGATTGCTGAGTTCCGAATGTTGAGTGCCAATTATTGAGTTCTGGATATTGAGTTCCAAGTTCCAAGTGTTGAGTCCCAAATATCTAATATCAGGTCTCTTCCCAATATCGAGTTTTAAGTGCTGAATATCAAGTCCCAATTACCGAGTTCCTAATATCGAGTTCAGGATATTGACCTCCAAGTTCCGGATATCGAGTTCCAAGTTCCGAGTATTGGGACCCATATCCTTAATATCAAGTTTCGGAAATATTGGTCCTCGATGCTTCATTGTTGGCAATCGATTATTGGTACTTGGTATTCCAGAGTAGGTACTAACACTGGTAACTACACTTTCTACTTATTTGATCTTTCATAGGATGGTCAGGGTGGGCAATCCACCCTAGCCCATCCACATGAGGGAACCCCGGCATAAATATGAACAGAATCCCTCATATACCATGCCCACGCAACCCGATCCCCTTCTACTTCATGAACCCCATGTCTAACAATCCTTCTGGAAAACACAATCATACAGCCAGGATTGTACCTGAACTCCAGCTGAAGGCTTGGCATACTAATGTGAGCATTGGAATAATTCCCCACCGTGATGAGAATATCGAAGCATTCCAGAATGGATAAATGGTCTCGATGATTCAGGGTTTGCCGATTGGAAATGATAGAGAGGGAGTTAAACACCAATGCCCAGTACTGGAGGGTCTCAGACATCTGTGGCAGTTCCTTGCTTTCTGCCTTTTCTCCGAGGCTTGCAAAGGTTTGTAACCCTGCCCAGTACTGCTCTGGATGCATCACCCTGAGTGCCGCTGATGCAATGGCTGCTGGCCTCGCAATGGCCTTGAGGATTTTCTCACTGAATGGTCCCTTCAATGATGCAGATACCTCCGGATCTGACAAATTCTATGGGATTGGTGAATTTAACTTCTGAAACCGCCATCTCATCAGATCCTACCTCATGCCCCTGTTGAAACCATGCCGGAGATAAATTCATGCATCTGGGAGTTAAGCCAACATCTTCAGAGCTGTGTTTGAACCACTCCGAATTAGTTCGCCAATTGCCATTGACCTTTACACTTTTTTTCAGACTTAGAGTGAGCAGATCGGTGGCTGCCCAAATTTCCCTCTGTGGGTACCATTTGATATTCAATATCCATCGAGTAACAATGGATATTACACACCTGGGTTGCAGCTGTCAGGGCGTCTGGGAGGTACCATGCGATGATGGTACCGGACACATTGAGAATTGTGGTGGGTATGTCCACCAACTTTGTCCCCTCATGGCCAGGAGGACATCTCTCAAGCAACTTCTCCTCTTTCTCTTCATTATGCCCGGTGTTCATCGGGGAGATCAATTTGCTATATCTTGCTATATCAATCTGCATCTGAACTGTGATGAAGGAATTTGAATGATCAAATGACTTTTTAGAATCTGCAGGAAGACACACTGGGATTTTGATATGCCTTTATGAGGCGATCTACCAGGGTCTCCTCCTGTCTTCTCTGAATTGAATTTCTGTTCAGTATATTCACATGCCTCATGAGTGACAGTCAGGGCCCAAGTGTGCCAGAGGCTTATTTCAATAGGAGAAGTGGAAGAACTATTCATGATGAAGTTGATCTTGGGAAATCAGAAGCTGAATGCTGAATGCCCAGAAGTTGGTGTTAAAGGGGGTGGAGATAGTGAGGATCAGATAAGGGAGCCTTGAATGATGTTGGCTTTCAAAGATGTATTATCATCCATTGCTCAATAAAATATCAGATGATTGGGAGTGTGCTGGATATCAGATATTCATTTGTTGACACCCAGGTCTCAGAACTCGGTATGCTTCACTTGAATTTCGGTAGTCGGAACTTTGCATCTCTCGGGGCAACACAAGTTTCGCACGCCGGTTTTCACATTCTGCAAGACAACTCAAGCACCATTAAAGTCCATGTCAAGAGAGAACCTGCTGCCGGCACTCGGTAAGCTTCACTCAAATTTCGGTAGTCGGTAGCTGGTACTACATGTTTGCATCTGTACTGGGTGCTCGATTTTCTGGCACTTATGACCTTTATCATTAGATGACTTTGAATGATTACCTCCTCTGATTGGGATGATATACAACTACCTCAGCTCCGTCATGTCTACAATTATCTTTTACCTGGGCCCACCCGTCTATATGATATACCCCACTCGGCCCACCCATCTAATATAATATATATCTGGGCCCGCCCGTGTACTTGGTACACCCATCTACATAATATCCAACTACCTCGGCCCATCCATCTATATAATATCCATGTCCATCGGCCCACTCATCTACTCTACATATTCCCCACATGGGCCCACCCACCTCCATCAGGAATAATATCCCTCCCGGCCCATCCGTCATAGTTGAGGATATTTTACCATCAGCCCATGGTCTGTTGGCCCGTATCATATGGGATATTATGTATGTCTGTTCACTCGTATAATACGGAGATTTGTCACTGTAGTATGTGAAAGAAGTCCTCTGAACCAGGGATTCAAAGGATCTCCTCCCTCATCACCCAAAGTGTTATCATTGAGAACCCACTATCCAATCACTAGCGTGAAAGGTTGCTGCCCTTGTTGCATGCGCGGACGGGACTCCCGAGTCCTTGTGAGACCTCCACATTCATGCCATCGGAGCTATGATCCAAAAATACTCAGCCAATTTTGTGAAACTTGACTCTGGCTCAGCAGAAAGACCTGCAAAGAAAGCCAGGCTTGATGATGGGTGTGTTGTACTCCTTACTGGATCCACCGCGACACTGGGATCCTATATGCTTGCCAATCTTCTCAGATGACCAGAGGTCTCAAGAGTCTATGGTCTCAATTGATTTTCGGCGGCTCCAGGGACATACAGCAGTATGCCTCAGCTCAATGCATTTGAGGAGAGGGTTAAATACGCAACTTCTAACCTCGTCGAGGAAGATCCATTATCTTGAGGGAGACATCTCAGGACAGATTGGGTTTGACAGCTCCTACTTATGAATGGGTTGGTGCTCTCTCTTCTGCTCAGCTAGCTCATCTCTGACCCTGAAGCTCAGATGTCACAGAGGAAATTAATTGACCCTAGGTTCTAGGGCTTTTTCGTAACGATACTCCCGATACAGCTACTCCGTTTCTTAGGCGGGTTTCATTGCATTACAATATTGATGGCACTTAGCCAGTGCGCCATTTTTTTCATTACATACTATTGAACTTTTGACATATAAAGTGGCTCATTTTCCATGACATTGGTAATTATACCTACATAGTTCAACTTATAGTATGAGTACTGACAAAAATAATCCCTCCGGTGATCCTTCACACAAGTGTTGTGGCTCAGCCCTTCAAATGGGTCTACATAAAAAGGTGTAGGTGGTCTTACAGATGGTAGCAAACCCCCCTGACTTTTGATGATCAGAGTTTCATTGAATCCCCTTGTTCTCCATGGTTGGCATTTTGGTCAAACAGTGTTTGCATTGTGCAACTACCCTGCTCTTCTTACGTCAGGTATACTCCAACTCAAGGAATCACAGGACCCTTTCATAGAGGACTATCCCGCAGAGTGAGTCCAATCACATCATCGCATATCCACATCACTTACGGTACAGCTAACATTAGTATCTGACGGGAACACAGGGTATTCATGGAGTTGCTGGATTCCTATCCTGGCCTCTTAGATCACCTAACTAGTGGAGAGGAAGAGGACATTATCCACGTAGGAGAAATGGTAAGTTTTGAGTAATGGAAGGTCATCAAACTGACCTTGTAAACAGCTAGGCAAAGGGGCATCTGACATGCGAGGTGATGACACCAAAACCCTCAAATCTGCTGTGATCAAATGGCTTGTCCCCAGAGGACAAGTAGTCATACCTCCTCTTTCCCGAAACATGAAGTCTGACCGGGGATTTAACCATGAAGTTATGGGAGCGTTGCTTTGCCCTGCGGGCCTTGATTGGTCGAATGTAGAGTAAGTCTTTCTGTCATGCAATAACCAAAATGTCATTATGCTACCCAGAACCAAAGAGTGTCTCAAGAGCGGTGAAACCACAGTTTGTGGTGACCAGTGGCCAATATTCTTATATGCAGGTTATGTTTATGATCCTGAAGATCCCTGGAAGGGGTTATTGAGGAGCAATATACTCGTCTATGTGAGTTCAATCTATTTAACGTTCTCACTCATAGCAAAGTCTTCCTTCGTAGGGTTTCAAACATGTGTTTACGTCACCAAGCTCAGTAGATAAGGAACCAAAGGCTACATGCTCCGGCAACACATACCTCCATGGCATGAAATCCGTAACTAGAGGATCCTTGGCCTATATTGCCATGCAGGCATGTAGCCAATTTAGTACCGCATTCCTTCCCTGTTGATTGTTATTTCAGGTTCGGTTCTCGTTGAGTTCATCATCCGTATTCTCCCGTACCAACACGGTCACAGATTCAGAAAATTTCTATCATAGCATTCTGGACCTGTTAGAAGATCCTTATAAAAGTGAGGAGGTAGGTGACCTGATGATGTGGTGGACTCAGTTCATTATGCATCTCATACACCTTAAGTCCCAGGCTAATACCTTGCACAGTCGTGTTTTTCCTAATTCTTTGTCGTTGCAGCGTAGTATCAGCAAAAACAGCATGCTCTCGAAGATTCACAAAAAAATGTGCTGCCCTTCAAGAGCAATCTACTGTCACAAATTAATTTTGTTGTAATATTTTTATTGTCCTGTACAGCCTGTATTAATTAATGAATATTGTGTAAATATAATATGATGATGGCATAACAAATCCCTCTCTGCATGTGCAATGTTATGTATATGTGACCAAATTATAAGCCTCTTGCCTTCATGAGACAACTCAGTGGCTCCCTATCAGTGATGTTAGACTCTGCCATCAGAAACACTATGTGTAAGAGTAGTTGTGTCTGACAATGTACCAGCATTTTGCTTTGTTGAGGTGACTCATTGTAGCACTTAGACTCACTGCTAAAGATGTTAGGTCTGAGACAACAGTGTCTCCTTGTCAGTGATGTTAGACACCACCATTGGAAACACTACATGTAAGAGTGGTTATGTCTGACAATGTATCAGCATTTTGCTTTGTTGAGATGTTAGGTCTCTCTATCAAAAACTACCTATATATTGCTAGATGTATCTTATATAGAAACAACAGTTTACTGTTGTCTGACAACTCATTGTAGCTCCCAGACTCATTGTTGATAATAGTAGACTTTGCAATCAAAAACAATCCTGGTAAGAGAAGGTATGTCTGACAATATATCAGCCATATGATTTGACAAGATTGTTCTGTCAATTTATGGTTACACTTGGGCACATTGCCAGTGATGGCAGACTTTGCAATGTAAAGCTGCCAATATATAGCTAGCCATAGTTGGTACATTTGATAATAACAGCATCACTGTGCTAGGTAGATCACAGCTTACTACCATAGGTTTGCCAATATGATGGCTTATGGGGAATCCCACCTACGTAGTCTACTCATCTACTCCTTTGTCAAGTTTTCTGCAGTTTAATAAAGCTTTGCTATGTATCATCAAATATTTGATGATGGTAGACCTCACAATTGAAAGCTATGTATATATAGCTAGGTACAGCTGATCACACTTGGGCACATTGCCAGTGATGGCAGCCCTTGCAATTGGAAGCTGCCAATATATAGCTAGCCATAGTTGGTACATTCGATAATAACAGTATCAATGTGCTAGGTAGATCACAACTTACTACCATAGGTTTGCCAATATGATGGCCTTGAGAGAATCTGCCTATGTAGTCTACCTATTTATTCCTTTATCAAGTGGTCTGCAATTATGATGAATATTTTTAACATTATATATCAGATAAAGTTAGGTAAAGCCTTGTTATACTCTGGTCAAATGCCTGATGATGCTCTGGAGGATCATGCAGATAGAAGGTGGTGGATCCCATAGACGGAAGGTGTGAATGTATTTCCAAGTCCAAATACTGGCAAATATTACATAATATAAATTCTACAGTGTCCTGGCAGTAGCGTGGTCACTAGTCAGCCAATAAAACATGTTTATTGTATCACACATATTATCTAATGAATTCTCACAGGCCTGTGCTTGGCCCAGTGTTGCGCACATACAGCGCCTGAATATGATGTCCCTTGCATCTTAGAAGGAACAGTTGCTCACATATAGCGAGAGATGCAGCCTGAATATGATATCCCCCCTCCTATTGGTGAGAAATATCTTTATAAATCTGATGTATGCACTAATGCTCTGTCATTATTAGGCCAGCCGCATAGTACGATTCAGTCGGTTCCCTTGCCCCGAACATCCTGGAAAATCAACAGTCAGAGGTGCATTCATATGATATGAATGTATATAAACCATCCACTTCCTCACATATAGAGCCACAACAACATGTGCATACCTCAGTTACATTTTCAGGCCATCATGATGGGACTATGCGGGTCACAAGGCGCAATATTACCAGCACAAATTCATCGCCTTCATCTATGTCCCAATCAATTCAACCCACACCAAGTGAAGAAGATAACATATATTTTACTGGCAACAATGATCCTATGCCCATGGACAATGCTCTGGGTCATCATGAGACCTTGCCTCATAAGCGCAGACGGACAGCTGCAGTAAGAACTTGCTCTTGGCTCATTTTGGTTACTAACCAGTACTTAGGACAATCCCCTCCTAGGTTGGATGAGCAAACACGACACTTATGTTGCTGAACTCATTCGATTGGATGGATGTGGAGAATATGCTAGTGGTATATGCAGGGGATGTCATGCTCATGCACAGTTTCAATGTCTAGACTGCGATGATTTGCAGTTGTATTGTTGTGAATGCACTGTGACCAATCATGTGCGGTCTCCCACCCATCAAATACAGGTACTTACGTGTCGTTGCAGTACTAATTCAAAATATTAAATTATTTGCAGGAATGGATTGGCAAATTCTTCCAGGGCATGTCTTTGAAGATGTTCGGCCTTCAAGTCCAGCTTGGGCATCCTGCCAGCCAAAATTGTATTCTCCCTCGACCGGCATTCAATGACGAGTTTGTGCTAATAGATACAAACAGAATCCATGAAGTCGGGTTGGATTTTTGTGGCTGTGAAACCTCCAACACGCACATCAGGCAGCTTCTTTGTCATGGCTGGTTCCCATCAACATTGATTGACCCCAGGACTGCAGCAACATTTCAACTATTGCGTCACTTTCAGATATTATCTTTTGAGTCCAAGGCTTCCACATATGAATTCTACCACTCATTAGTTCATTTGACGGATAATACAGGGCTCACAAAACCCAAGGTAAGGTGCTTCGATATTCTGCCCACTTATAAGTTTAATGTTTGACTTTAGGACCACTACAACACATTCATGTGAATGGTTCGTGAGTGGAGTCATCTCAAAATGTTGAAATGATTTGGTCATGGTCATGAATCGAGCGGGGTTGAGGGCACATTGCAAGGCAAATGTGTCGTCATCTGTCTAGCTTGTCCACAGCCTGGTATAAATTTGCCCAATGGCTGGGAGCATGCAACAAAAGATAAACAGTAAGTATCAGAGACGTGTGAGAATGATGACAATGAGCTAATGTTTATTTCAGGTGGTTGTACACTACATTTGTCACCATAGATGTGAACTTTTGCTTGAAGAGGTGCAATGTGTCGACTGATCATGCTAACCCCAGCCTTTCTAAAGGATGGTCGTATTTTGTGGAGGAGGCTGATTACAAGTCATATCTAGCTGAGCATCTTGGAGAAGCACAAGAGGTATGTGATCTCCATGTTTTTCTGTATGTTTCTCATTCCATTTCGCAGAAAAGCACTTGCTCGAGTCACAATGCAGTAAATATGGTGGATACCAAATTGTCTCAAGGACTGGCTGCAACTGGTGTTGGCATGGTCAACTACACACACCACAACATAAAGCGAGGTAATGGAGTTGGTGATCTACAGAAAGGCGAAAAGTACGTCAAGGGCTGAACCACGCTTAGGTGTAAGGAACTGATCATGTTGTACAGGTACATTAATATGGATTATCTGTTCTTCTCCATGTTGAGTAACAATTCCCTCAAGATATTGAACATGTCCTATGACATTGCATGCCAGTAGCACAAGCACATCTGGTCATGCATGGTGTCGCTCCCTCAGTCACACCATTTAGACTATGTATCAAAGATTATTCACTTCTTCATACCGAAATTTCACCTTCCCGCACACATTGCAAAATGTCAATCGATATTCTCATTCAACTTCACTTGCTTCATTGGCCGGACGGATGGCGAGGCCCAGAAAGAGGTTGGTCAAACATCAATCCAGTGGCCTCGAGTATGAAGAACATGGGGCCCAGGGTGCCATCGAGACACACTCGACGACCATTTTGGTGATTGGAATTGGAAGAAGGTAGTAGGCTTGGGTGCTTTGCTGTTGAATAAGATGAAAGATGCTCTGGTCGAAAGGGCTGAACACCAGGCTGCTTTTGACGAGTTTGATGCTGTGATCTCTATTGAACATCATGCAACATGGCTCAGTGAAATGGAGGTTTGGGAACAGAATCCTAACGACACCATGATTCCCAATCCACTTGAAACCAAAGCTATCAGTAAGTAAAGCTTACTTTCCTAGTGATCCCTCACTGACAATAGATGTAGCAATTACACAGGCAGGTGCACAGCTGAGACTGGCCAAGCTGGAAGCACACAAGCTGGAGCATGGGGTAGATGTCTCATTACATCCAGAAGTCTCACCTAGTGTACTTATTGTGTCCGGTCTAGACCTGGAAGAAGAACAGTAAGTGCCCATCAGTAATCCAGCTGACAATTTTTAGACGTCATCTTAAGTCTTTGGTCAAGTCCATGGGTGTGCATATCATGGATACACAATGGGGCAGCCTTGTTCGGATGTGGAACTTGCTCTGCCATAAAATCGAGACATGGGGTCATGTTCAGGTTCTTTACATGCCTGCAGTGCTTCAAGGAGGGCACGATGATCAAAATAATGCTGAAGATATCATACTGTGGTTACCTTCACAGATGAAGAACAAGCCATGAGATCAGCACCTTCAGAACAATGAATGGGAATTACGCTACGCCCAGGCCCATGATGCGCTTGAAGAGCTTCGCCAGTGTTTGCATATACACTGCTCACTTCTCACATTTAAATGTGAATAGATGCATGGCCAAGGCACTAATATGCGAGCCCAAAACGCCCTCACTTGCATCCATGGCTGGCGTACTGCATGCATAAAATGCTACAGATCGGCTTGGACAGCCCTAAAATTCCTAGCCATGCTGTTGAAGAAGATGGATTGGAAGGGCCGATTGCACGAGCTAGCAGATGAGCATATCAAACCTCTTGTGGATCTGTTTGGTGTCTGGGAAGGAAGACGTCAGGTATCATGGATTTGGATGATGGAGGGGATTGATTGCAATGGCCAGGATTGTGATGATGATGGTCAGCATCACTGGCATTATTCTCAAATTAATCTAATATATTACCAGGAGTGCATATCAAATGGTGCAAGAGCCGGGCGAGAGCCCTACAATGGACAGAGGAAGTGGAATTGCTCACAGAGGAAATGGAGAGAGTGATATGGTTTTTCCACTGGGATGCACAGTGTTGGGAAGAGCAGAGAAGTCAATTCACAGGAGAGAGCCCTGCCCATACCGAAGGCTTGCAGGCCTATGCTGCCCGACAGGCTGATATCCGCCATAGGCTTGCTGGCCATTTTTGTGTGCTTTGGGCACCTTACCTGATGCCGACCCTGAGCCCTGGTATCGACACCACACCTCCCTTCCTCCATGCTGAGCTGTCATTACCCGACTTGACAATGCCTGTGATGGACACTGATGACTTCTGTGACGATCACGCCTGATCGGTGTAGTTGTACCTTATTTTTGACTATACATGCTGTATTACATCATCCATGAATAAAGATCGTGATTCTGAACATACGAAGCAGAAGCATGATTAAGTTGCTGGGGATTGTTCTTAATTGCCAAGTTAGAATGGTACGGAGATTGTTCTTAGTTGCTGAGCTAGAATGGTACAGGGTAGTGCGGGGTTGCTCTATCTAGCTATGTCTGCTAGTTAGCCTACCATAATTAGTGCTGCCGTGGTCCAGTTCCGAACCATGGTTCGAACCTGACCATTGGTCAGGTTCATTCATGGTTCGGTCCACGGTTCCCCATTTTGGCCGGACCAAACCAAAATGAGGTTCACGGTTTGTTGTTCCTGGGACAGTTCGGTCATGGGTTCGGACCTTCCCGAACCATTCCGAACCATGAACCGAAACTTCCTTGAGATATCAGCAAAGCTGGTAACTTCTCTTCCGCACTCATGGGTACTTCAACTTCTGGGATCCTCGACATCTGCATTGACTTTCAATTCTGTCCGGACACTCGCATTTTGTGCTCCCGGTTGTCCAATCAAGCTCAAGGTACCAATTAACCATCAATCAAGCTCTATCATAAACTAACCAATATATTACTTTGATATATTTTCCAGGATTCTCCAATGCATATGGCGGAGACTGGTTGTGTTTGCACTGGTCTGAATCAATCTTGACACTATTTAGGTACATTGCGCATGTAGACTCGACTCTGGATGGGGGACTTATATGTTCTTTGTTGGGCACTCAGCAGTGTCAGCACTGTCCTCAATCATGAGGTTTGTCTAACAATCAATCAACAAATTCTTGATCTTGGTGAAATCAAACCAATCATTGTCGACCGCTATGAAAAATGCTCAACTCCCCAACAAATCAAACCACACATCTCGTCGTGCAGCTCCTCCTGCAAGCCCATTGTGCCTCATTCATTGGTGTCGTTTGCTCAGATACATTTCAGCACACGGCCTCTAAATGCATCCCAACCAATCGAACAACAGTCCTGACATTGTAATTTCAACCTCAAGTTGTTTCTGAAGGACATTCCACACGCACTGACGACCGTCGACATACCTCTTGCTCAAGATGAAAATGTGAGTCACTTATGCGACATACACTGACTGAGATAGCTCATGATTAGTGCCAACATTTGATGATCAGGAAATGCTGCCGAGGTCACTGCATTCATGCTCGAGAGTCTCAGGTGGAGACCTCTTGGAGGTACGTCTCATTTGAGTTGTGATGACGTGATAATGAACGACCCACCAGAACTTACACCTTCTCTTGAACAATTCTCTCAATTATCATTATGGGAGTACATGATCTTGATTCCTGCATAAGCTGATGTACAGATACTAATTTGACTAGACAATCTTTGTTCAGGAATCAGCGCTCAAGGCTACTATGGTGCTTGTGCAAAGGTCAGTCAGGCTATGAAACACACAGCACTTCCTTGGCTAATCTTTTACAGCTTCCTGGAGAGCGCTCCATCTTTTGCCATCCATCTCCACACCTCTCCTCTTTCAATATTCGAGTTCGCATTCAACACTGAGAAGCACTGTGCACTTCTGCTGCAGCAGAGGCTGAGGGAAATGCAACTTCGTTAGATATGTTAGATACATAGTTATCAGTACAAGTACTTCGAATATATGTTTTTTTTGCTAGCTGTAAAAAAATTTGGGTCCGGTTCGTGTTCAAACCGAAAAAAAAACCGAACCTGACCGGTGCGAACTGTCCGCAAAGGTTCGGTCCAAGTGTCATATCCCATATTCCGGACCTACATCCAACAATATTCCCACGCCTCATCCGGACCTTCGGACGCCCTATCCATGTCTCCAGTCCTCTATCCATCCGGATCCCTGCACCTCTGCACATCCACATCCACATCCACATCCCTTTACCTCCATACCTCAGCTAGCCTGCATCAGTCATCCTTTGTCCCATCACCCTAATGTCATATCCCATATATCCACGCGTCTCATCCGGACATCCAGTCCGATCTGATCTGATCCGATATACGATAAGCTTCCTAATTCAATTCCTGTGCATATAACGTTAACACAGCCTATTCCTCTATTCGGTATTCCTTGTCCTCGGTATCTCAGTTATACTTACTACCAGTATGCTTACTGATCCGTTAACCTATGCTTCATTTCCGACTCGCGCTTGATAACTTTGCTTATGCTTCATACATAGCCTCGGATGCTTGCTTACTGATCTTTCCGTTATTTCCTTAGTATATAAACTCTTGTATATGTCCTGTAGTTCCTCAGTCTGAATATCATATTAGTCCTCGCACTAGATCTCACTCTAAGTCCTCACATCAGTTCTAGTCTATCAACTTAGTCAATATCCATCTCAGGCCTAGGGAGAAATTCCCTAGGCCAGAGCTCCGCTTATCCGATCCCCGCTCATCCGCTCATCCGCTCATCCACTTATCCGCTCATCCGATCCTCCGAAGTTTCCGGACGTTCGTTTGAAACTTTCCTGCGGTCCTCTGGACCTATTCTGCTTCGGACTTTGTCCTTGCAGCCTTTCCTCTGTTTGCTTCTACTTAGGACTTGTCCTAAGTAGCCATTACACGTATCCGTATCAGGACGAAACCTCATCGTAATTTCCGGAAGTTCCTCTGGAACTTTCCCGCACTCGTCCGGAAGTTACTTGCACTCGTCCGGAAAGTCCTTCCGAACTTTCCCGCGCTTCGGATGTCCTTCAGACGTCCTTGGACTTTCTTCGGACATCATTCTGAAATTAAGGGCACATACTCGGGTAAGGGGGTCTCAAGATTCGAGGCGAGCGGATCGGGAGGGAGCTAAGTAGATAGGGACAATCTACTCGTTTGAATCAGTGCGCGCTCTAAAGTAAGTTCGAATGTAACAACTCACATCTCAGTCTATATTTTGGGACTGAGATGTTCGTTCAATATCTACGAGGTTTATAAGGTAAAACTGACGTGATACGTATATTAGCGTTGTAAGGAGAATGTTAAAGTGAAACATTGGTATATGGACGTCGAGTGACACTCGACGTCCCTTTTCTTGTGCCTCTGTCAAATGGTCGCGCTCGTCCTACGTGGCGTCGTCCGAAGCATCCGATATGACCGAAAACAACACTCCCCCTCGAGCGGGACCAAGTGTCATCATGGTCCTGAGTTTCTGAAAGCGTGGTCGAGGCAATGGTTTGGTGAACGTGTCGGCTACGTTGTCATCTGTGGGACAATAGTGCAGCTCGAAAGTTCTGTTCTTCACGTGGGCGCGGACGAAGTGATAACGTATATCTATGTGCTTGGTACGTGCGTGAAACTTGTTGTTCGACGCTAACGCAATAGCCGATTGATTGTCGCAATGGATGGGGGTGGAAGTGTGCGTCTCGCCGTAGAGTTCCTTGAGGAGAAGTTGTAAGTAGAGTACTTCCCTCGCGGCAGCTGTCAGGGCGATATACTCTGACTCCGCAGTGGACAGTGCTATGATGGGTTGCTTCCTCGAGCTCCATGCGACTGGGCCCCCATGCAACATGATCACATACCCAGACATCAAGTGATGGTGAGGCTGGGACGCCCAATCAGCATCGATGTATGCCTCTAATCCTTTGTCTGTCCCTCCTAGTGTTATCCCGTAGCCGGCTGTACCCTTGAGGTAGCGCATGGTGCGCTTTGCCGCCTCCCAGTGCACCCGTCCAGGGTTGCGCATAAACTGGGAGAGTGTTGCTACGGCAAACGCGATATCGGGCCTCATGCTGGTTGCTGCGTACATGAGCGACCCAATACCACGTTGGTAAGGTACGTCTCGCATGTCAGCGAGTGCAGTGTGGGTGTCTGGAGACTGCTCCACGGTCAGCGTGCTACCCGCGTCCATTGGGATGACGGCGCTCTTCGAGTCGGTCAGGTGGAAACGCTCGAGTACGGTGTTGACGTATGCGTGCTGTGAGAGTGTGATTGTGCGTTCGACCTTGAGACCTAGCAGCCAGCTAAGGTCTCCCAAGTCCGTGATGTCGAAGTACTGACGAGGGTGTTCCTTGAACTCGGTGACGTGTCGCAGGTGCTTTGATGTGACGGCCATGTCGTCAACCGACACGGTCACCACCATGTGCTTGTCAGCCTCGCATACGTAGTACACGGCTTGGTTAATTTGCGAACACGTGAAGCCCATCTCTAAGAACACACTTGCCAATTCTTCCGACCACTCGAATCCCGCCTGCTTCAACCCATACAAGCATCTCTTCAGCTTCAGTACCTTGCCCTCCTCACCAGCCTTTAGGTATCCAGGAGGCGCTCTCATGTAGATGTCCTCTTTGATTTCTGCGTGCAAGTACGCGCTCTTGATATCGACTTGGTGGACTTCCCAGTCCTTCTGGGCGGCCATAGCAAGAACGGTGCATATGGTTGGCATGTTGGAAGTTGGAGCAAAAGTCTCCGAGTAATCGAGGCCGTGCTTCTGACATTGGCCGTTTGCCACGAGTCGGGCACGGAGCTTGAGCTTCTCACCGTCCAGGCCGCATTTGGTGGCCAAGACATAATGGCAGGGTATGACGTTAGCATGACGTGGTACATTTACCACTTCCCAGGCTCCTAGCTTCTCTAGCTGACTAATTTCATAGTCTATGGCCTCTTGCCATTCCACAGCGTCCGGGCCGTTTAAGGCTTGTTGGAGAGTAGGTTCGGGCTCTGCTGCTGCTAGAGCCCAATGGGTAAGTGAGGCATCGTCTTCATTGTCGTCTGTGGTCGCTAACGAAGCTGACTCCCCCTCATGTAGGGACTTATAGTACCCTATGGGAGGCCTAACGCGTGTCGCTCTGGGGGCAGCTGGTTCTGGGAGTGGTGTCTGGAGCTTTGGTGGGGTAGATGGTGTGGGTATCGAGACGTGCTGGTCGTTACTCGCTGGCAACAGCGCCTTCTCCCCCTCGAGCTGTACGTCTGCAGCCACAGTTACAGTTGTGGGCATGAAACTAATGTTCCGTTCCACAGAGATACGACGCTTACCCAGCCAGTA